TCTATCACTACTGTGCAATAAAAACAATGCACAAACATACAAATCAGCTTTCCGATTCCTTTCAAGCTCTCGGTTAAATACGACTAGCCCAGTAGGAAGTGTTTAAGTGTGGATTCGCCCGCCACATGTAGCTTAGCGGTTCCCAGCATTCATTACCAACGAACCACTGGTGGTTGTCAATTATAGGGTTTGTACAACTGAAAGCTTAAACAAAGTGGTTTCTTGTAGCTACAGGGCCTAACCATGAGCCTACATTTTACTTTTGTAGAAGACTCTGAGCATTGAGACAGCATGATAAGCAAAAAGAAAGCTGATACCACATAAGCGTTATGAATAAGGGGCTCTCGGCCTCTCTATTCCAACTGATTGAAGATATGAAGCAAAGAGCTGCTTACACTCCTCAATCTGCCGATTTATTCTGGAGTCCTGTGCTACTTGTGAGGCAGCAGAAGAGACTCCTCCCGCGAAGCCCCCTGTGTTTATACCATAATCACTGAAGTACCGAGTCGCAACGCTAATCCGCAGCAGCACTCTCCCTGAAGTACGGGTCACCAGATGGGCCTTCTCTGGGTCTCCCATGGATGGCCAGGCAGCCCCGCACGACGCCTCTTGTCTCTCGAGTATGCGGCCTGTGAGGAAAAGAAAGTGAAGAAGAGACTTACACCAGGCCCACAGACACCAATGCCGGACCAAACAATTCAAGGTTCAATTCCTCTCCATGCATTCCTGCTATTGTTTCGGGAGGAAAGAGCCCCAATACATTTCACTGCAGTGAAGGGACGAATGCCAACTGAATTACTGGGCAATTGTACTGGCCTCTGATCGGACCATCACTAAAAACTTGCACAGAGTAAGTACTATCCCGTTTCTGAGCTACTTCATTTGCCCTTATTAGGCTATGCTGAATCCACATCTGCCAACCTCTGCCGTATCTCCGTGCTTTTGCCCCTTCTCTAATTGCGCATAAATGTTGTACCGGCGAGTTCTTGGCCTGCGAGGCCCACGGGGCTCCATGTGTGGCAGATGACCTCGTGGTAGCCCAGTGCCATCGGTAAACAGGCGCTTCCAAAAGCAACTGCACGTACCACCACAAAGTCCCAAGGAGGCAGGAGAACATGCCTCCATCTCCCCCACCCTGATTCTCTGCAGTTTCCTTGTGGTTGCTCCTGACCTGGCGCCGCTCTGCCTCTTTTATCAAGTTTCCAGACGCTGATTTTGCAAGAGGGCCATCCCATAACCGAGGCAAGCGCGAAATGCAGGTCGATTGGATGACTCCACACATACACATCTGCCGGCTGAGGCACAGACAGCCCTGAAACCGACCGCGATTCAAAGAAGAAGCGAAAGGAGAAGCGCAGCGGCAAAAAAGGAGGATCTAAAATAAAGAATTGACCTATTAGTATCGCGATAATCGTCGTAAATAAAAGAAATCGCTAAAAACCTCGACACCAATGGACGAGCAACGCCCTCAGGACGCGTGTCGGCTCTCTGTAGCGCCTTCGCTCCCTGCTGCGTATCTCAGGCACGCCAACTGTTTCTTTTGCCCCCTTCGGGCTCTACAGTGTCTTTAGATTCCTCCGTTGGGCCTATCTACCAGCATTTCTATGGGTGCCCCTCTCTGTCTCCCCCTACCCTCGTCTTCTAATCATATGATCAAGCAGCTAGTGAAACGCATGGTGTAGCAAGTGAACAAGCACACGTACGCTGCCAAAAGCGGTTTGTGTTTGGTGCGGCTCGACGGCTTCCCTACAGAGTGGTGCCCAATCTGGGCCTGCGACAGGCAAAAAGGCAGTATGCACAATTGACAGGCTGCGCAGTTGCCTAGTCCTACTTCTGTGTTGTTTCTGTTTTCTCGGTGGACATCTGGACATCTCTCTCGTCTCTTTCTTTGTGTGTGGTAATGTTGCGATTCTTTGCACTAGAGCTAACCCCTTTGGCATCCGCCTCTATCGAGACCAACAAGTCCAGTAAAAGGTGTAGGCCAACATAAACATGGGAGTGGAGGACCTCTACACCGGGACGGGTTTTTTTCTGCTGCTCTACGTGAGCCTGTAATGGCCTCCTGCTACCTTCTGACCAAATGCGATACTCATCGTGTCGCGTTGTAAGCCTCAGACTGCTTGCAGTGCATAGTGGTTAGAGGTGCAACAACGACGGAAGCATACACGGCAGAGACGGCACTGGGCAAGCAGGCGAGAGAGGAGATAAAGGGGGGAAGTTAACAAGGGGGAGAGAAGGGGCTCTCTACAGACAAAATCAGGACTAACTGAGAAGAAAGGCCCGTTGTGCTTTGTTTTGCTAACCAGCAGCAAACTTCAGTTCGCAGAAGAGTCCGCAACCGGCGTTAAACCCGTGACCAGCGGCAACTTCGCCCACAAAATGCACCTGCAGGCCAAAAGAACCGATATGCTCCTCATCACAACGCCATCAGATTTTTGGACGTACACGCATCGGCCCTTATATTACTGTATCGCATGCAAGCCAGTGCCTTTACAGTACAGAAAAAGTGCAATTCAGCAATTCGCCCACTCGTCTCCACCCTATACGATCAGCTAACACTACCCCGCACTTTGAAATGCTCTCTGTTCCTCAACATCTGCTACTCCCGTTAATCTCTGTACAGCAGTCCCAAATTCCCCCTTGAGTTATCTCCTGCCTACACGCCGCCCTCAGGTGGTGCGTCAAAGGCCTCCCACTCCCTCTACCAGATTTCTTTCTCCAAAGAAGGAAATTCTAAACAAGCAGCAAGAAAATATGACGATTACTGAAAGTTTATGTGCCTCCGGCATTGGACCTCACTTCAGCGAAACGGCTGTTTGTCAGCTGAGAGACTGCAGCAAGTGCACTGGCATTAAACTTAAGATCATAGGATCTCTCAGTTGCCTCTAATTTGCTGCTTCTGCTTTTCTCCAGCCTCTTTCTCCCCTGTCGCTGTTCGTGCTGCTGCTTCGGAGAAGAGAGAGCCACACTCTCTTTGACCTCCTCACCTCCCTTCAGCTGCACAGGCATCTGAGAGCTCGGGCTGAGCATTATGCCACCCGGGTGAGCAGGAGGGCTGCCACCCTTGAAGAGCTCCTCAGAGGAACCTTGGTTATACTTTCTGGTACCCTCTGATTTTTGCATTGTAGAATACTCTGAGGTTGCTTTATTCTAAAAGGCGAATCTTATTGATGACATTCACATATGGCACTCAATTAGACTAAGAAATACAGGAGTGGTAGGAAAAGGGGTAGATACTTGGTGGCATACCCAGAAAGAGCAAGAACACGAATGATGGGGAGAAAGCTGGAACAAGAGTAGGGATAGAACCAGATGGGCATGAGACTCTAGGAGAGCGTTTCTATGAGCTCAGAGCATCGTTTGTAGGATATTAGTAAAAAAGGGAAGGATCTGATGCCAACCCAAAAGTCTTGGGACTCCATCAAAATCAATTGATGCCCGGTTCACTAAGAGTATAACAAATTCTGCATAGGCGAAGGAGGCACATAAACGGACTTCCTGGATGAATGGAAGAGTTAAAGAATAATATGTGGGCTGAAAAGCGTGGATTGCCCTTTTTCTGTGAAGGAATTCAAGACTTATTGGTGCAATGTCATTCTGGTTCTCGATGCACACCGTACGGTCATCGCCAGGGCCCAGCCGCACGCAATTTTAAAGGCCAGTATTCTATTTTCTTGTGAGATTCTGTTTGATCTATTTACAAATCTTTTAACTAATTAAGGAATTCCTTCTAGCCTCCTTCACCACCTCTCCTTGCACCACCAACTGCCGCCGGGGCTGGGCTGGCTGGTGGTTCGCGGTGAGAAGCGAAAGACGCAAGCACTACAGAGGTCTCATATATTTCTGCTCTCAGTATTTTGATACATGATTGAGCTTGAACTCTGGCTGATACAGGTATGATTTCAATATAAAACGCAAGACTTCGAGCACAAACACCCAAGGTGACCTAATGGGCGGCTCCCCACGAAAGTTCATTCCTACGCACTTTCTCTGCATGCTACCGCTCAGCGGCTACTGATAACATTGCAATGCTGTCACGGGCTATCCGCTCTCCCTCTGCCACATGCAGAGCATCCTGACCGTTAGTTGAATGTACATGGCACTTTCCAGCTGAGCACTTGAAATAGGGAAATTCCGTCCCATCATCCCAATGGCTAGTCCATAACCCAAATGTTATGTGCGTACTATAGCTGGCGGGGAAGCTGTCGAACTTAAAGCCAATAAGGGAAGCAGTTAGTACAAGGGAAGCCGGGAAAAGAGGGTTGCCGGGTAGTAACGCACAGAGAAAACCATTTTTCACAAGTACACGTACACCTAGGGTATACAGTATGCACCAGCAACCTGACCCAAGCATGTTTATGTAGAGCAAGCCATAGATCTTCCGAAAAGCGGTTAAGAACACGCAGCTGAGCCATCTCCAAACCTCTGGGGCCTAACCAGAGGCCCTATAGGGCCCCAAGGCGCAGGGAGTTTCCATCCATGTTCCTCTCACAAGCTCTCACTGAATACGATTGCAAACTACCATCCTAACGCTACATTCTTCAATTAAATTCTTTGCTCAAGACTTCACCGCGCCTGCTATATTAAGGGGGATTTAAGTCCACCCCCTAAGGAGGCGTTCACTCTTAATGCACAGGAGAGCGGTCGTTCGTGATATTGGGTTATTTCAGGCTACAAAATAGGGGTCACACGGTAGCAGCTTCGACGCCTTAAGGCGTCTGCTCCTTTGCAGTTCCCTATTCTTGACGTCTATTCCTAAAAATGGACGTACAGCTGAAAAAGTCTGGTTCTCTAAAGCAACGGCGCCGAAACGCACCTCTTCTCCAGGATGCCTGACCAACGCTGTCGTAAACGTTGCTGCCAATCTACCCACCTCAGTAGCGTCGATGACGCAAAGCCTACGCGTCATCGACGCTACTGAGGTGGGTAGATTGGCAGCAACGTTTACGAGCGCGAGCCCCTCGAAACACGATACACGGTAGTTGGCTAAGAGTTGAGGCTTAGCCCTCCGATCGTGGGATGATCAGCATTGTCCCTTTAGAGCTAATGTCTTTTAACTCCGGCAGCCGTGTCGGTTTCATATTTGCTGGAAGCGACGCCAAGGCAGCAGCCTCTGACAACCACCTTGACAACGACTCTAACCAACCTCCCAACATACTTCGGAATGTAGTAACACTCTTGTCGCTAGGAGTGCTACTGTGGCATTTGCCGCAGCAGCAGGATTTACGGCAACGGAGCTCAGGGGCTGGAGCGGCCATCAAAAAAACCCCCTCTATCAGCGCCAGCGGGATTAACCCGAAAGAAAAGCTGTCATCTCCCGAGTTGCCGCTGTTGCTTCTTCTGCAGATGCTGCTCTGCTCCTCCCTTGAAGGGTGCCCTAGGACGCATGTTTGCGTCGTAGAGACTCCTCTGTCGCTCTTTTGCACAGACAAAGCAGAGGCAGCAGACTCGCACCCAGTAGAAGATCCTGCTGCACTAGCCTCTGCTGGTGCTGCCCCCGCTTCCACAAGAGTGGCTGCCGATGGCAGAGCCCCTGCAGCAACAGCGCCGTCGACAGTGGACGGAGGCAGCGCGGCAGAGCAAGGCAGCTCCTTCGAGCGACAGAATCCTGGAGAACTCTCCAGCGTCTCGACCCAACAGCGTCCAGGGGGCACACGAATCAGCAGATATGCGTCGGAGGAGTCAGACGCGTGCTGCCCTTCTTGCTGCTCCTTCGGATGCGCCTCCGCCTCTTGCTGCAGCCTCAAGATGTGCTGCCTGATGACACCCTGCCGTTCCTTATGCTCTCCTTCTGAACGCCGCAAGCTGTCTGCTTCTGGAGGCTGCTGCCGCTTGTCTTGCTGCTGCTGGCCATGCTGCAGCAGCCGCTGGCGCAGAGCAAGCCCCCGCTTCCGTTGCCAGTTGATCTCGTTGTCTTGATGCAGTCGCTCGAGCAGCAATAGCAGCTCCTTTCTCCTCACCAACTTGGACTCGATGCCTGGCTGTCGCAACTGCTGCTGCATCACCAGCTGCACCTGCTGCTGCTCCCTCCACGGTACAGCCAGCACATCTCCAGGCACTCCAACCACCTGTACGTATATTCTGCCTCCAGCGCACGTCGGGTGAGCCGCCCTCACTGCGGATCCGCGATATATTTCTCCTGCACTCAAGAGCACAACTATCCAGGAGCTTTGTCTCCCCTCCTCAAAACTGCGCTTGCTAGCAGCCTCGGAAGGCGAGCAGCCATGTCCACATACCTCAGGACCAGCCGCTGCGTGGGCTGCACGCGTAGCAGCAGGAGCACTCACCGCAGCAAACCACCCACGCCGAGTTTCTGACAGTAAGCCGTCTTCCCGATGCTGCTGATGCTCCTTCTGCTTTTGAGGTGTCTGTAGGTCGGCCTCCCCGGAGAGTTCAGCCAACGTATAGGGGCAGACGGCTGTCCTTTCCAGCGAGAAGACGCGATCCTTCAGCAGCAAAGCTGGAGGCACACACCAAGCCGCGGCTCGCACGCAGCGCAGCAAGCGCGATGCTCCGTACCAGGCAAACGAGAAAAACAAATCCTGCGAACGGCTGTGCATTGTACGGACGAGGCGCCCTTGAGGGCAGGCGCTCTCAAGCGGGCGAGGCGCCGGCCGCTTCAGAGTTGCAGACCCCTCGAATATTGGTCGCGCCGAAAGACGCTAGGAGACGCAAACGCATACGCGTGTCAGGTGGAGCGAGCGCTTGGAATGCGGGGGCAGGGGGAGGCACACGACACGCAGAGACACTCCCTGCTGAAGAGCCGTGCTGCAGCCACGTTCATGGGAATACACAAAAAGCCTTTGGGGGGTCTCCCCATGCAGCTGAATGGGGAGTCGGCCGCTGGAGGTGTTGTGTGTCTGTGGAAGCCGCGTTCGACGCGTGTCGAAGTGAGCCTGCCGCTGCTCCCGTGCGGCGCAGTCGCCTGTGCGCCTGCCAGTAGAGAGGAGAGCCTCGAAGCAGAGCTGATGGGGTGCCTGGAGACGCAGGAGGTGCCTTTGAATCCGCAAACGGCCTTTCGCTGCCACTGCATGCGGGGGTCGCATGGGGCCCCTGAGGATTCGCGGAGGCGGGGGGACCGTACACGAGTCGACTGCAGTAAGAATCTCCACAAACGTCTCTCGTTTGTCCGTCTTGCTATTGCGGTCAACTCAAGAGCAGCCACACCGCTAACAGCACCTGTTCTTGCACGCGAGAGGCCTCTGGAGCCGGCTGGGTGTCTTTGGGGCTTTGGCCGTGTGGGGCAGCCGCTGCTTCTCCTTCTGGAATTTATGCTGCAGGTACACCTCAGTGGAGCCCAGTTGCTTCTCCTTTTGGATCCGGCGCCTTCACTTTTGTCGGCTTGGCGACTATACCATTGGCAGTAAGGCAAGAGAGAGCACCCACAGCGCAGCTCGGCTGCAGCAAACCAGTGGTCTTCTCTTCTCTCTGCCGCGTAGGATCCAACTTTCCTTCGACTCGGGCCTAAAGCGCAGAAAAATCAGTGCGCGTAGCCGTACCAACAGAGCGGAAGCTCCAGCGGCAGCGAAAGGCGCTGCAGCTGCAGCTGCCTTGTCTGCGGCCTTCTGCCTCCCTGCCGAATGCTGCTACTGTTGCTGCCGCATCCTTCTATTTCGCATTCTTCTTCGTCTCTCCCTTTTATTTTCTCCTTTTGGTGCTCCGCCTGAGCAGACTCTCCGAACAAGAGCAACAAGAGCAGCAGAAACAGCAGCGCCAGAAGCACCAGAAGCAGCAGAAGCACCAGAAGCAGCAGAAGCAGCAGCACCGATGGCGGCAGAGCGAAGTCTTCTTGAGACGGCCTCTGCAGGCAGGAGGACGTCAGCAGAGCAACATCATGGCGAACCCCACTGCAGGGATGCCAGCAGCAAGAGCAGCAGCACAGTCGAGGCGTATTGTGAGCAGATCTCGGGATGTCTGAGTGCTGTTGCTCCGGCTTTCTGCTGCGGTGGTCGCGTGCTGTGCTGCAGCAGGGGAAACCACGTGTGTTTGTACACTGCACAAACCGGAGAGGCTTTATACACGTGCCACGGCCACCACAGCAGGGTACGTTAAGAGGATCATCTCACGATTCCTCTCTGCTGAAAACGCTGCTTTAGTTCTGTCCACCTCTGCGCTGTGAACACCGACCTATTGGGCTGTGCATTGTAGCTCGTGGTGGCACCCGCTGCAGGAAGAGCAGCACGAACGGGCAACTGGCGCTCTGTCCTCACTGCAACGGCAGGGTAATACGTTCGCTTTTTCCTGCGTCTGTGTTGAAGGGGGGTGTCTGTGTGTGATGCTGTGGATGTTTTGGCGTGCAGGTGTGCGGACTTGTGGCGATTCCCCCCAAGCTGTACAAGGAGCTGCCGCCGATGCTGTTATCCTTTTCCGTAGATGGATCGATTTGCTGTTGGGAGGTGCACAGTCGGCCCTTCTTTTACCAAACTCTGGAAGAGCAGCAGCAGCAGCAACAGGGCAAGTCGCCTAACTGTCTTCGCAGCCTGAAGGTGGAGGCGTGCATCCTGTCTGCAGCTGTGGCAAGCAAGAGTCATGAAGTTATTTTGCTGCTGCTCCTTATGCCGCAGCAGCAGCACCGGGGGGAAGCCTCGGGTTCGGAGGCTGCGGCAGCCGTCGATCAGAGCGGAGGCAGCTACGCAGTCCACCTCCTCCGTTTTGAAGATTGTATTCTGGGAGTGAGGGAGGCTAGGGAGGACGCTGCTTCGGAAGACACGGAGCCGACAACCCTTGTCAAGGGGCACTCCCTGTTTTCGTTCAGAGATCCGCCTTCAGCTGTCTCGGTGTCTCCAAGCGGCAGCGTGATTGCCGTTGCCTGCAGTAGGACGCTTCTGCTGTACTCGAGGGAGCAGCAGCAGGTGCTTCGGCTGCTGCATGTTGACCTCCTCGTGCAGGTGGCAGTCCATCCCGAGGAATTGTTTGTTGCTGCTGCAGACACGCAGGGACGCATCGTGCTATTTTACACGGCGCAGCAGCACGCCACGCAGCAGAGACACCAGCAGCGTCAGTCGAAGCGCCTGCTGCAGGAGGGAGATTTGTTGCCGTTGCAGGAGGAAGAGGAGGCTGCTGCGGGGGGTTTGACGCCTCATGGCAGCAACAACAAGATCAGCAACAAAAGCAACAACAGAAACCGTCACGCGCTACTTTCGCAGCAGGAGCAGGAGCAGCATGAGCGGCGCTGGCCTTCGAAGTCGAGTCAGAAAGAAGTGGATTTTCGATGCAATGTGCGTTCAGTGGTGCTTCATTGGCATGCCCACGCGGTGTCATCGCTGGCCTTTTCTTCAGACGGCCTGGTATTGCTGTCGGGAGGCGAAGAGGGTGTTCTCGTCATGTGGCAGCTGCAGCAAAACTTCAGCAAGCAGTTCGTTCCGAGGCTAGGGGCCCCTATTCTGCACATCTCGCCTGCGTGGATCGAGGTGTTGGGGGCACTGCCGAGTCGAAATGTGACGATTGAGCAGCAGCAAAGGATGGATTTGCTGGCCGTCTGCTGCGCAGACAACTGCATTCGGGTAATTGAGAGCGGGCCCCTGCTGCATGTTTCCGAAATTCGGGGAGTCGCGATGCCTCTCTCCGTGTTTAAAGTCGATCTGGACGCTGCCGCAGCAGCAACAGCCGCCATGCGCGCTGCTCTGAGTGCTGCTGCCGCAGCGGCTGCCGCTGCTGCTACCTCTGCAGCCGCAGGAGGGCATTCAGCCGTGGGGACCGGCAGCGTCTTCAGGGAGGCAGCGAGGCAACACGCGCGTTCCCTTGCATGCGGAGGCAGCAGCAGCAGCAGTGTCGCCTCCGTACACAGACCGCGCATCAGCATCAAACCCCTGCCTGTCCAGCAGAGAGGCGGCAGCAGGAGCGACCTGCTGCTGCTGTGCAGCAGCGAGTCGTGCCTGCAAGCCGTGGATCCGAGGACGGGGGAGGAGGCCTTTCAGCTGCTGCTGCAGCAGCGGCTCTACACGTCGCGGCTCGACGAGGATTTCGGGTGCACATGGACGCTCCAGTGCGTGGCGGCAGACTGCTGCGGCAGCAGCATTGCAGCCGTGCAGGCGAGGGAGCTGCTGCAACAGATGGGGCCCCTTGTGGGGCCCCCAGGTAGTGGCGGCTGCGGCTGCGAGTGCTGCGCTGCTGCCACACGGCACATGCGTTTTCCGTTGAAGGAGGCACTCTGCTGCGCTTGCATGCAGAGCAGCAGCGCCGGCGACAGCGCCCCCGCGCGGGAAGACCCCGGGAGCAGCAGCAACAGCAGCAGCAACAGCAGCAGCAACAGCAGGAGTAGTTGCAGTTGCAGAGGAAGCCGTCGCTGCTGCAGCCACTACAGGGGAGAGCACCCCCTCGAGCCGCTGCAGCAGAGCAGTGGCCGCTGCTACTCCCTTTCATTCTGGGTATGGGTTGAATCGGACAGCAATGACAGCGGCGCCGAGCAGCAAAAGGCGCAGCTACCCGGCTCTTCCTTAGGATGGCGGCCTGAGGGAAAGGGATCGTTTGTGCTTCTCAATGAGGTCGAAGATGCTCACGTCAACGACATTACGGCCATTCATCCGCATGCATCTGTACGCCCACCGCAAGCTCCCTAAGTGCTCACGTTTGGGGTCTTGATCTGCCATGGGTGCCAACGAAAATTCCGTGGCTGGTAGTCTAGCGACGGACTGTGCAAGGGAGCTGCTGCGCCAACAAGGCGGAACCCTTCCTGATTGGGGGGTTGGTGCGCATAGGCTTACGGATGTGTATATATATATGTATATGTGTATATATATATGTATATGTGTATATATATATGTGTATATATATGTATATGTGTATATATATATATATATATGTATATATATGTATATATATATATATGTATATGTGTGTATATATATATGCATGCAGGATCCTTGTTGCTTCATCACGGCGTCTCTGGATTCGACGTTCAAGTTGTGGCGTCGTGTGGGATTTCCCCAGGATACAGGCGGTGGAGGCGCGACTTTGGGACCGCTTGCGTCTGCATTTGTTTGTTTGAAGGAGTGGAATTTCCGTTCTTTGCCTGTGTACGCGTGTTGCTTGTCGAGAGACGGCTCCTTGCTGGCTGCCAGCCACGGGCCGCTCATTTCTCTGTGGGCTCCTGCGAATCCACGCCTCCTTGAAGTGCTGGATCTTCCTTCTCTGCCTGTTCGGAAGAGAGCCGCCACGGGAAGCGCGGAGGGGTCTCAGCTGAGGCTGCCTCTCGGGAAAGACAGCCAGGATGGAGCGACGAGCGTCGGCCAGGAGGCCACCTTCTCCGCACACACGGCAGGATGGAGAGCTGTGCACTGCAAAGAAGTGCAGATGCTTGAAAACGAGCAGGGGCTCTTTCTGTTGGCTGCTCTGGAAGACCGCGTGCTGCTCTTCGACCTCCTTCGTCTCGCGCTTGTGTGGATTCAAACCTTTTCTGGTGCGTCGAGATGCGCTCTTGTCACGCAGTGCGACGCGAGGAAATCCTCCTTCCGCTGGTGCATCCCTGCCCCCCGTAGTAGCGGCCCTCTTCCTGTGCAGCCGCTCTGGCTGTCTGTTAGTCGTTCGCAGAGACCTTCCATGCCTCCTCCTTTGCGAGAGCCTTTCATTGTGTGCACCCCGGACGCTTCGATCGGAGCGTCCTCCGCAGTGCAGCCTGCGAGACAGGCACTTGCAGTCCGCCACAAGTCTTCCAGAAGCTGCCGCTGAGAGGTGTGGGGTTTTTACGCAGGGGCAGTCGATTCGATAGTTGCAGACACCGCTCACGGCGTTGGTCATCGATTTGTGGTGCTCACCGGTGCCAGCGGCCTTCACTGGCTACACGCGTTCGTTTTAAGCGGCAGCAGCAGCAGCAGCAGCAGCAGCAGCAGCGGCCATGCTGACCAAGAAGAGGAAGTGCTGCCGAGCTTGGCAGAAGACACTGCGGTGTCGGTGCATCAGCAGTTCGTCCAGTGGCGAGAACCAGACGAGTCGATCCTCTCGGGTTGTTTCGTTAAAGAGGCGACAGAGCAGCAAAGCGTGCTGGCAGTCATTACGGCTGCCTTCAGCCTTGAGAGGATCGTTTTCTCTGTCCCTGGGGAAGGAGGGGCCGCTTCACAGCGACGTCGAACCCCCGCTGCGACGATGAAGCCCATCGAGCCCTATAAGGCCCCTCCAAGAAGAGTCTTGAGGGAGCTTCTTTTGCAAGACAAACAGCTAGAGGAAGCAGAGGTAGGCGGCGCCGTGGGTGCACGGGTTGGTGGTGCTGCTGCTGCTGCGGGGGTGCGGAGAACAGAAAAAAATTGCTCTTCGCGTGCTTCTTTCAAGCGGTTCTTTCGCCTTTCTTGTCACATATCTACCTGTGGCTGCTGCAGGAAGCTGAGGGCCCCTCTGCAGAGCAGCCCCCTCTCTCGGTGGCCTTCTCCGCAGCAGCAGCACCCAGGGGAACGGCCTCCTTCGGAACTGTCCAGGAAGAGCTCGACATAGACTGTGGGGCCCCCCCGGATGCTCAGCTGAGGTCTATGCTCAGGGCGTACACTGCAACAGCTGCATCCAGTGATGGAGTGCCTGTCTTCGGAGGTGAGGACGACTTAGGGTTGCAGGGGGCCCTTTCTGTGCCGGATGGCGGTGTATGTGTCGCTGCAGCTTAAGCGCGCTCTGTCGAATGGCAGAGAGCACGCTGGCGTCATATATATATATGTATAGTCGCCCTTTCACTGGTTGCGTTGCGGGTTACTGTTCTGCGATTTTGCTGCTGCAGCAACGGCAACAGCAGCGTCAGCCGTGGGCCCCCCCTTCTCCCCGAAGAAGGGGTCTCAGTACCCGGCCTCGCTTGTTCCGTCAAGAGGCCCCCAGACGAAAGCCTTAAAAGCCTTGGCGTCACTAGCAGCGCAGTCTCGTGAACGCCGGGAAGGCGTCCACTAGGCGTTCTTCCTGCTGTTGCTCTCCTTGCTGCTGCTGTTGTTTCTGCCCTTTGGCACCGGAGGCGTCCACAGCAGCAGCTGGGCAGCGTTCGGAGCATTTGCTACTTGAGACACCTTTTAAAAGTCTGGCTTTGTACTGAACCAGATGGACGATGCACTCCATACGCCGCAGGGTCTTCCTTCCTCTGTAGCAAAGGGGACAATAGGTCCCCTCAGGTTCTTTGCAGCTCCACGGGAAGGGTAGACGAGGGTGCCATAAGCGCGGCAAGGCTCGTGAGGCGTAGGGATGGCCCCACGTAAAGAAACTACAGCAGAGAGCCGTCAGTGCCGTAAGCCTTAGTTGCCAGCGGCGAAGGGCCGAAGCCCCCAAAGCGCTTTCAGGTATACTCTGCTTGACCCCCTCGTGTTGCGGACGTGGCTGTGTGCGTACCGGTGTGTGGATCTTTATAATGATCAAATGAAGGAGATAAATCTCCTGTTGGCACGACGGCTAGCTAGCCCCGCGCAGAGGAAGCTCTGGGAACCCCGCTTTGCTCCGCGTGCACAGGTACCCAAGCGGGGTAGGAAGCGGTAATGTTGCCGCTGCGAAACCTACAGCAGGAACTGGCTGCAGCAGCAGCAGCAGCATGGACGCAGCTAACGGCACAAACGGGCTACTGGCGATTTACTGCCAGGCCAGTCTTGTACAGCCGTCTCGCTCGCGCGGTGTCGGTTCGCCCTCTGGCGTTGGCCTTGGGCCAGTGGCGTGTATACGGTGTTTTTCAGTAACGTTCTCCCCGAAATGCTAGCTAGCCGACGAGCTACCTAGCCGCTGTGCGTGTGTGTGTGTCGTGTCTGCTCGTTGCGCGCTTCAGTCTGCAAGCGCAGGGGACTTACCGAGGCCACAGATGAGGCCCGGGACGCTAGATGCCGGGAACATCCCGTCTTCAGTTACTACATAATCCACGAACTGCGCGGGCGTAACATCATATGCAGGATTGACTACCGGCACTTGGAATTCGGAGTGGCAGAAGGCACAACGGGGATGCTGGTCCTGGTGCTGCTGCAGCTGTTTCTCTCCCGCTGCAAGTGTCGCTGCTGATTCGCCGCTTCCTGTCGATGCACCTCCATCGAGCAGCCCCTCCGCAGCTGCGGAGGCCGTGGCAGATGCGGGCCTAAGTACCCCTTGCGAGGGAAGCCCCGTAAGCTCCTCTGTTGAGGGCCTCCAAACCAGAGCCGGATCACATAGCTCATTAAAAGAACAAGAATCCAACATAACTCGATCGGACATCTTGTAGGTCTCCGTCACGACAATCACCGGCTTCGCATGCATTTTACCCATCATCGCAACTGTCGCTGCGCCTGCGCTATTGAGAACGCAGCCGTTTGCAAGAAGGGCAGAGCAGCCCAAAAGGACTTTGGTGATGCTCGTGATGTGATAAGAGAGGCCTGCGGAAGACAGAGGCAAAAAGGCAGATGAACAGACAAGTAGGGACAAGTGAAAGACAGTTGGAAGGCCTGAAACGACAAAGGGCATGCAGACAGATGCTGGCGGATCTGGGGAGCTCTGACATGAATGACGTATATTGCAGCGAGAGAGACAGAAAGACAGATACATGTCGCATGCAGAAGCAGGAAGCATCCTAAAAGTGCACTAATGAACGGAGATGTGGCGCTGCAGGCCGGTTGCTGAGACTCTACCGACGATACAAACAAACACCTCACAGCATACAAGAAATGACATACACTTTGCAGAGAGTGCAAAGTAAGGAGGAACACAGGATTTGGCATGCACGATTTGGCGCCTATCATTGAGCATAATTCATGACGCCTCAAAGGAGCCCTACGCACGGCTCACCATTTAGCATCGTATAAGTGACATATATGCCAGTGTCGGCGAAAGCTTTCGCTGCCTCCTGGCCAGCTCCGGTGTGCGGCACATCCACCATCACTACTGAGAAGTGGAGCCCCTGTTTCTTCGACTGTACAGACACCCCAAACAGACAAGAAAGGAGGGCCGACCGGCAGGGGTGAAGGCGGAGGCACGCAGCACAGAAACCCCATGCAACAAGCGCAAAATTGCTGAGAGAGAATAAAGGCTTGTTTCCAAAAGTGTATCATGAAGGAGCCACTCTTGGAAGATAAAGACGGAGCACAACACAACACTTTCGGAAGCAACCCTCTACCAGCGCGGCCCCTCCCCACCCCCTCCTCACCGCGCCTACCTGCAGAAGAGCACACGTTACGGCAGTGGATCTTCCAAATATCATGATGCTATCTCCGTCTTCAATGAGTTGCTGCTCCACGATGGAAGCAGCCATGAGCGTGGCGCTCAGCAGCCGGCATGCGATAAAGTTGGCAATGTCCAAACTCAGACGCGCTCTTGTCTCCTCCAGTTGCAAGGAAGCATAAGCTGCAGGGAAACAGATACATGCGCACACGGAAGACAGAGAATTTCCGAAAAACACACAGATCCGCAGATGGGAGGACATGGCACAAGTGCGATGGGCAGTGATGCAAGAAAGAGTGCAGCACAGCGCGGTCTTCTGCACGCTACTCCCCCTCCCGACGCGATAGAACGTGCGTTACGAACGAACTGGTTACATAGACTAAAAGGAAGGAACGATTGAGTGAGTGACTCCCTGTGCCTGTCTACGAGGAGCAAGAGAGGCACGGAGATTCAGACGGTGCGACGAACGAGGGGCACGCAGACCCCCTATCTGGTCGGTGGTCGACCAAGAGCAGGTCGTATGCAGGCGCAAGCCTCCATACAGGCGCAGAGAGGGGCAAGATTGCATAAAACATAAAAGTGCATGCACGTCGGGAACACGTCACTCGTCATGATATGTGAAGCAGCTAGTGCCGCATCCATCTACCAATGCACATAAGCCCCATTTATCTCTGCTTCTTCCCCAATGTGTGTGCGCTCCCCCTGTCTCTTTTGCGGCCATGCACAGAGAATATATCCGTGAATGCGCGTGCATATATGCAGGTATGAATGCATTCATGCGGCTAACCATGCATGACTGCTCAAAAGCTCATTTGGATGTACAGGGTGTATCGTTCGCACGCTTCCGAACAGCAATGCCACTGGGGCGACTCACTGGAGAGCTTGCGCTTGAGCCACCGAATGGTGCCACCCATTGCGATGCTGTGGGGTCTGCAGTGCGTAATAAAGTTGATCTGTCTGTCCAGCATTTGTTTCAGATGCTTGTCGACGGCCTGGTACGGGGGAGGTGAATAGTCCTCAATAAACCTTTGAAACGCTGACAGCAGAAAGCGCAAAGAAAAGCCGAGCATGCAACTTCCACACGCAAAAAGGGGGCCATAAACAGAGCGCACACGGGCGGAGCATGGCGCTGTGAGAGCCATACACGGATTTCCGCACACGACACTTGGGGAGTCAAGGATTCTTCCTGCCTGTGCATGTATAGGCAGGAAGAAGCATGCACTGGAGCGGCTGGCACCAGCAGGAGGTAGACGGCCAAGTATCGCTAGCAGCATAGACGTGACACATGCCTAGGGCCTCTATCGCCTCCGCTGACGCCAAGGTTCAAAAGAGGTGCTGCTGTTGCATGCAGCGCGCAGCAAGGGTCGCTTCGCCTTATTGCCCTTTGCGCGTGCCCCTTCTGCCCCTGCCCCTTCTGTGCAGAGTCTTCTGGCGCTGACGAGCTCCAGTGGGAAGCCTCTACTCACGCAGCGGCACAGGAACAAGGCACCGCCACCAAGAGGCGAGGCTAACCTGTCAGCATCGCCGCAGTGCGCGCGTTCGAGCCAACAATCTTTCTCTGCCCCATCTGCAGGCCGGCCCTAAGGACTGCGGGGTGGATACTTTCTTGTCGAAAGTTCATCAAAAATCGGATGTGTGGAGGCAGGCGCTCGTACTTAAAGCTCGAGGTCGAGCCTGGACGGGGGGGCCTCGTGCCTGAGGCCAGGGGTCCAGAACACATCAACACGAATCGGCAAGCGCAGAAAGGCGGTGCACAAGAGATTTCAGTACACGCTCACGCGAATTCCATGCAGATTCTAGCACAGTAGGGGCATGCAAACGTGTGTGCAGGCGCGCAGAGTGCCTCACCAATCAGTTTGCCGCGACCGCATTTGTCCGTGAAGCTGTCTTCCGGCACAACACATCGATCGTAAGCAGGCAAATGCGAGAAGGCACGTAGAGGAGGGTGGCGAGTGCACGAAGCACCGACGGGGGGAACTGCTGGTACTGAGGTCTGAACACCTCTTGTTGTGTATTGCTTTTCCGCCGCAGCGGAGTTGCCTGCTCTCTCAGCGCGCCGTGAATCTGGCCGGGATGGAGGTATGACACGGCCTGCGTCAGCTGCAGTTGAATCTCCCTTTGAATGGTTCGGATGCTCGAAACTCACCACGCGCTGATGAGGCACTCTGGACACCACTGGGGAGTCTGCAGAGGTGCTGCGCAGCGGTACAGGAACACCAGACGGAGGCGCTGCAGATAGGCACTCTCCACGCAATCTAGCACTGCTATCCCCAGAGGACGTCGAAACAGACTCTCGAGCGGCGAAGGATGGGCTTCTAGCGGCTGCCCCCGGAATCTCTCTTCCGGTGGTGGCAGTTGCCGCATCCTGGCTGCTGCGCCCTACCGCTGGTTCTGAAGCTGGGAAGGCTGAAGCAGCGCTGCTGGGGCACTCTGGGACCGTTACTGTCACATGATGCGCCTTCAGTTCTAAAGAGCTGGAGTCCTGGGGTGTTTCGGCGGCGCCGTCGCCAGCAGATCCTGTTGGGTGCTGATGCCTGTTCATTCTGCGGAGCAGGGGTGTCTGGAAGAAAATGTCCATAACCTTCTGACCGTTTCGAAAGAGAAGACTCAGCAACTCCAAAAATTGAGGACGGCATAAATGTATTGATCATGAGAATACCACAGGTTTCAAAAGAGCTGCAAATTCCCGGCACTGCGGGTTCGATTCGAGATACCGCACGCCCTCGCCCTCCTCTAGCTTCTCCCTATGCAGTCGAAACCAAAACAGAAAGAACAATGCAGCAGCATTCAGGACATTTTTTACAATACAAGTGCAACTTGCTTGTATCCATAGTGGCCAGCCATTCCGTCGCATGCAGCTTGCGGTACAAGCGGCCAGCACAATCTGATGAGCCCATAATACCTAGCCTTCAACGGCCTCATTTTCTCTCTTTGTGAGCTTAATTTAACTGAACTCTTGTGTTGCTCATAATCGCCTAGAAGCTTCTGCTCGGGGGCCTCATCATGACCCATACTATTCACTGTCTTGCAGCTGATTTTGGCCTTCTGGCAACGACATTTCAGAAACGAATATGAAATACCGGTGCTTCCTCTCTAGGTACTTTTGAGTTGTTGATACCGTTCGTGGGCAGCTCACATGGGCTTCCGCTTTCCTCACCAGGCATCGTCGTCTGCTATGGGCAAATGGCACTGCCTGAGCGCAAGGCCCAGACAACAGCAGCACAGGATTTCCTGGAAGTATCCGATGCGCTTTTTAGTCTGACCATTCTTCTCTAGGTTGGGGCCTCGACACAGGCGTTGGCCATAATGACTGCTACTATTTCGGCATGCAGGGCTTCTTCCTAGAAGGGCACATTGGAGTCCTTTGCTAGCCTTCGCTTCGTTTTGTAGGGCGCATTTCCATGAGTGCATTTCCAGGTTCAGCCCGTGTGCTCTCCTACTTTGTATTTGTGTGGTTAATCGCTCTGTGATGCCTGATGATGACAGAACGCAGTCCATTATCTGCATTCAAAGTGGCCCGATGAAATCCTATTTTCTTAGCGCGGTTTTTCCCATATTCTTAGGCGATTCATCCGTAGGCAACAAAGGAAACAGGCCAGCCTTATGGAGTTACAAGATCCATGGATCGAAGTGCCCTTAATGCTTCGCTCTTATGTTGAGTTATGCCGTTTTATCTGGGCTGGAAGCCCCCAGTGCAAATCAAGCCAAGCCACGGAACACTTCAGTACAGATATCACCAGAAGTTCTGCTGTTCTATGCACGAGGCAGAACAAACGAAGCAAAAACGGCTGTCGACAATTCACTACTGTGCGCATGACAATGGCTAGTTTGCCTGTCAGCCAGTAGTTCTGTGGTGTGAAATACACGTACCGATATTTCTTCTCTCTGCACCACACTTAAAAAGAAATATGTGCAGGCCGAACGTACGCGTCCAGTTGCTTTCGCAGCTAGAAGTGTCAGATCATGAAGTTAGAGAGACAGCTTTCTTTTGATCTCGCAAATACTGAACTACGGAAAGGGGGCACAGCATTTATCAGGACCAATAAAAGTTGATTTTGATTATTCAACTGTAAGCAGATATTTCTACGCATGTAGTTAGACGGAGCATCGGAGAAAAGTTAGACTTCACGAAGCAGATTTTCATGTTTCTGAATCTTCAAATTCCTATAGGTGCTCGAGCTGGGAGTACGGCCATCCGTAGCTGCCTTAAGAAAATTTATCTAGTCACTGGTAACTCAGATGAGGGCACATGCTTATTTATAGTATATTAAGCTTATTGCTTGTGTAGGGCTATCAATGAGGAAAAAGTGTTGAGTGTAAATGTATATCCGCTACGAATGCAATTCAGCGCCAAAAATCCGAGAGCTGGGCAACATTTACATGGCAATAGAATGCAAGGCCATCATTCTTGTGTAGAATTGCCCCAACACGGCTTGACGATACTCAGCTCGCGCTGCCCTATGCCTGCGAGCTTTGCATGGCACTTCGTCGAATTGCCTGTGCGCTGTTTGCTCGTCTGTACATGTACGTGCATGCCTTGTTTATTTCGATGGCCTACAGCTTTTGTCATAGTTGTTTGGCGCCAAAATCACCAAATCCGCCCTCAGAGGGAGGCAGTTTAGGCAATCATATAATGCTGATGAAGTGGGCAGAAAAAGCCGACTTTCCTCGCACAGGCAGTATGACCGCAATCAAAAATGAGCACTGCCAGCAAGCAGTTGCAACACTCGTGCACAGCTGGTACACGGCGGAGGCCCCTCTCATCAAAGTAATCCAGCGATCTTGCCGGGCACTGTGAATTTCCACTGCTGCGTAAGAAGAATGGTTGCTGTCAACATTGTTGAAGCAGCACAGCAAGAATCCTCGGCGAGGCACGTGCAAGCTGAGTTGATTCTAATCAGATTACCATTCACATCTACCGGCAAAGGTGAAGGAGCGTCTTCTTGTGGTGGCCGCACCAGCCACCACCGTGTATGAACTTGTAGCCGTCTTGGGGAATTCCGTGGACGGCGAATGCCAGCGGAATATTTGAGATCTTAAACTATACCTATTCACCTAAAGGATCGCTTCCTGCATCTACCGGTTTGTTTTTCCGTACTTTCCACCCTCCCTGCCAACCCCCGATTACGTATGCCCCACCCGCGGGCACACTGAAGCGATGCAAACGGGTGACCGATCTTGAGCAGAGCTTAGCAGCACCTCCCTTACACGGTGCTTCGTGGTTCAGATGGACAGGAATTCGCCTTCTTTGACTGGCTAAACTGATGGCTCAGTCTCACGCTTGTCTTTAAGCAAATGCAATTTTACGTACATGGAAACATTCTGATTTCCAATGAAAGTCGTGTTAAAAGAGAAGAATTGAGCATTCCTGTTTCGTAGTGCTTCTTTAACCGAAGGATCCGACGCAGGGGAGTGGCAAAATCGGTGAAAGCATGCAGCCCACCCCCACAGCAAAAATCAAGCTTTTATGCCTTTTCTTTAGCCCCCTTCCACACTGCTTTCCTCCAAACTGCCATGTAAGCCTCGCCATTCCTGCGAAACAAATGGTAAGCCGTGGGGTGGGACTCAAGACCGCAACCCTTGCGAAAGAAACACTCGGGACAATTGAAACACGCCCCATGTAGCGACTGAACAGGACCCCGAATAGGGCACTCGCTGATGCCGACACTGCCTCCTTCCTAGGAGCCACCCCCTCATGGGATGAAGGGGAGACGGGCCGGCCAAAATCGATCCTCTATCGAACCTGGAAGCACTGGTATTCCCAGAAAAGCAGCACACGTCTGCGTGACCGGGGCACAGAGAGGATTTTAGAGCTGATACAAACATGCACTTTTCGCGATTTGCGGCGCGTAAAACAACATGCCCATCCCCTCTGCTGCGCAGCCGGCGCTAGTTGGGGTTCCTTGCTGTGCCTTCCGCCGTACCGGCAGAAGCAGATGTTGTTGCAGCAGGCACGCAAAAAATCAGCGAACTCTTCGAAAGGTACTGTCTAGCGAGCAAATGAAAGTAGGTACTCCTTACGAGTAGCAACCGGACCACTTCCTCTGCCTACTCGCCACCCGTAAGACTGCTACCCCTATCATTGCTGCTGACGGCGCAGCAAATCCACCTGCTTTCAAATGAATAAAACATCAGAGGCTCTGCGGCAGCAGCCGTTCCCCCGCATGAGACGACGAATCTGCGCACACACAAACAGCCGTCACACACGCCGTAAAAAATATACACTTTCTGCAACAGGTGTTTGAAATGTTGGGCTCCCGAGCCTCTAATCCGTGGGTGGCCCCTGCTGTTGCTGTAGCCAGCACCCTCGTAGGCTGCAAGAGCTGCGATAGTGAATCGTTCAGCTTGTTTGAAACGTGGAAAATGGGGAAAAGAGGAATAGATTTGCGCCCAAAATGAAAGCGAATGGGAAGGGGAGGGAATGCTGGAGGATGCGATGGGGAGGCAGGAGCAGAAAATTACGTCTCGCATGCATATCTGCCAGTACAGCCCAGAAGGACTTACATTTGTTTGAACACACATAGAAAGTAGGCCGCCCTATTGCCCATAAGCAACGTCTAAAAGCGTCAGCGCCATTACTAAGACCGCCCCACTGCAATACGTTAAAAATTGAAAAAACCGTGTTTTTCTACAACCCTGGAAAGCAGAGCCAGATATCTGCACACACGCACACAAGTGCAAGCCGAATAAACTCTCAATCTCAGTCTAAGAAGGTATCTGGCAGCTCGAACTCTATCAGGTGTCTCGGACCCACGGATTGAATTCCTTGCTAGCCAAAGAGCGTGCCAGCAATCTAGCTAGTTGGCTACCTCGCAAGCCGGTCCAAAACGAGCCACTAACCTCTGATGCAATATAAAAGACAGTACCAGCTCCCAATGCGTTGCAGATGCCAGAGGCAAGCTTTCCCTCAGTGGCCAAAATCGCTCCAACCAAAACTCCCAATGGCGAAGAACATGCGAAGGTTACGATCAGCAGGGCAGTTGCCATCACACACTGCAGCACACACCCAATTGCCCTTCGACCTTTGCAGCAGCAAGAAGCCCAATTTCAAGCGGAGCCTCCGCATCCGCCTCTATAAAGCCAGCATTCCTAGAAAATTATCCTTATTTCGTTTCACCTCTTAGAGCTCGCCACACATACAGACCCCCTGCAAACCCTAAATCTTAGAGCCTTACGGTCTTCCGCTCGAGAAGCCGACACATGAGGAGCATCGCTTCAGCCCATTTATGTCCGATCACAACCGCTGACATCATCCACATCATTGAGAGATCTCTGGCTGCTCCAACAATGACGCCTGCAGGAAGAGTCGCACAATACGTGCAGGTGACTAGGCTACGCGCTGGCTAACCTCGTTAACGCCTACCCACTGCATGGCATCTGCATCCAGGAGGCTCAAGCGCGAAAAGGATCACAGAACACACCTCAAACCGCGTAACTCACCCTCAAACAGGCCATGCACCGCAAGGGCAAGCATCGTGAAGAAGGCCGTTGAGTCAAAGTGACCACTTTCCATCTTGCATTCCGGTTCCCCGCTAGCGTCTGGGTGCTCAGTATGGGTTGCATCCTCCAGTGCCCTCGGCACGCAATCCCCCTCGCATGTCGCTACTGCCATTTCTATGGGGCCTCTGACGTCCAAAGCTGCCGCATCAAGCACAATGCGCACTAGCCTCTCTGAAGGAAGAACGAGGTACGCCCCCGACCCCTTCGGCACAGCGCGCGAGAAAGGGATTTACTCAAGATAAAGTGCCAACAGCCACTGCGGCGACGGCACAGCCCACCGTAGGGAGATCCTTCTATATCATGCTCGTCGGTCGAGTGGCTGCTCTTCGTGGTGCAGCTGGCCTTCCCGTCCTTCCGCCCCTCTTCGCTTACAACATCGTAGTGTGAAAGTGCTGCGCCGCATCCACACCCCAAACGCCGAACTACACATGAGGATCATCGCAAAAGGGACCCCTTCCGCACTGCCCAGTTTCCCATCCCCAACCCCGCTTAAGACCTACAGTCTCCACAGAGGACGCCTTCGCAAAAAAGAATAGTAAGGTATCCTATGAAGGCCAGGCAGAACGTGACGGGGTACGGATTTCCATTCAGGTGTATGTACACCTCTAGCTCGTCCAGCAAGTTCACAGCTTCGGGCATAATGTGAAGAACTCCCAAGGCGAGGAAAGCCCCTGTAGTAACCCACACATGCACACATCCTAGAAAGAGGCATTTAGTGCATGGCTGCATGTATAAGATGCAACATATACATACGAAATAGCCCACGAGCCTCCCCACCGCCGCACTCCGCCCGCCTACACTACATTTCTCCGGCGACAAAGAGGATGTTATGTCACCGTAACTGAAGAAGGCACCAAAAGAAGGGATCCAACAATCTAGAGGGAGCACCTATTTGAATACCATACACGAATAGTATATAGCATGGATCCGTGTGTTCACGCACCTGCGGCGAACGCATTGAGATATATGATTCGGCTGCCCAATTCGCACCGCTTTAGCAAAAACGGAACCGCCGCTCCCCAGAGAGCGGTGAGAAAGAAGAGAAGGGCAGCCGCTGCCTTGCAGACGGCAAGAGTTACGGACAGCCGCATTGTTTCTTTTGTTGATAAATACAGGCCTCACAAACGGGCGATGCTGATGCCGCTGCTGCTACTTCTGACGATGCAGTGGGCTGTCCGTCCGTAGACCTCGTAAAAAGGGTTGGTACAATGCCACAAAATTGAAGGCGCAGCGGTCAGCGGGTGCCCAAAATTTCAATAACAATCTAAGAAGCACAGCGGGAAGGGGGGGAATTCGCTGTCTGGTGTTGGCGCGATGAAGCAAGCACACTGCCCACTACGGGGTCGGCCCCAAAACTCCACGAATGTTACCACAAATCAATAATACAGAGTGGCACCCTGAAACGTAGTCATTCAGGGTGCCTCGACAAAACTGCTCGTCGCCCTGGCCGTTGACTTTCTTCTCTATGTGATTTAAATAACGTGGGTGTGAGTGATCGACAAGACAGGACAAAAGGCGGCGCTCCTTCGTGCGGCGTGGAACCGCCTCTATTGGATCTAGGCCATGCCACAAAGCGATCCGTTCGTGGGTTCCTTCAGTCTTTTATAGGCGCATTCGTAGATCCCTGTATACTGCTATTGGCGCCCTTGCTCCGGTAGGTCCAGCTGCTACTTGCCCCGGAGGACCCTAATCGCCCCTTCAAATTTCTCCTCAATGAAGCGGATCCAGCTAAATTCGCTGGAAAACAATGTACGGCAGGTTTCTAATTAACGTAAACTACAACGGTGTCCTCGTGATGCTGCCTTTTGCCCCCGCCGCTCCTGTTGCCACTCCTGCTGCTGTTCCTCTTTCTGCAAGAATGGATATCGACGAAGCAACTACTGCAAATTTGAATTAAAGGAGCCATGCATGGGCAAAGGAACAGAAAATGGGGAACTAGGGGAAGAGTGAAGAGCAGTGCTCTCAACAGAAGGCAACTGCGGCGCGAAGCCCCAGCTGTCGTTTTGCCAGTTGTGATGAAGATCCAGAATGCAGCCGCAGTGACGGCGTTTTTTCCTTTACCCCCTTTTACCCGCTGGCATTAAGATACGTTTGCACGTTGACACTTGAAAAGGGTGAAAGTTTTCAAAGAGACCCCTGATGTCTTGTGGAAAGATGCCGAAACCCATCAGCGCCAGGGGAGCGTCTGGCTGATGCCCCACAGCTGTCCTTTTCCGAGGTGCGTTGCGCCATATATTTGTCATCACACGTCCTATATAATGCCTTGAAACGATGGGGCCTTACAAATGAACAGCGGACGTCAACGTTAGAAATAAATACCCTCCTGAGTGTCATCTCCTTCCGCTGGCATGTCCTCTACTCAACGGTAGCGATTGTGTTGTACAGAGGGCTGGGATAAATTTGCTTTTACCTGCGGAAATCTGTGGCGAATTGATACGCTTGAGGGTAGTTTGGTGTAGTGCCTGCTGTGTACGCAAAACAGCTGGATGCTCGATCCTGTAGTTGCACGCGGGCAACGCTGCACACCCTTTAGAGTGTGCTCCGTAAATTGCACGACACTCACTTTTTAAACTGCTAGAGAGATTCAACTAGCAATTTTTAAAAGATAATAAACGCTTGGTTTGGGTGTGTTGGTGCCATATCCATTGCAGAATAACATTTGCGTAACACGAGAAGAGTCTTGTACACCCGTTCGCCAGTTGCATTGCTCAACTATTCGTGAATCCGTAGACTGCTTCGCGGATGCAGCAATGCTGATCCAATCTAAGTATCCTTTGCCTCTCTTACCCGTAAACATGGAAGACAACGACAGGGAGGTGGGGGGGAGGTAGATGAGGGGCATTATACAGCTTTCTATACTTCTGTATAGGTTTCGAGGCAAATAAAGTGTCTCCCTATAAAGAGCCTGGAACAGGGTACGCTAAATCCTACGGGGGAGTGCACGATAAAAACACTCCGCGATATCGACGTGGTCTGCATTTGGCTCGCACGACCTTGGGTGGAAGGTCATCGGACTCCTGCTCATAACCAGAGCTCACATCAGCGTGACGTAAGGTGCTTTGTGTTGGCTCCACGCTTCCCAGTATAGCGCCTTCCGCCCTCTCAAACCTAACCATCTGGCTAGCACAGGCTCTCCGGAAGAAGTTGCTGGATGATCCTTTAGCACTACTTGTGGCCAACAACAGCCTGCCAAAGCAACCCATTTCTCTCTTACAATATAGGGAAATCGGTACCGTGCCAAGGGAACAAGCTAACTCCAAATTTACATGGAGGTTACGAGACGGGGTCTCGCACTATAAGTCCGACATATCACGCCGAACGCCATCGAGTGTAACATGTCAATGGGCTGCAACCTTCTCCCCTGATGCTATATCCTCTTTCTCTCTTTGCTTGCTATCTCGAGCCTGTCCAGTCCCTGCAAGGCTTTGTGGATGCGCGACAAACGGCGGGAGATCGCTGCGTCCCTCCCACGGCGGTTCGCAGCTAGCCAGCGAGCTGGAAATTGGACGTGAGATGTCCTGAGAAGATGCTGTTGGGCGACGAATCTTTTGCCGCCTTTCCCTTCTGCACGCTCTCTATCGTGCCATTCTTAGAATCCCTCCTTTAGCACGTAGAGAGCAAGCCAGCACCATTTACAGACGGAGCTTACAATAGACCGACGCACACGTAGGAAGTGGGGCAAGTCAGAGGCACACAGAAGAGGATGCAATCCAGAAAACGATCGGTGAAGAGCCACCCTCTTCAACCGCTAAAAGAGACGCATTTAGCTTTTGTTTTGGGGCCTCAAGTCGATGCTCAAAACCTGGACCAGCTTCAGACTGTGGGGTCGCCCTTATGAAACCAGTGGAGCGACTTCCGCTCCCGCTGCCGCTGCATGTCTTTGACTAGTCGTTCTTCTTCGACAACGACAGATATGGCGTCAGCTGATGCGGAGGGGCAGCCGTCATGTTGTAGCGCAGCGGGAAGGAGTTTTGGACGGGGCCCCTAAGCACAGTAGCACCAACAAAGGACAGCGGAGGAGCGCACAACCTGTTCATTCGTAAGATTTTAGCCTCCGTGGGTGCGGAGACCTCATTTTGAGGCTGCTACAAAGTTGGCACGCCCACAATGGTGGACCGCGTAGCAGCAGGAAAGGAGGCGTATTTCAAGTTATCTCAATGGGAACTGCAAGCCATCAGAACGCGTAGTGGGCATGAGATAGGCTATCTGGGGAGGGCTGTGGGTGAGTTGCGGCTTACACCATAGTGCCAGTCAAAGTCGGCATTCATGGAAACAGTATCCGTCATAGCTCCTAGGGCGGCCGAGAGGAGGGCCCTTGGCTTGTCGGGGTGTACGAACAAGAAGGAATAGCTGTGATTCTGGAAGACGTAATGCCTTACTGCATACTTGAACTTGAAAGGAGATTTCAAGTAGGACACACGCCACTCACGACGACCCCGACGCTCAGGCACTGGCCATGGGATTCCTGGTGCCCCCGCTGCTGCCGATGCGCCCTCTGGCTCATGAGTTTCTTGAGCAGGGAGCCACAGGAGGGACTGCTTGAGATTGAGGATGGTTTTTTGCAGCTGAGTTGTAGAGGGAGACGAATACACCACACGCAGAGACCGCAAGGAATACCCTGGGAGCCCTATTGCTTTCGCTGCTCCTGAGGTCGAAGCGGCCACCGCTGCCGCAGATGCTCTTGGCGGCATCTCTCCATGAAGGAGGACAACGGATGATGATGACGAAGATGCCAAATCCAATGATACTGCTGCGCTATCCGTCGGTACTTGTAGGCGGCGCTGACGCAACTGTCGGGGCCGTTGCCGTTGAAGCAGTCCTAGGGGTCCCTGCTGACACTGCCGCAGAAGCTTAAGCTCCTGTAACTGAAGAGGCAGGATTACACCTTTGCGAAAGTGCCTCAAATGGGGGCTTTCAGAAAGGTGCGTGGGGACTCGCCACCGAAGACGCAGTAAGTATCATGGGGTCCTGAGAAACCGTCGAGGGGCCCCTGGAGGCTGCAGAGGCTTTCAGGGGCCCCTGGATCGGTGATCGGCAATTTTAGAATTCCAAGAAGCGACACCCAACTATGCTACTATAAGTCTCCCTGTGCTCCAAATCAAGCATCAAGCCCACAGCGCGAGATACGCACCTCTTGCTCTCGTGGTTCACTGCCGAGGCAGATGCGACCTCCTGCAGGTCGGAAACCGCGGACTGTAGGAACCAGTATTTCATGTTTTCGTACAAAAAGTGTGCCAAGTAGATGGTCGCTGTGCTGAGATAGAGCAAGGAAGGACATCAAAGTTTCATGGGCCCTCCTGGCTGCCCACTCGCCAAGTGACCTAGCAGTTTCATCGTTTGCATTAGCAGCAATGATAGGAGCGTAAGTCACAGTTGCCAAATAATTGTTCGGGCTTGCAGTACGGTATCTGACGCATTTGGCGCAATAGAGAAAAACATGCCTGCGCCGTATGCACCAGACGCACACCCCAGTAAACAGCTCAGGAGATCGAGAAGCAAGAGAGAGGCAGTAAATTGGGTTGCGAAGCAGCGCGTTCAAAGTAGGAGTTAAGAGGAGCACATAAAAAGCGCGAAATAAGAGGGAGAGACCAAAAAGACGCAGAAGAAGCAGGCATTTTAAGCGCAGGGAGATGCTAGAGTGTAGCCTAAATCCTTTAGAATGGACCGTGGGCGATTTAGGAAGTCAAACCATCCGCTTGGGCCTTAGTGGCTCCCCGCGCCCCTCCCTGCTTGTTCCCTTGAGGTCACCACTCAACAAGGAGAGGCCTGAACCCGCGTCGGAGCCTATGGGACCTTCGGATATTGAGGATGCGGCGTTGGCAGGTGCAGGGCAATAGAACCTCACCCCGAAAGGACTTTATCTAAGCCACTTCCCACGGTTGAAGGCCCCTGCACGGCAGTACCTCACAGACTCGTGGCTCAATCTCTTGAAACTTTGGCCAGTGCTTTGCTGGCTATTGCGTTGCTCCTTCTGGGTAGACCAGTGCATGTCAAGTAGAAAGCATTCGGAAGCTGCAGGCTTTCCTAATACAGCACCCCTCAGGATCAGCTCGCTAACGGGATGGGTGACTTCCTAGTTGCTGGAATGGCGCGTGCATGGGTGCGGGCGAGGCTGTGACTGTGCACAGGTGGAACGGGGCCCCCGCTTATAGAGCGTGGAGTTGTGAATCGGTGGGACCCTCTACTCTCTCTCTTTTCTGCGTCAGCATCAACTCTTTGGATGCGAGAAGGGGAGTCTGACGGCCGTGGGTTCCTTGTGACGTTTCCGCCGTTAGAGTTGACTGCAGGCAAAGAGAGACTCCTCGAGTTTCTCTTTGAAACAGAACAGGCAACAGCTGTCGCTCTGCTACCGAGGGCCCCTCTAAGCCTTTTTGCAGCTGGTACAACTCCTGGAGAGGCCTTAAGGCTAGCCTGCAGTGTAATACCTATTACCCACCTCCTGGCATCAGCAGCAGCACGATGCTGCCAAGCGCACCGAGAAATACACATGTGTGCTGTCTGGACCTCCTATAGGGCACAGCGAGGGGCTGGTGGTAGAGATGGGCCATGGCTTGACTAGTGTCGTCCCAGTCCTTCAAGGTTATGAACTGCCGCATGCCACCTTCCGCATGCTTATTGCTGGTGCAGCATTCCACGAGCCTGAAGAAGCCCCAAAGCCTACGCCCCAGCTACACAAGGCACTCCATGGGGGCTGTATTAGCCCTTCCAACAAGCGTCAGATCACCACTCCGCAAACTAGCATTCTTGTACTGTGTTTGTTGCTTTCGCTCCTCAGGAGAGGAAGTTAGTAATGCTCTGAGGGCTGAGCTGACTAGGCAACACGGCATAGACCCGTCTCTGTTGCCCGTACAGCTCGTGGAAGCAGCCAAAGCGAGCCTCCTCTTCGTAGGGGCCCCTGATGGTGATCTATCTACGGACCCTGCGAAACGGTTTGAGGAAAAGGCGCTTGAGCTTCCAGACGGGACCGTTATCGAGGTGAGATTCAGGAACTTAAAAAAACCTGGCTCATGCCACGATGCGGCTGCTTGTACAGATGTGAATCCCTAGGGCACCCTTTTTGGCTGGTGGTGGCACAGAGGCAGCTCTAGCGCCAAACTCTAATTCCATAGCCGTACGACTTCCCCACAAAGCTCACAAATACTCGAAAGGCCTGCTGTACCCGCCCTGCTCAAAGAGAAGATATTCAGTCCGCGCAAATGCATGCACTTGCAGCGACCTAACTGGGGTGTGCGTGCGCTCGGTGTGTTGAATCCCCTTCAGCTGGACGTGCGCGCTCGTAGTTTCCCAGCCGAGGTGTACTTCGGCCGTGGCACCGAAGCCCCCTTACCTCCAGCTTTGTCTGAAATCGCCTCACTACAAGGGCAGCTCATGTTGCGACCCTCATTGCCCTCCCTAATCGCTGCCTCCCTAGAAACCTTAGACGGTCCCTTGCGTGAAATCTTGGGAAAGCAAGTAGTTTTTTGTCGTGGTGGTTCTCTGCTACCAGGGCTGCGGGAGAGGGTCGGTCCCGAGCTGGTAGCAGAGATGGAGAGAAGAGTGAGCGTGCCCACTGAAAGCACGCTTTCCGCCGTCTCGCTCGACTTTCACAGTCAGAGGGAACATGCCTCATGGATCGGGGGTTCAATGCTGGCCTCTCTCTCCACCCTCCCGGCCCTAGCTATCAGCAAAGAAATGTACGCAGAGGGAAGGGCAAACAAGGCTGCGCTGATAGAGCAGCAAGTGGGAGCGCCCCCATAGTGCTGAACATGCACCACCCATTCCCGCCGACAGGTGGGAGAGGGAGGGAGCATTTCCGTGACAAGCTGAAGTCCATGTTCACAGGTCTTTCCTCCTACTGCGGGCAGGGAAACAAGAGTGTAGTCGAAAGCATCACTGCATGCATTCTAGGCCCTACGCCCCAAGCACTCACATAGGCTACTCCTATATCCGCTAAGCTGCACCTGACATGGTGATATCAGCGAAAACAAGCAGGGAGAGAAGAAAGGGGCACAACGGTAAAAGGCAGCATGCAGGCAACCTAAAGAGCCGACGCGTCTGTCTCTGTTCAAATCCAATACACAGATGCTTGTACGGCGGAGTTCGCTTGCGCGCAAGGCATATGCCGCCGTATATCCATGCCTCGAGGCCTCTAGCTACTGCCGTCATTTTCTCGGAAGTGTGTGCTAGATGCAGAACCACAACAGTTCAAGATCATAGGAATAGATACTTGCCGACGCATATGTGCGTCCACCTGCTGGTATATGTGTGCAAGTGTGCATTTACTTGGAAAGGTGGGTCGAGTGCCAATTACCATACCAAGAAAGCCAGTGTGTATAGACACTAAATCAAACGGCCAGCAAAAAAGCAGCCCTTGAGGAAGAGATACAGATAATGTATATACATATATATATATATATATACATACATACAAACTTGCAAGTATTTTCATGCATACACACCAGCAAGTAGAAGGCACGCTACCATAGAGAACTAGTCCTTGACGGCCCAGAATCGCGTCCTCTGTCTCTCTCCTCCTTCTCCCCCGCACTCTATAAGGAGATCAAGAGGTAGGTGTCTAAAGCGACCTTGTGAATAGAAGCGACAGGCATACCGCCAGAGACTGTACACGCCTAAACACGTGGGTCTCTGCACCCACCCACCCGCCCACAAACAAACAAACAAACACACACACACACACACACACACACACACACACACACACACACACACACACACACACACAAAGTCACATAAGTGCCCGCATCCATGAGAGGTATTAATACATACATCTATGTACATACATCATGTGAAAGTTTATAGCGACTGCTCAGAGATATGCTTAGTGGGCAGGCCACCCGTGAAGAGCCTACACGTGCGTAGGGGATGCTATGTATTTCTGTATGTCCCTGTATATCCATATCCTCATATATATACATTGCTAGGAACATATTCCACAGTAACTGCATTTTGACGGAGGCACGCACGCATGGATGTACGGTTGTACGGAGCGAGTAAGCACAGGCTTGTAGAAAGTGTACGTGTGCGGGTGTCCACACCTGGGGAGAACGATTCGATGCGTCACAGCATAAACCTCTCTTTTCGAGTATATCAACCCATAAAGGTTCTTTCGAGCTCTGCCCAAAAATCAAGCTGCAAGACATGTGCCGCTTACGCAAGACGCCTAAAAAGGGGCGTTTGGGGAGTGCGAATCACAGTTCGTCATGCCCCGTCATTTCTTCGTCTTCTTCATCCTCATCCTCTTCATCCTCGCCCTCCTGCTCCTGCCCGCTGTGCTCTTCCGTTTGCTGCTGTTGCTCGCCGTCCCCCTGTCGGCCTTGCTGCTGCCGTTGCTCGCTGCCCTGCGCAGCCGCTGCCTCGGTGGCCTCGCTGCCGCCGCTGCTCCTTTTCAGTTTGTCTCTTTCTTCATTGAAAGCCTCTTCTTCGTGCGTCTCGAGAGAATCAGACAGCGCCCGGAGCTCAGCCCTCCGTCGCGGCCTCTCGGACTGGCCGGCGGCTCCAGGCGAGGGGACTGTCTCTTCGCCTTCCCACAACAGGTGGAAGACTGGCACCACAACGTTCTTGTGAATACTCTTGTAGATCGCCGAAGTGCTGATTATTGCAGAGCTGCAGAACAAGCACAACGCGCACAGCCGGAAAGAAGAGATACTCAACAAGTATGCCTGCGCGCAAGCGTGCTTGCAGGCGAATTTTGGGGTCGAAGGGGGGGCCACAAGTAGGATCACAAATAGTTACACTAAGGGAAACCGGCAGGCACAGAACGCGCGCAGAGACGCGGCTGAGGTAAGCCATCCGGAGCCTGAACATCGCATCGTGTACACCCCAACCCCGTTCCTTGCGCACTCGATATCCCATCCATAGACGAGCGAGGAGAAGGCGTAGACCGTCATGGCAACCCTAGTGACATGCGCCGTTATATGCTCCAGAAATACTGCTCCTCGAGAGTCCTGAGAGCAAGCCGCCTGCCTAAGCCACAGAAACGGTGAACACACACGCTTCCAAGCCACCCCCCGCTTCGCTAGGGCCCCTCTTTCTTTCCGCCTCGCCTTCACCCCCTTAAAGCCTAGTGCGTATAAACACGCAGAGACACCCCTACCGTAGATCCCAAGAGGACCTTTCGCCCCGCTTTGAGGCGCAAGTAGTTGGCCTGCACCGGAGTAGAGGCTGAGAGCTCCTGGAAAGCTGACGGCACTGTGGGTTGCAGCATCAAGGGCCTCAGAGGGGCCTCCCGCGAAACATTGAGCGTTCCCTGAGTGGCAGCGCACCCATACTGCCGAAAGCATGGCGATAGGCGTAAGGAACACAAACAGACTACTGCACAGTGCACAGGCAGCGAAGCGGCATGCACGGCAGGACGCGTGCCAACACCAGAGAGAGAAGAGCAGGAGGCGCACGTTGGCCGTCTCAGCGCACCTCGAGAGGCAAGATGTATCTCTCCTGCTTGCCACTGTTGATAACAATGCTGGAGCCGGCAGGAAGGACTCGAAGAAGCAGCATCTCGTCCACATCCGCCATCAGCAGCTGCGTGCGGACCGCAGATCCTGAAATACACACAACACCGACCCGAAGCTTCCTGTTCTGCGCGTGGGGAGAGGTATACGTGGAGGCTGGAAGAGTGCTGGATTGGCCGCTAGGCTCTGTACAAGCAAAGCGTTGCACAGCAACACACAGCAGCCACAGATAAGAGAGAGCAACTCCAGCATCCTTAGGCCTTTGCAGCCTACCGTAGTGTTCGTAGGATACGAAGAATGGAGAATAGGCCCAGTAGCCGCCAACAAAGTTCGCCTCAAGTGAGGCACCCAAAAGGTCTAAGTGCTCCTCAATGGTCAGAGTGTCATCCTGGGAACAAGCACAGCGCAACGAACAAGCGTACAACTTAGAGCAGCAAAGAAAAAATACACACATCTTTGAGAAAAGAACAGGTGTCAGAACGGTGAGGCGAGCCAACGGAGGGAAAGACTACTGTCGAAGGATCCATGTATGCAGCTACGATAGGGGTTACCCGGTGGGCATGCGCAGCGACATCTTTGCAGAAGCTACGTTTGACAGCCAAGAAGGTAGCAGCAGCACTATTGCAGCGGCTATTAAAGAATTGCAAGTGGTCCATGCAGCACGTTTCATTCGATGGTCAAACAGCCCAGACATGGTGCGGCTTTCCGGAGCAGCGGCATACCTCAGTGCCAACAATGCCGTCTGGTCCCGCACGCCGTGTGTTTGCGAAGGTCACAACGTCCTCAACGCATGCCATCGTACCTGCGCCAGTCAGCCAACCCATTCGCGAAGGTGTAGTAATCCCCCCTACATCAGACCTTCGATCCTGCTTGCCCATAGCCGGCAAACAGCACACAGAAAAATACGCGGGAGACCGTCCATTCGAGGAGGCGTTCCTGGGGAACCCCCCAAGCCTTAGAACTGCGTCCGGTCATGGGCTTTGGTGCATCAGCAACGTCCATTGAAGCAGAAGATCTAAGCATAAGAGCCTCCCTTGTATGTGCAGAAGATCTGCAAAAATCCCTGTTTCCTCCCACGGCCGATACGGGAAAGCCCACTAGCAGGGAGGGGTTGAGGCTCACCGCGTGCGACATATGCCGGCGGGCTATCCTCCACGGGTACAAATGTAGGAGCCGTTTTCCTATTCTTTTCCTCTTTCAAAATGCAAGTGAATGCTCTTGTGTCATGCATCTCGAACTGCATGAGGCAGAGCAGAAAGACGATGATCACCACCCCAACCAACCACAAATCCCGCCACATTGTGCCTTGCCAGAAAGCAGGGAAGCGCGGGCAGAAGACAACTGGAGTTTAAAAGAATTAAGCCTTATAAGGGATTGGTGAAGTGTAAAGACACCTAAACTTTATATTTCAGACAGGCATGCATGCGCCGAGAGGGACTGTGTAGAAGCGTGCCACAGGCTCTTGCTAGTGCAGTCCTCAAGCGTCTCAGGCTTTAATCCGCCGGGTTTCTTCTCCTTCACTTCATAATTGTATGAACGCGAAACACCCTCTACATGCTAGTGTTGATATGGCCTATTTCCCTGTAGTGAATAGTTGCTTTCTAGAGGATCGGGTGGTGGGCAAGCCCCCAATAGGATTTTTCTCACGATCAGCATGTGCTTCTGCATGCTTCACGCGGTTTAGCAGGTTGTTCAGAAACTCTATCTGTCAATCCTCAGTGCCATCTAGAGCCTGCAGGCGAAACATTTTTGTGCCACTGCTTCTGAAACAACTCCATTAGGAAACAGACTTGGTTGGTGTAGCTCCACTTACCAAAAACTTAGCCATGCTCGCTTCAGCTTTAGTTAAGCATTAGACGTCCGCATTTTCCTCGGTTGTTTCTTCTTTATTTTACAGTTTTGGCGCCGCATGAGTAAGATGAATGCTGGTTTCGCTTGAGCTGCCAGTGTGTACTAACCTTCTACAGATGCCACAGGGTACAATTAAATGGTCCGAGTGCTCGGAAGGTCCAGCAATCCCCACATGCCCTGCCAGCGGTCTTATCTCTTCTCTATTTGAGGAACATTGTGGAACAATAAGTATAACTAGAGGGGGGAGGGAGATCCTAGGTAGAAGCAGATCATGAGGGGCCTTTATGCTTCAGCTGGGCTTAAGGAGCGGAGGCTCCTCTTAATACGGTCATTAGGCAAAAATTCAACAATCACCACATGCTACTAGCACTTGCGCTTACAAAATTGCCATGCAAACTGAGTATGACAAATAGACACAGTGGGAATGGCTGTAAACGGCATCGGCAAGTGTATAATATCAGCTTCATACAAGCATCAAAGTTCATTTGAAATTGCGTTAGTTAGAGAACTTGGTTGCATTTGTACTGCAGTTGTAGCTGCAAGCGAGCTGGGCCCCACTTCGGCTGCAGCGCTCCATCTAGAGTATCTGTAATGAGATATTTCATTTCAAGCCATCTACCATAATGAAAAGTTTTGAGCCTTTACCAAGTGCATTCCCTTTTCTCCTGCCCCCAGCACGCGAACCTCTCAACATTAGGGGAAGAGGACAGCTAGGCTGCACGTTCTGTGCACTTTGAGCACGTTGCATGTAGCGCGCACCCACACCACCGTGCATCTCATTGTATTGAACTAACACTACTCTCCAAAAAAAAGGATGTGCAGCCGAACAAACCCTGTAGTCAATTCCCTACCAGTTCCTAGTTGAATATAACTGGTAAAACAGGAATTGGTGAAGTGTAGCCTTGTCCGTTACATCTTCCTCCTCCTTTTAGAAGGACGCCTTCTTGTCTCGTATCTGTTCGTGTCGAGAAAAATTTCAGGAAGTACAGCAGAAGGATTTCCTCCCTATCAACACCTGCTAAGCAAGGAGAAGCGCAAGCACACAGTGCGAATCAAAAGGCAAAGAGAGCACCAACCGCCAGAGAGAAATCGACGAAAAGAAAGGCACACACTCTTGCAAAAAACCAATACGCTACCAGACCAGCATGGCTGCGGGGACGCAGTGGCTCGCTGTTGTGAGAGGGCTGAAGTGTTCGAGCCTTCTACTACAAGAAAACAGAAGGCAAAGTACAAGTACTACGGAGAATCAATATGCCCACCATTAAGCATTTTTTCGCGCCTCATAGAGCAGTCTCTGAGTATAAAATTCAGCCGGTTCACAAATTGTGGCCGAAATTCGATCCCCAAAACGAAGCATACGAAGGATCTTTCGGACAACTTAGCGGTGAGCGCCTGTGCATCTAGCTGAGTGTAGAGTGTGATCGTAAACTTTCCAAGCAATATTCATACATAGAAGCAGATGTTTCAGTCAGAGCATACTCCGGGGAAGCACAATACCAACAAATCAGAGGAATATTATCCATGGTTACTAATGTTGTTAATGAAACAGAGTCGCCCATTCTTCCGCAGTCAACGAAGCTCGCAACTGCCCCAATGTCAGCCACTGACCAGAGGCTAGTCTGGTGTGTTAGTGGCTTTCAATAGTCCTAGAATCCAGCGCTTCGATGACTCCCTGTGGATCATCCTCCTCCACACGGGTCACTTACGCGGTACAGTCCTCGAACAACTCAGAAAGCTTTGAAGCTGCCTTAAGAAGCCAGTATTCTTAGCTCCGTCAACCTTTTGGAAAGTTGATGAAGTAGCATAGCCTTGATTTGTGAGAGAATCGCAGGCGTTATTGCCCCGTAGCCACAAAAAAAATGCTTGTTTCTTTGCCTCCTGGTGGACCTCGTGGAGCATGACGATCTACGAGAAATAAATTCCCATGTTCGAAAAACGCAGCTAATTGCCGCTATCTTTCTTTGTGCATCCCCAGTTGAGGTTTGCGCATATATTCGTGTTCAGTACCCTGTTATTTTCTTAATCTTTACGCTGCTAGGGGTGCTGCTGGGTTTGAATCACCAGGTCCAAACCCGGATCGGATCAGTGTAGACCAGGTATGGGGCAGAGCAACGGGTGCACGAGTCCACTGTTGTACTGTGACCCTAATCAGCAGAAGGAAGGAAACCAAGCCAAGTGATTGGATGTTTGAAAGCACAAAGTCACAAATGCTGCAGGGGAGTGCTGTCGGTGCGCTGTCTGTTCATTTGCCTCAGAACTGTTTGATGGGGTAATTTCGTGATTATTATGTATGCTAGTCATTGAAGCACGCCAAAAGGCACAATTGAGCTTCAGATCCTCATCCGTGGCCATGCTTTTGAAGAATTTACCAAGCTTTCGGACAGGAGTTAGGTATGATCCACGGCTTTCGTGAACCTCGACAGAGCTGGAACAGGGAATGAAAGGGAGTATTTGTTGAGTCCTTTGAAAACGACGTATGTTATCCTGACCTTTGACTTCTGGCAGCCCAACGGTAGAGTCTATAGTCGGGGCATTCCAGACCCTTTCAGGAACCGGAAGCTTTCGCAGGGTAGCTTGGCTGAACTCATAGTACTGTAGTTGCGGGAGAAAGCACACCACAAAAAGTAGCCGTGCGAGCCACCTCCTCGCTGCTGCCAGAAACAGGCAAGAAAATAAGCTGCGCGAAGTCTTCAAGCATCATGACTGCGGACTACATTAAACTACAAGCAGGAGCACACTGAACGGCGCAGAACCCCGCCCCCTCCCCCCGGGAAAGAAATGAAGAGCTGGCTCTACTTCAGTGATCTTCCCGCACATCCGCACAAATCCACAGTTCCCATTTGAGCAAAAATGCCCCAATCATTTGAAGTCATCCCAATAGCTCAAGTTGCAGCACAGTTATGTTTGACGAAGCCGCAGTCCTGCCACCGCTCTGCAGTTCTTGTGCCACCCTTCTTGCACCCCCTGTTGCTACACTAGGATCCTATATCTAGCCGAAATAATGATCGGTTTAAGCTACTCTTCCCCCAACCCCTATGCTACAAACTCCTTTTGAAGGCAGACCAAGGCGTGTTATCTTCCTGCCTCGCAACTTTCTCGTGGCCCCCCGTATTTGACAGCATGTAGAGCCGTCCTGGTGCACATCGCGTTCCGCAGCTACACCCCGTCAACCCTAAATAGCTGCGTGTTTGTGGGTGTTCGCCGGCCTGTGTTCCATAATGAGACGCCGGCAGCCACCACTTATCGTGCGTTCAAAGGAGCTCTTCCGTATCCCTCCACCCTCCTCCCTATTTGCGCTAGCGCACCTCGCCCCCTCTGCGTGTCTGCACGCGTGCCCTTAATCCACCCCTCTGCTCCTATTGATCCTTTGGTGCAGCGGCTTCAAAGGCCGCAGCCTGTGGAAGTAGGGAACGTTGCAAGCACGGAGAATGAACTGAGAAACGTATGTTGTGTTGGCATGAGGACAGCCTCACGGGCAGAAAAAGCAAGGCCCCTCAAGGCCTGGAAATTTAACCGCTAAGGACGCATACACCTCCTGCCTCCTTGATCTTCTTCTCTGCCAACTTTGAAAAGAAGCGGGCCCTCACAATCAACGGCAGCTTGGGCAGCTCGCCCTTTCCCAACACCTGCAAAGATACATACACTCCAAGAGGATGTAACGCCTTGCTTAGAAAGGGACCGCGCACGAGCCATATCGCCACAAACCCGCGACACCCCAGCAACACATGCCAAACCCCCCCACCCACGCCTGCCTACCTTGAAGTACCCAGCCCGGGTGCAGTCGACAACAAAGGCCTTTCCATTCTGACCCTTCTTCGCCTGTTCGAACGCCTTATCCGAAAGGATAGACCAGAGTTTGTCTACATTGACCGTGGGACAGTAATCCTTGTTCCGCAGAAGGTGGAAGTGGCGCATACCGACCTGCAGATACACCCCGACCAGAAGCATCCTAGCTACACACGACAGTTGCGGCAATGTCCAGACACCAGGCCACATGTGCTCTTGAAATCTAGCATAAACTCGAAATTACCCTATAGGACAAGCCTGCAAAGCGCGGCAACCCCAACTCTTCCTTCCCCGCTGCCATCCCCAAACACAGTGCTCACAGTTCGCCACCCTTCCCCGTGTCCTCCTAAGGAAATGCGCGTCCAAGCAGCCTACCTTTCCAAAGTACCCTGGGTGGAATTTGTCAAAGTGAATTCTGTTGTGGTGCATGCCTCCGGCTTTTCCGCGACCGCCGGGGTGCTTCCTGTGCTTCCCCACGCGTCCATGGCCTGTCATAAAACACAAATGCTGAACAGTAAACTTCTTCAAACCCCTCTCGCCCTCCCCCCCTCTCCGCACCTCCCAATCTGCCTGAACGAAAGCACATTCCGTGCATCACCAGCACACTCAAACTGCCCGCAACCCGTGGTAGCTGACCAGCGGAGACGTGGCCCCTGAGCTTGCGGGTCTTCCTGAGGCGGGTGGTCATTTTCCCCAAAAGTACTCTACAGGCGCAAACGCACAAAAAACTTGAATGCTGAATCCTTCCCCCTCGACATGCACGCGTTGCAAAAAGGCACTCTCGCTCACAGTAGCTGCGAATGACGAACGGGGACGCGCCACGAGGCCTCCGACAGAAACGCCCCCGACGCAAATCATCAAGAAGCCATGAACGAACGACCGACTTCCCATGAAAACGAACCAATAATACTCCCCCCCCACACAGAGAAGCCCCAGCAGGAGCCGCTTTTGCGGTTGCAAGGAGGAGAGGCGCCGGCTCTACGCCTGGCATTCAGTGGAAACAGCGAAATCAGACATGAATCAGAGCACGCAAATCCAACGGGCTCTCTTTCCGCCGGCCCTAAAGCTGCATCAGAAACTCCCCCGGAGCCGCAGGGACTGCCCCCGTAGCGGCAGCAACAGCACCCCAGCCAGGAAAAGGCGGTTTCTCACCACAAGCCTCAAGATGGAACCCCAGAGAAAACAGCAGGATATTCGCCTCCGGTATTTGTTGCTGTTGCTGCAGCCGCTGCTGCAGCTTCTCCCCTTCTCCCCGGCGGCTGGTGGCTTCCTGTGGGGTGGGGCTTTCCGCTGCAGCCAACTGCACGAGAGGCTGCTCCTGCAGCATGGCCCCCCCTGCAGCAGTAGCTCCGCTGCATGCACTCGAAGTGTAATGGAAAGTCCCGATTTTCGCGTTTTGTAAAACGAACGGTACTTGGAAAACACACGATCGTCATATAGGAGGGGGAGGCCATTAGTTGCTTAGGGCTAGTGCTGCTGTTGCTGGTGCTTCCGCAGAAGCACCAGCAACAGCAGCAGTCGTCCTTCACCAGCAGCTGTTGTGTGCTGCTCCCTCTTAGCACCGATAACTCAGAAGGCGAATCAGCCACGGAGGCTTCCCCAAGCATCCTACAGCCACCAACTCTGAGCCTAGGGCTAGCAGCGGCAACCATAAAGCAGCAGCAGCTTGTTAGGGGCGTCATTTAACGTTGATCAAGAAGAAGCGCAAGAGCAAACTATGGGAGGGATTCGCATACGGCCTCCTGGTGCGCGTCAGCGAGCAGGTGAGCATAAGTCGTCCGAACTGAAAGCTCTAGGGCACTGTTTGGCTGGCTGTCCAGTGGCGCAACTCATGGAATATTCTCAGTTGCGTCCCCTGTCCGCTTGCTCCAAAAGTTTTGGTTGCCGTTTGTGGCTCCTAAGACTCTGAAATTGGGGAGTTCAACTGTGTTGGGTGCTCTAAGGGACTGCGCGCATTTGGCCTCACATTCAATTTCAGCGGATGAATTATCCGACGTGGCCTCCACCCAACGCCTCCCCTCTTCACCCGGTAAGTGCGTGTTTCTTTTCACCCCTGCGGTGTCCAGTTTCTGAATGCCGCCCTGCTGTGAATGTATCCGTGTATTTACATAGTACCGCAGGCTCCAGCAGCTCTGGCGTCTTTGCCTGCTTTTCTACATGTAAATTCTCCCATTGTGAAGCTCCTGGCACTTCGAGGAGGAGACATTAGAGCGAATGATCGCGGGTGTATGTGCGCTGCTTTATTTCAGCTAGAGCCGTGGGGCCGTCAGCTCTTTGTGTTTCGGCCATATGCGGGAGACCTCTCCGCGGCTATCAAAGGGCCTTATCCCCGAATACCCCCTCTACGAGGAGTGAGCAAGGTGTTGCGCCGTGCTTGGGGGTGAATGGATTTTGATGTGCAGGCTAGATACGCTTTTAATGCATAGGCTTCTAGTCTTTGCTTTGCTTTTCCGCTGCAGCCCGTCCCACCTTTCGACCAGCTCTCTCCCCACCTCGAACGGCTTGCTACAGCAGCAGCAGAAGCAGTTGACGCCGCAGAAGATGCTGTTGCTGCGGCTAGCCGGTCTGGCACGTTCTCTGATGCTGCGTATGAGGCTGCAACAGCAGCAAATCGTGCAGCAGCAGCGGCAGCGACAGCAGCAGCAGCGGAAGTGGCGGCAGGCCCCCTTCTGCCGGCAGAAGCGCCTGTGCTATGCGTAGCTGACCATGGCAGACGGCCGCTGATGTTTCTTTCCCGTGAGGATTTGGGTGTTTTGAAGGAGCACATGCAGCAATTCAAACAGCTCATTGAAGATTTCAGGCAGGAAGCTACCGTGAGACCTGGGGTTGAGGAGGGTCGAGGGTGTGCTTTGTCTTTAGGCCCTTAGTTGACCGTCCGCACGCAGTGTATATTGAAATATTTGAGATTCATGCTTCTTTGATTCTTCCGCGTGGCATGGCGAGTGCGTTTGCAGCCATACGGTTTTTTATATCTCATCTGTGGGGTTTCTCTGCGTCAGGCATCCAACATCGAGGGCATCTATGCATTCCGTCGCCGCTTGCTGCCGTACAAGACAGTAGGGATGCAGCGCATGAAGAAGGGCGAGCACCAGTCTTACGGAATGAAAAAGGGAGTACCTAGGGAGAAAAAAACGTAACAATGTAACGCGGAATCATTTGTAAGCAGGGGGGAGGCAATCCGCGGAACTCGTGTGCAAGGCAGGCATGGCACACACGCATTCTTAACTTGAGACCGCTAGACAATTTAGGACCCACGTGAAATTGCTGCATAACAAATCACTGCGAAGTGTCCAGGATGCAGGCAAATTCTGTACCTTATTTCCTGAGTGGAATATATTATGTGCAAGCCCTAGCAGCGATGTACAGAAAGCCGCTGCTATAACCAAGCCCTACCCGGCTCTCTGTGAGATTGGGGGTTTGGCGTTGCAGCATAATGCGGACATATGGATTTTTTTCCGTCATCCTTTTTACTCTGAGGGCGTGCTGTCCAAACGTTTATAGAATAGTATTTGAGAAAAGACACTATGCGTATATGTATGTCCGGGTGCTTCTTGGATGTACTCGTCTACAGCCACATGCATTCTGTATCACATCATAATGCTTGAACTAGGCCCGACTGCACGAACATATGCCACGCGTGCATCTTTCTGCAGAAACAAGAGGCTAACAGTAGGGGAACGTGCAGCGAAGGATACTTTGAGAACAGTTGACTGCGGTACCTGCCAACTCAACTCGTCTTTCATCTATTGTTCCCTATGGTAACAGAAAGCTTCTTAGAATTAGGGGGGGAAATAGGTCAAGGGCAAAAAACGGGCGGAGCTGGCTGCTTCTAGTGAACCCGAAAGTGGTCTATCCTCTCCGTTCTTACACCAGCGGAACGCAGGGCCCCGAGGGGTAGATGCCGTACGTTATGAAGGCTCTAAAATTTCTTAGGAGTCTGAGCTGCAAGATAACAACTGCACCTCTCTGCCTTTCACCTATATAATTATCAGTACACTCACACACTGCTGAAGAAACAGAGGATAGATGAACAAGTAGAGAGGCACATCGCGGCAGCCAGGAGCGCTCTGCCCGCAGCCGGGACTTTGCACGCCACTGCGGCAGCTTCTACAATAATGAAGCAAAATGCGCTAGTAAAACTTGAAATGCAACTTTATATATGTTTCTAGGATCTTTGCGTGTCAGGTCCCTATCCACGTCAGCGACGATAGCTCAGTTGGGAGAGCGTTAGACTGAAGATCTAAAGGTCCCTGGTTCGATCCCGGGTCGTCGCGCTTTTCGCGTTTGTGGCTTCTGCTCGCTATCCTTTTTACCCTATAGTGCGCTTGGCATCGGAGACATCTCTTGGACAGGTTTTATTTGGCCATTTGCTCTCTCGAGGGTGCTGTCTCCTACCTTTCCCCCGTTCAAGTAATCATGTAGGCGTGTAGCGCTTTCCATGCGTGGAAAGAAGAGGGAACAAGGCCCACACTGCCTGCGTTGCTACCACTGTCCGCAGCATAACCTTGAGGCACGCATTCTTGGAGTACTGCGCATAGTCTAAGGCTGTGTTTTCCCATAGCCAATGCTTCTGCGGCGTGCTTCAGGGCAAGAGGATGCAAAGTAGCTGGCAGAGGGAGACCCTTTACCAGAAACTCGATGCGAAGCTTGAGAGAAGTAGTATTGAATGTTTCTTTTAAAGCTCCCTCAATCCTCTCCACATTCTCACTATTCAGGGGTCCGGCAAGAGGGGATAGACATAGGTGGAGTTCATAGCGTTGTTGCGCCCTTGTAGCACTCCCAGCGACCTGAGCTGGTTGCGCACAGCCCACAGAGCACGGGCGAACATTGATTCTTACCCTATTGAGCTAAGTCCACTCTGTAATCAATTAGAGCTACGAACAGCTTGGCGCAACAGTCGGCAATTCACTTAGTTTTAAATAATGTGGCAGATGTAGTAAACCACTGCTAAGATGGAACCCAAAGCCCGCCAAACTTCTCTTTTAGCCCTAGAAACGTGATGCCTTTCAACACACTGGGCTCTCTAAGATAGCTTCCCCCAGAATGTAAGCGGAAGCACGGACTAGGTATTTGCGGGGGGATGGCGCGCATCATTCCCTGATGAATTCTAGCTTTCCTCTTCACACCCACTCAGGCATGAGGAACGCGCACACGTAGAGTTTTCTTTGTGCATACACATTTTACAGATCAGTAGGTGTTGATGCACCGCTTGATGCAACTACGTGCACGCGCATAAAGCTGGAGAGAAAGTCAAGCTCCTCTGAGCTGTTAAACGGGCCAAGGTATGCCTATGGTATCACTTTCGTCCATGCACATTGTGCTCAAAGGTTGCCGCCTCAAGAAATGGTGCGACCTAAAGATCCCCTACGAGGAAACAAAGCAATAGCGTTCTCTCAAGCTTTTGGTATTAAGTGTGCAGCTAGAGGGGTTCCTCAAGGGACCCTACGCGTCATGTTACAAGCTCGAAAAGCGATTCGGTAGACAGGAAGACAAGGATGCTGAAGCACTACTACGCCCCCTCACTCTTCTTGGGAGGCCCCTTGCTGTCTGTTGCGCTGTCCAAAGGCACAACACCAGGCAGCGTGCAGTAGCAACTGGATCGCACGGCAAGGCAGAGCCGCAGAGTGGGAAATGCCATACCCGCGTTGCTGGCACCTGGCTCCGTTCTGTGTTGCTCTGTAGCCTGCAATTATCGGCGCGTAGAACATAGTGCAAGTGTTCTACAGCCCTCTAAGCTTGTGATGCCCTTAGTTGCGGCATATTGAACGCTTTTACAAAGTTTTGACGGCGCCGGCAGTCAAGTTCGCTCCCCTGCAGTTGCAAGTAGACTGCTGCCAAGCAGGGAGACGACTGACGATTGAAGCCGGGCACATCAGGAAGCAAGCCGAAGTGGGAGAGTATCCGTTCCTGCCAAAATACACGAGAATGCGAAAGACTGGAAATCAGGGTAGGGGGAGGGGATGAGCACCTGCAGCGCGCCAGCAGCGCCTCTCAGGAGTCATACAACCCTTGGTCAAACACGTCCAACAAAGTCTTTGGCGCAGTTTGCCTGGACTCATTCCCTGATGCGGCGCTAGACTGCAGCTGCACAAACTGCTGAGCCACTGAGGAGGCAAGGGATGAGGCCTCCTGTAGCAGCCGCTGCAGCTCCTCATCACCTGTTCGGGCAGGATATCTTGCGCTGCTATCTGGCAGTTCGCCAAAAGGGGCTAAGACAGACGGAATCGGCGTTTTCCCAAGATCCTGTTGCAACGAGAGCTGGTGTCTCTCTGCCGCGCTGCTGCTATCGGCAACAGCAATAGAGTCCTCGGCAGCGGCTCCTGGATCACTGAATAGAGCATCGAGAAGCTCCATTTCATCTGTTGCTTCATCTGCTGCTCCCGCTTCTGCAGTTGCCGCACATTCTGGTGCTGCCTGCTCGCCGGAATCCGCAGCGCTGACACTGCAGCGGCGGCTGCTCTGCTGCTCTTGCAACAGTGAAGAGTTTGTTTCTGAGAGCGCAGCAAGCTGCTGTCCTTCCTCCGGCATGAGCTGTTGCTGTTGCTGCTGTTGCTGCTGCTGCTCCTCCTGCAAAGCGAGCAGCGCATTCTCTCCCCACAGACGCTGAAGGCACAAGTCAACTTCGGAGACGCTAATAACGGCAGGCTGCTGCAGCCACTGCAACAGAGTCTGCTGCTGCTGTTGCTGCTGCTTCTTCTGGTGGAGCGCTGAGGGGTGCTGCTTCTGGTGCCGCTTAGCCATTGCGTAGGCAGCAGCAGATTGCAACACTTCGTCAACAAAGAGGTCACAGCCGACAGCGAGAACGCGAACTAAGGAGAGGTCAATCTCCGGAGCATGGCCATCCTCCGCAGCTCCATCCTCGTCATCGGCCGTTGCACGCGGCGCTAATACTCCATCGGCAGCATCGCAAGCCGCTCCCGCGTCTGCCTTGGTGGGCGCAACAACAGCGTCTCTGGAAGGCTCACTCGCCTCCCACAGGGTGCTGCTCGTCCCTCCAAGGCTGGCGTTGGCAAACTCCGCGGGAAGCTCGTGATTCTTCTGTTTCTTCGTCTCCGTCGCGGCTGCGCCGTCCGAAAGCGCCTTGCGAATAAAGGGCCCCCACGTGTTTCCTTCTTCCGCGAAGGCTGCAGCGGATAGCGGGGAGGCTGCCGCCGCACCATCCCCGGAGTATCCTCCAGCGTGTTTGGGGACTCCCTGCCCACTGGAAATCCTTAGGCCAGTCTGGTGTTGGATCGCCTCGTCATAAAAAAAGCCGTTGCTTATTCCCGGAGCGCCGCTGCTGCTGCGATGCTGCTGCTGCTGTTGCGGCAGGCGTCGAATCGGCTTGAACGTCTTGCCTGTGGCCGCCAAGCTCTGTTGCACGATGGCTGCTGCTGCGCGATCGGCAGTTGCGGCTGCGCATGCAGCAGCTGCTGCAGTCGCCGCTGCTGCAGCAGTCACTGGCGCGGAGATGCGGACGGGGTGCACTGCAGACTTGACACCTTCTTCCTCAGCCTTCGGCTCCCGCGCTGGAATTCCCACTCTTTCGGGTGTAGCAAGGGGCAAAGAGCCCCCCTGCGGCAGAGGTGCTCGCATTCTACGCTGGCACCATCTGCGAGGCCTCCTTACCTGCTGAGTGCTCCTTCTGCGCCTGCTAGTGGTGGTGATAAGGGGGGTCGTGCAGAGGAATATAAGCGCGCACACCGCAAAAAGCCCACGGACACGGAGAGCAGTATGCTGCGATAGGCGTATGTTTCTGCTGGGGTAGTAGGAGGAAGCCTTCGGCGATGCTGCTGTTGCTTGCGCATCCGGCGCAAGCTTCCCGCTGCTGCTGCAGCGACTGCACGCACTGCTGCTCCTGGAAGACTCCTTTCAGCGGCTAGAAATCGCTGTCGTGATGAACTCTAGGCCTGCCGCTTGCGTCGCAACAGTGCAGAACTGGCAGTCTATCATTCGCGCGCGCCGCTGCTTCTAGTAAGCAGGAGCTACAGGAGGACATGAACAGCGGCCTACGCTTTTAGACACCCCTCTGAATGGGTTTTCGAGCTCCTCACCTAAACATATTGTAAAACTGCTCGCGTCTACTGCGACGATTCTCAGCGGATCCTGACTGAGTGGCTTCTTTTGCTCATGCAGCAAGCCCCGTGGAGCAGAGCAGAGGCCCCCCGTCGGAATGGGGGAAAGCTGCTGCTGCAACCGGTGTTTTCGCACTTTTTGTCATCTGATCCTTTAGTGAGTGGAGCTGTTGGAACGCCTTCTGATCCGGAAACAGATCGAAGCGTAGACCCGTGCAGCACAGGTGCCGCCTTGGCAGCGGCAAACACCGCTCCTGTTTTCGCTGGTGTAGGCGTGATTCCCCGCGTAGGGTGCCGCCGTGCATTGCGTGGCATCTAGCGCCTGTCTGCAGTGTTTTCTGCTCATGCCGTGTATGCGTAGAGGGAGCATAGCAGTTCCCAGGCAGCCGCGCACCAGCAGTCGTACGGCATCAGCAGCTGCAGAAGATGGCAGCAGCTGCAGCAGCAGCTCCAGCCTCCGCCAAAGGAGCAGCCCCTGTGTTACCTTCGGCTGCAAAGAACTTTCTCGAGGCCTTAAAAAATTCAAAGACTGCTGCATGCTCCTCTGATGCCAGCGGGGGGGGTGCACTGGGCAGCCCGTTGGACACCTTGAATCCAGCAGCCAAGAGGCCTCGTAGAAACAGTTCGCAGGCAAGTCGCTCTGCAGCAGACGCTGCTGCTGCGGCTGTCTGTACCGCGCATGGCGAGGCGGTGTGCCTTTCAGCCTCAAGGGAGGCGCTGATGCGGCAGCAGCAGAAAGCCACGACTTTAGGCTTTGCAGCTGCTGCAGCGGTCGACGCTGCACTGCAGCAGCTGCAGCAGCAAGTTGAGCACTGCGCTTCTCTGAGGCAGCAACTTCGAACCCTTACACAGCAGCACTCTCAGCAGGCAGCCGCTTCATCCGCTAAACAAGACTGCGGTGGGTGCAGACACGAGAGCGCCTTCGGCTGCCGATATGTTAAATAGGCTCAATGAAAAGGGGGGGATCTCTCTCTGTGCTGCTGAAAGGGGGATTTCTCTTTACGCCGCTGAAAGGGGGCTATCTCTCTGTGCGGCTGAAAGGGGGATTTCTCTCGGTGCTGCTAAAAGGAGGCCATCTCTCTGTGCAGCTGAAAGGAGAGTTATTGCTAACAAGTTTGGAAATGCTGACACTGCTGTTGTTGCTACAGCAGCGGTTTATGTTGGGTGTTGGTGGGGTTGTGCTATTTTTGCCGCGCAGCAGGGGGCGATCGAAGCACGAAAGGCGTAAATTTGGACTCCCAGAGCGACGCGCAGTCTGCATGGTGAGCTGTAGCCTCCTGTTGCATCGGTGGTTGTAGCGGCAGATGCAGGTACACGCGACATTGTCTAGAGGAATTTTGAATTGCTGAAGGGGACTGGGAGCTAATGTGGATTGCATTCAAATGCCATGGCCTCGCAGGGCAGCCCTCGTTCGTCAAGCACTTCTCAAGGCGCCTCCTGCCACGACTGCCAGCAGCAGTAGCAGCAGTAGCAGCAGCAGCAGCAGCAGCAGTAGCAGCAGCAGCAGCAGCAGCAGTAGGTCTATGCCAGACGGGCTTAGAGAGACGGTTCGCGCTTTGAACGAGATGCAGCAGCGCAGTCTGCCTGTTGCGCTGTGTCACCTGCGGCGATGTCATCGGTTGATGTGCCTGCAGCAGCAGCAGCAAGAGGAGGTGCTGGGAACTGCTGCAGACAGCCGGGCTCATGCTGCTGCAGCTGAGTATGAAACAAGCTACCAGTACGCTCTTCTATGGGGTTGTGTGCTGCTGCTGCTGCGGCACCCAGCTTCGCATGCTCAGATGTTGTTGCAGCAGCTACAGGAGCAGCGCAGCGCCGACTCGAACAGTGGCGACGGTTCAGAAATGCAGATTGAGACGTCGGCAGCAGAGTCTCAGAGGGCTTCCGAGAACGCCTCCGGAGAGGATGAGCTTTCCTTTGCCGTCGCCCTCTATCGACTTGCTGCTGCAGTCAGTACAGATGAGGTGTCTGCTGCAGCCGCCAAGGCAGCAGCGTCGCCTCGTGCTGCAGCAGATGCAGCAGCAGTCGCAGCCGCGGCTGCGGCTTCAGAAGCCTCTTTCCACCAACGGTTGCTCACGTTCTTGACGCGAGAACTGCAGCAGCGGCAGCAGCGCCTTGATGCTGTTGCCACGGCAGAAAAACGCCGCATTCTTGTGAGTCACGTCTCCTGCGGCTGTCGCTGCAGCTTCCTTGAGAACGTCCTCTGTGGTCCCACTCCGCTTCAAGGGTTTGGCTTTTCTTACACGAGCGTCGGCACAGCAGCAGAGGAGGCCTCTTGTGTAGCGTACTATATTACTTTTAGTCACGGGTTGATGCTGCTGCGCGGTGTATGGGCAGGCGGAGAAGCAAAGCGCGGAGGCCTCAAACCGACTGAAAGCACTGCAGCAAAAGCAGCAGGTACTGCGGCGATTGCTAAACGAGTTTGTGGCACTGTGTGCAACTCCCTTTAGCCCATCCGCTTCCGACTTCAGCAGCAGCAACGGCAGTAGCAGTGCAACCAGCCTGCAAAACAGCAGCAGCAGCGCAACCCAGCAGGGTCGTGCGGCGGCGGAAAAGGAGCCTAGTATCGTTCATCAGAAAGACAAGCGTTGATTATTCCTCCACGACAGGCCACGCAAGCATTGCGCATACTACGGGCTATTAGGTGCTTGAATGGAGGAGCCTTTAGAGCGCGGAAGGAAACGTAGAGAGGGCTTTTTACCGAAGGAGGTCGGGATAGGGGGCCTGGGTGTACGGCTGGGCAGCCGGAGCCATGTTTAGCAGGAGAAGGGGTGGCGAGAGACTTTTTATCCTTAAAGCGATGGTATGCGATTCGCTGCCTTGTCTGTGTAGTCTAAACATCTGGGGACGGATCAGACATCACGCGAAGGTGGAGTCTTCTTTCTGCTTCTCGCGTTGTGCCCTCCCACTCTCCGTAATCTCCTCATATCTCCAACGCAGAGACGGAAACCTCAGTGGGGCGTCTTTTCTCTTCGCCATCCCAAAATAATACGAAAAAGACTTTGTTCAGCTGTCTCTTTATATACTTCGTTGCCGCATGCGTAGGTGGCATAGGACACACTACATAAATCGTGCAGCTACACGGGGTTGGCCTGCATGCCAGGCGAGTGCACGCACATGGGAAGTCCGATGCCGCAATAGGTGTCGCTTAAAGGAGCCGAATTTTCACGCATAGAGCGTCTGTTAGTTACTGAGGGGCACAGGCGCGAGGCAGCCGTTGGTATTGGTCGCACGCCAAAATAAGTGAGTCTACTCATGGGGTGACCTAAAGCCACGCTGTCCGCAAGTTTTACATCCATCTCACCTAAGATTCCTTGAAAAGCTAGGTAGAACGCTATTAAGCAGAGCCTTTTGAAAGGGAGTTCCCTAGAATTCTTGGCCGCACTACTGCGAGTGGTTCCTGTGACCGGTTAGGCTACACTCACACACTTCCACTAACGTAGTTTTATCGAACCCAGAATTGAAAAGGGATTGACTTATTGCTTTGGCTGCTCGTATGCATTACTTATCGGCGGGCATTGTTAGCCAGATACAAAATGCACAATGGTTTGTGAGTGCGTGTGTGTATGTGTGCGTGTGGGGGGGGGTGAGTTGGTGGGTGTGTGCTACCTGCTACGTGTAACTAACTACGATACTCCGAGTGCTTAGATGATGCAGCTGCTCGCACCCTAGCTGTTCCACTCCCGTTTCGTCAGGAACTAAAAGGAGGGCAGGAGATCCACTTGTCAACACAGTGACTCTCTGTATATTTTGATTAGAGCATGGAATATAGTGTCGCACTACGTACACGTCAGATAAATCCTTACACTTGGTAGCGCTGCGTAGTTCAATGCATTTGTTCCTCCCTTGTCCGCTGTCTGTGCATGTAGTGGAATGCTAGGCTTCACTACAGCAATTGTCTAGCTTGGATCAGCATATTTTATCCATAATTCAGCAATTTTACTTTCGATTACAACAGGCTGAACAAGCCCCTTTGGTGATGGGTGTATTGTAGCACACCGCCTGTTGAGGCGGCACAAGCCGACCTAGGAGCTGATCTGAACGCAAAAGCTCCAAAGCTGGCATAAAAGCATGACCTTGTAATCAGCCGAAAAAATGTATGTGGATGCGTCGACGCCGACTAGAAAAATATGACGGCCGTAAAGATGGGCAAGTACTGGAAGGTTTCAGCGGTAAGGGGAGGTTGGCTGCGTGTTTTGAGGCTAAAGGTTTAGTCGTGGCGGATCGGCACACTCCATGAGGTGCATCAGACGGCGATCTAATGGGCAAGTTTGCGGTAAGTTGGTAAGGACCACTTGCGATGCGATTTTCTCACAAATAAGTCCCTTTTTTGCCTACCGATTTCCCCCGATATTGGAGGTGCCTCAAAACAATCAGAATTGGGTTCCTGAATAGAGTTCGAAACTTTCCAAGTCGTTTGCGGAGTATGCAGTGGAAAATAGCAACCCCTATGGAGGCTGAGGACCCACCAGGAGCCGTGGAAGTGCTAGATTCGAGGACTATTGAGGGACGAGAAAAATCACAACCAATTTTCTTGTGAACTGGATGACAAACGCCAATCTCACTGGTTGACGAAGGAGCAAGTGCAAGATCCGTTGTCTGCGGCAGTACTTGAGACTCTGGTTAACGATGCCACTCGACATGGCCGGTACGTTTCATATTCCTCGCTAGTTGTCCTCCCCCAGCGCATGTGCGTGCCTGAAAGAGCTACCTTCATGCATGGATACTGCACCAAGTGCTGTCAGTTACTATTGTTAAGGTGTTCTCTAAACTCAGATTTATTTGCAGGAACTACAAGCTGTCTCTTTGTTCTGTCTTGTGCTGCATTTGAGCTTTGGAGACTACAATGCTGCATAGCCCAGCCTTTTTGCATGCAACGACTGCTCTGAGGTGCGGAGATACCTCTGAAATAGTGGAAAGCTTGGTTTCTTTCACGCACTGTCACTTCTTCTGTGTTCCCAGAGCCAGGGGCTCACAAATTTTAGCGCTCCGACTACAGCGAGTCATCAAGTGGCTGCAGTTGTGTTGGTATGGTCCCTCGTCAGTTGATGGCAAGTGTGGGTGTCTTTCTTCTCTTTTTTTTTTATCGGTGATTGCAAAATTTGTTTCTCTCATAGGCCGTTTTTGCAGCTTTCCCTGCTTAGGGAGTGGTGAGAAGCCGAAATGCATTCGCGTTTCTGCATGCAGTTGGTCTCGTCATGCAAGTAAGGAAGACTAAAAGCGTGTGCTTTAAGAACGGAGGAGTAGATGCAGCGGGCAAAGCTACGCTCGAAAATTTCCTGGTAGACTAGGTTTAATTATTTAGGAGCTGGTGAAGAAAGGCCTGGTTAGTTTGGCTGATCATACATCGTTTTTGTTAAAAAAGCGTTAGCTCCATAAAGGAGGACAGTTGTGTATGCATGCACTAGATGCAATGCGAAACTAGCTTTGAATTATTGGAGTACGTAGAACGTGCAGCTACTTCACGTATCGTAGCTGTGCCTCTATCCTCATGGTGGGGACTCTGGGGAACACGGGCAGGCAAAAGGCTTGTCTGAAAAAAATTCAGTAACTCTAATAAGCTTGAATTGAGTTCCTAGTTGATGTCTACCTACGAACACTTGGGGCATAGCGTCTCAAGGGTGATTGCCGTTAAAAGGGTGTAGAGGGATCAGGTGCTGATGGACGCGTTTCCACTGAAGGCCCCCATCAGTCTGCTCACTCTCATTAAGAATGCTCTAGTACTTGCCGTAAGGCAAAGGCCAACATGAGTTAGATAATGCGAAGACAGTGCCGGCATTATTTCTCCGAATAATTTGGCAGATCATGAGCATTGCTCTAACCCTAGGACAATGGTGAAAGACGCAGATACGTGCACGCCCCTTTATTCTGGCACTAAGACAGAGTTGCTCAGTGGCTACAAGCGCAAACCGTAGCTGTGTGATGCTGGCGAGACGGAAACTGCTGCTAATGAGGAAGCGAGCACCCCGTCCTTGAAAAGTCAAATAATTTGGCGCAAGTTACATACAATTTTCCCACAAGCATTGTATTTTCCACCGACGTTGCTGCTACTGCAATGCTTTTGCTCCTCCCGGACCAGCTCTGCTTGTTCGAGGCGCGGCTCTGCTGCCGCTCCGAGCAGAAACCGGTGCAATCCTTGTTCATCTGCCATGCCAACATGCAAGCGATTTCAAAACATATTTAAAGAGTAAAGAAGTTGCGACGTCAGACTTCGAACAGAATAGGCCATCTGCGCACAGAGCAGTGCCACTACCACTGTCAGCCCTGCGGCGGTCTGTCCTCTGTAGGCTCTCTCGGATTGAATGGAGGCCATGTGAGATCAGGGGCTGCGGCGCCTTCCTTTTCCCGTATTTGTTTGTTCCCCAAAGCTCCCGGAAATAGTGTTCCACGAGGGCAAAGACTTTCCAGGCTTTGCAGTGGCAGCAGCAGCAGCAACAGCTGCAGCCGGTGGGTGTTGCAGCTGCCCCGAGCGCCACCGACTTGCACTTCGTCGGCTGGGGGGCCCTGCTTCTCTGCCTTTGGCAGCAGGGTCCTCTGTAGCTTCGAATTTTCGCGTTTGAGGCCCTACCAGGGCGCTTGATGTGGCCAAATACGGGGAGTGCAGCTGTGTGGCTCGCTCCGCTGCCCATAGGTGTCTGCCCTCCTGGAGCTCACATTGCATCCAGTTCCGCATCTGAATAAACAAAATGGGGTCTTTCTTGAGCTCCAGTCGAGGCTCTGGGTCAGCAGGGGCTTCCCCTGGATCCGACACAAGGCAAGGCACTCCCAGACGCGCTACCCCCAGGAATTCAGCAGCCAGCAGCAGGGGAGCTCTATCCCCCAAAACTTCGCAAGTGGACAAGAGCGCAAGCACAGGGGGGGCACGCGCCATTGGTAGCAGTGCCTCGAGCACGGGGACGCAGGAAAAAACAGCCACTCCCACTGGTGGGAACCCCTCCCGCAGGACTGCTCCTGCTGCCAAGCCTGCGACGGCTGCAGCACCTAAGCGCACGAAGACAAAGCCCGATAAATCTGCGGCTGCAGCTCCTATTAAGGTGGCAGTCGAGACGTCCTTGCCCAAGCCGACGAAATCCAGCAGCAAAAAAACCCCTAAGAAGGCAGAGCCTAAGACACCAAGGCAGGTCAAACAGGAGGATGATCTGAAGGCTCTCCCTGTGCAGCAGCGTGCAGAGGGGCAAAAGAAGCGCAGCGTGTTGGTAACGGTGGCACCAAGCAAAAGCAAGATCACACCCAAAACAGAAAACGCTAAATCTCCTGCGCCCAGCAGCAGAGGTGCCAGCAAGTCCCAAGCGGCGACCACAGCTTCTAAAAAGCGTAAAGTATTGGTAGCACCCGAGGCAGCCATGATGAAGGTGGAGAAGCAGCACGAAAAGAGGCAACGCCGCAGCTGCATGTCTCGCCTATGAGGAAACGATTTGGCACTTAACAGAGAAGATCTAAGGGCCTAAACGAGCACAAGAAGAGCTGTTGAGGCGTCTTTTAGTGCAGATCCTGCGTACAGGCTGCTTTTGTGTGGCTGCTCCTGCAGCCACAACAGCAGCATTTTCTTGGCTAGCCTTTGCCCTTATCAATTTTTTTCAACGATCGTCTGGTTTATAAGTTGACTCGAAGCTTTTATTTTTATCGTACAGTGCTGTGTGCATTGAGTGTGCACAGCTCGAATGATCGCCTACATTTTTAAAATGGCCAGTGCATCGAGGGGGAGTGCACAACTCCAAAGCGATGCGATTAAGCCAATAGAAGCCAGCCTGCAGTCACTTGGCTACGTATGTACAGACCAAGGCCCGTAGATTGACTCTTGGATAGAGTGGCCACGGGCTGTCGCTGTATTGTAGTAGGGCGGGTTATGCACTAACGGACATGGCATGCACAGTATCTGCACCCGGTGCATTAGATCACAATTATCGGCGTTCACCCGATTCCCGTTGTTTAGATCGCTTGTTGTGCACCACCGGAATAGAGTTTTGCGTTTTGGCTGCTACGAATCCCTGGCTGCTGCTTTTCGTGCCAAGGGATCTCGAGAGATTATTTCCTCAGTGGGCCGACATGCAGGCAGGAAAGGCCCAGCAGATTCATTTCTGTCAGAGAGAGAAGACTCATTTTAGCGATAGCGCCTTCTTTCTTACTCCTGCCTTTTCCCTCTAGCCTCCTCTGTAGCACGATGGGCCGAGTACGGGCTGCACGGTTCGTCTGCGGAGAGGCTGCTCGTTATCCAGTGCGCCAAATACCCCGCAAAAAAAACCAGCATAGTTTTTTTCAAGATCTTTCAGGTGCTTGGGGCTGCTAGAAGTGCAGCCAGGCTTCTATATTGAGGGCATGCGTCATCACACTCGTCACAGAGGAGCAGGGGCCCCAGGGTTCATGAAGATATGAAAGGATCTTCGTTTCCTTCTAATAAAGGTCTATGTCAATAAGTTAATTGCTTTGATTTGCGTGCTTCGCGGGCCGGGGATACCTCGGTGCACGTTTCCAGTGACAGCATCCCTGAACCAGTGGGTTTTTGTCTCCTGTCTAGGCGAATCTTCGCCCAGTGGTCCTTGAATCCTACGAAAAAAACCCTCTCATTGCGCATTTAAACTATAAAGAAATATCTTGAATAGATCTACATTGAATGGAAAGGTATCCGCCAGCAAACGAGGCGCAGCGCATTTAAAGAACGGCCCTTAAGACCGTTCTCGACAAACGCTGCAGGAAAACATGTATACCGTCGTTACTTTGAAATCCCTTCAAGCCAAGAATATCCTTCAGCTTTGGTATGCCATGGACTCAGCATTAGGGGTGGATCTGTTATTTCAGCACTCCACGCGTAGTATTGCAACCTGAGAGATCATCAGACTCTCCATCAAATCAGACCATAGGGGTTCGTGGCATGCACTCGCTCAGTACAGCGCCTGGGGATGACCCTGGTATTTTTCTTAGGGGCGCTGCAATTTGTCATAAACTATAGGCGTAACTTCGACAATGACGCGCTCTATAGTGCTAAACCCGGGGGAGCCCGGATCTCCGCGAGTCTTCGTAGCATTTGCGCAACCGGATGCACCAGTAAACCAAGTATACCTCAAGGTACAGCCGGATGGGGGGCTTATCATTTACATGGCGTCTTCTATCGACAGGTCACTGCAGCAAGTATTCGACTACTACGCTTACAACGGATTTATGACAGCGTGCGGCTTCACTAAAATGGTGAGTAGCTCCATTAGAAACTTAGTGTGACTTCTGCCGCTATTTAGATCTCACTACACGGTATTACAAGGATGGACTTCTTGGAAGTCGGAGATTTGAGATTCCCTAGCAGAGTTCTTGCCGCTAAGTCATTGTTGGAATTGATTAATTTTGCAGCATGATTCCTTATGACTCCTCAAAATGACTCTCGGCAGCAAAAAAGTCTGAACTAACTGCATGATGTCTCTCAGTGCGTGGATAACAAGCTGTTTCCGGCCAATAAGAAGACTGATCCCTTGCAGCACATCTTCAAGACCACTGCAAAGGGGGAGCGGTGCATTGGTAAGGCTCGGTCGGATGTATACCCGACTTTCCTAGAGCATCTGAAATTTGTGGTCTCTTTAAACGCACGTGCAAAAAGGACCAGTGCACATTATTATGGGCGGACACCTGCGTTTTTAGTTCACTCCAAATCGCCACAAGACTGTTTAATGGTTACGGCTCCTTTGATTATGTAGTGGCGCCTCTTTTGTGTGCTGTGACATGCAGAGTACGACTCCTTTTTGCAGCTCCTTCACCTTTTGTCCAGGCTGAAGTTTCGGAAAGCTAATTTGCCGGAGCAAGATGCGGTGGGTAGCCCTATCGTGTCTTAGGCTTGCTTCTGCAGTCTAGGGATCTTGGTCGTCTTGATTGCATCCAAATGTTTGCACTAGTTACGGAAATCTGCTTTGTTTGACTTGTCCCCTGGCCTGTAGTCCTCCCATATGAGGAGCGCACTTTGTGGGGGTGGGAAAGTGTGTTTTACCATAACAACACTCTCCTGCTGTTTTGCAAAACGGCATGTGTTTCAGGTAAATGCCCTAATCGCCCATTTGTTGCATATCTCTCCTCGGCGTCAGCGGTTCCACAGGCTGGTCCACTGTGGAGTTCAGGTGAAGCTTGTTTGATTGAAAATCAGTCGTACTGCGTTTTACTGTGGCAATGAGGCATTTGGCATGGGCCTTCCAGTTGAGCACAACAACTGCGCTTCGGGCGTAAGGCCGTTATTGCGTCGTTGATGCAGGTGGCACCATGCTGTGTCGAGAAGTCATGCGAGGCAATGCCGGAAATAAAAGAAGCAAGCGTGGATTGTGTGCCTAGACTAATGGATCAGGTGGTACAGGAACGCCCGCAAACGGAAGAAGTAGGAATCATGGAGAAGGCTGAGTTGAAAGACGCCGGGGAGCAAGTCGAATTGGAAGGCAAGAGCGCCGAGATTCAAGTAGATATAGTAAGCGTATTTACCTGGCTGGATTCGACGCTGGGACGTGATGGTGTCCTATTTATTAGCCATGAACAATATGGCGTAATTGCTCGACACGTACTTTTGCAGACTTGGTTTGGGTTGAATTGCAGGAAGCAGAAGAGAGGGAGAAGGAGGAAAAGGAGCGTGAGGAACAGGAAAGAAAAAAGAAGGAGGAGGAAGAAGAGGAAGCCAGAAGAAAAGCTAAAGAGTCGCCCCCTCCTCCCCCAAAGACATTCACTGATGTTGAGACACAGACAGAATACTCAGGAAAAGACGCCCTGAACGACGTGGACACGCAGAAGCAGCCGGCGATTCTTAGTTAGTCTCTAAGCCCCCACAAAACTCCTAACTCTGTAGAACAGTTCTATGTCTGTCCTGGTTCTCGCCCGTGTCATGAACACCTGCCGAGTTTGCTCGGTTGCAATGTAGGCTTCGAGTCAGATCTGATTTTGCTGAGAAGCGTCTCCGGCCCTTTAAGCGGGGAACATGCCACCATCCAAGGAATCCATTGTTTAGAGTCCACGGCCTTCAATTTCATGCTAGCTCGATTGTATGTGTAGTGAGTAAGCCGTATTTCGTTATTGAAAATGCAAGGTGTCTCAGTACGCTGGTGTGAACTGCGCAGCGGCTCTCCGAGGAGAACAAGATAGCTTGTTGTATAGAGCATTCTGTCTCTACAGCGAATTTGTTCCAGAGTGGGTAATGAAACATGCTATGCGAAAATTCAGCATTGTGCGATGGGGCCCGTGAGTAGTTCCCCGGAGGTGCGTTCAAATGGGTGGCAATGGTGTGCACACCGCTCCAACTCTCAGTCTGCCTTTTTTTCCTTTGCAGAGCCAGCGAAAATCTTCTGTCGGAGATCAATTGCGCTCTGATGTTTAGAGATGGGGATCTTATGGCAGTGCCCATTCACCCCGCCCTGCACCGTCTTCCCCCCCCCCTTGCCCGCGAGTATTTTGAACAAAGTGAGGATTTTTGGAGCACTTGCTGCTGCTCTTTGAAGAGCAGCTATCAGAGCGTTTGCAGCGCAGGCAAAATTTATGCATTTTCAGCCACATCGTGTGCAACGGGGGGAATTCGTTGATCTGTATGAGAAATGAGGCCTTAAGAGTCAGGCTTTTATGAACTAGCGCTTTTCTTGCTGTTCCTAATATTGAGGTGCCAGGGTCCCTGCATCGGTGCTGCTGCAGTTTTATCCCGACGGAATGCCCAAGAACCTACGTTCGAGAAGAAATCACATCCCCCAGAGAAACCGTCTCCGAAGGAGCCGTCAGCGCCTGCAAAGGAGGCCCCCGCCACGCAGCGCAAGATGGACCCTCGGATCAATTACCGCGAGTTCAAAGTGGTGAGCGTGGTATTCGGTCGCCCACGAGTCGTCGTGTGTAGCGTGCAGTTTGCAGGGCTCCGCAATAGCCACCATGCAAACATGCAGCAAAGCGGCAGGAACGGTGGGTTGCTGCGCGTCTTGCTGCAGCTTGTCTTCATGGCGAGCCAGTGGATATGTCAGACGCAGAACTCGTACTGGGCATTCGTGAAGGTAGTAAGGTAAGTGCAGTCATGAATGAGGCCGTCCACGGATCCTATGACATGTGCACTTGGTGTTTGCAGCACACACGTACACCGCTTGCCCCTGAACGCTCGGGTGAAAAGCATTGCCTTGTGTGCGCTTGCCAGGGACACGCTGCTTCCCGCCCTATTTCGCTCGGACCCGTGGAAGCGGCAGGATTCGTCGGAGCTTAAGAACATGCGAAGAAAGAAGGAGGGGAGTACAGCGTCCTCTGGATCAGACACTGAAGAGGAGGAGCAGAGGAGCACAAGCCACACCACAAGCAGCACGGAAGAGAGTCTGTCTAGCAGGAGCAGCAGCAGCGGCGAGTGGAGTGGTCTTGGCCAGAAGCGACCCTCTCGGCATTTGCGTAGGATTTCTGCAGCTGCTCGCGACAGGGATCTCCACAGCAAGGAAGCGTACGGGGGCTATGACGATGAGCAGCGTAAGGAAGCACAAAAAATCCTAGTTTCCCTTCCTCCCCTCCCCCCGTTCCCACAGAATCCACGATTTTGCACAAAAAAGGATGCCGCTTTAAATACGAGAGGAGAACCCTGTGTAGACGACCGGTCCCCAGGTGCATCACACCCCAGGCCGCGCGTTTATTTCATGCATGCACTTTTGTTCTCGTGCTTCAGCAATCGGAGCTGGCAGCGTGTTCTACGAAGGTTCTGTAGAGGACACACCAGCACAATCCGAAGGGAGCCGCTCTGACTACTCGATGGAGCCTGAGGAGGATCGTGGCGAGCGCCGCACAGTTACTGGACCCCCCCACCCTCCCTGTTCGCCTCCCCTGGATAATTTCGCCGCGTGGTGCAGTAGCCTGGCCCCTAGTGCATGCGATTCCCCCGTCGCAGGAGGTGGGGGCTTTATGCGGCCAGAAATGCCTCATCCCCTCCGCCCCACCCTTGAGACCTTCGGCTTGCCGGCTGCTGGTTCTCATAGAAGAGACGCTCAAGGAACTGCTCTCTCTTTTGGCATCCCCATGCCACCCAGCTTCCCTCCCGCTCCCTAGCTGCCGCCTCGTTTCTTCCCGAAATCTCGGGGTTGCAACTAAGCAGCCGAAGAGCGGCTTCTATATCGCGCGCTGTAGTTTTCTTCTGGGATTTGCGCTGCCAGCAAATCCAGATCGTTTTTGAAATATATATATATATATATATATATATATATATATATATATATATATATATGACTGACTGGCGTAGTAACAGATACCGATATCGGCTGCGCTCTCAGCGCATGCGTGCTGATGAAGCTCCCTCAGCAATGCCGTATCTTCTCGGTGCTTTCGCTTGGACACACAGAATGTGGCGCGAAAGAAGCGAAATACTGTAGGCCAATAAATTATTATTAGCGTACTAAAGCGGCGGGCATCCTCATGGCTCGTGCACGACAGGTGACGACAGCAATAAAGCCCTAAAGCAGCAACGCAGTTGTTGACTTGCAATGCACGGCTTTCCCACAGGGAAAAAGAAGCAGCAGCCTAGGCCATCACCAGAGACTCTAAGTGCCACCCTGGTGAAGGCAAGACGAGTGTGGGGGGGATAATACCCCCACAGTCAGCCGTCTCTGCTCGGCGACAAAGAACCCCGCCTTAGGCCGCCTCTGTCTTGCACAAGAACGGAGCGCAGCTGCCCCTAGTCTCAAGCACAGACAGAGAAGCCTCCCTGCTGCCCCTTAGTGCTGTGGTTCGGTCGTCGCCTAGAGGAGAATACTACGGACGCATCTATTCTTCTTCGCTCTCCACTTCTATCGGAGATGTCTTGCACATCTTGTGGAAACGCTTCTCTGCAATGCGGACGAGGTCAGGCCTCTGAGCAGCCACCAGTCGCTGGATCTCCTTGGTCTTCTTGTGCGTCTTGGGGAACTTCTTGCTGGCAATGACGCGCTTGGGGTAACTGCAGAGGGAATGCAAGCGCACGCATGCGATAACTGGCTAGGGCCGAGAGTGTGGACACCTAAGTTAAACAGCAGGCAGGAGGGGACAGACTAATGTGTGTATGTCGCAAAAAGTGCGAAAGCATCCAGCAAAGCGCCTTGACGACGCACTCAACAGGAAACCACAAACAGGCACTCGTAGAAGCAAAAAAATCAGCTCCGCTGAGATGGCCCGGCGGAGCGTGACATGCAAGCGGCAAAGCGACAAGGCAGTACATATATATACAGCCAAATGCCAATGGGCGCAAACTGCTCTGTATTCGACAGATCTGATGGGCGCGCATGCGCGGCACCTGCGGGCTGAGAATGGGATTTCGCCAGCATGATTCTATCATGGGAAGGAGGTCTGTTCAGCGAAATGAGGAGGATATAGGACGCACCGCATTTTCCTGCCCGCCTTCTGCTTGTAGGAGAGCTTCACTGCGCAGTTGTTACCAACGAGGGAAAGGCCCACAGGCTGCTTGTGGCACAGACCGGAGTGGCGCAAGGTGTTCTTCTGCGTGAGATTCAGCGGCTCACTTGTCAGGATGATGCCGTTCGACTTCTTTAAAAAGCAGTTCGTCTTTTTGACACACTGCCACAAAAGCTCGGCGGACACCATCTTTGCAACACGGGAAAAAGCTGCTGCTGCTGCTGCTGCTGCTCCTAATGCTGCTGAGGGCGAAGGAACGCCCTGCTAAACCCAGGAAACAAACGAATAAAGTAGCGGCAATGCAGATAAGGATTCGCCAGCCAAAGTTTCCCACCCCGTTGAAGCTGCTGCAGCGCTGCAACGACGGCAGCCGCTGCCGCAGCTCCCCACAGCGGCTGCCTTGGCGTCCATTTGAGATGGGGCTGACAGTACTCGACATTCAATCCGTCTATTCGCTGCTCAATGTCAATAACCGCACTATTTCAGAATGCTCTGCCCATAAATCGCTGGTACCTTCGCCGGAAAAGGGTAGCATGGGACATGTCTAGCGGCCAGGAACTCTGCCTGGAGATGCAGCTAATCCGCCTCTTGAGGTGAAACGAACGATGGACTACACTGAAATACACTTTGATGCTCTCTGCTACACTACGAATAGTCAGCCAGGGAATAGTAGGGAAGGGGCTAACTGGTGCTCGTGCTCGTATATCTTTTCCTCGTGGAGTACTGCCAGCTCAAATAAAAAAGGCGCGATGTTGCCTGCGTGTGCACCATAGACTGCTATTTTTCAAATATCTGCGAATGATGGAAGTGCTTGGAGGGTGCAGCTACGCACACTGTCGCTGCCTCCATATTCTTAGGTCGAAAACCCTGCGGGCGCGGAAGTTGTACTGGAAACCAATCAGTAACTCGCAGTAAAGTTTATCTAGAGTATGGACAACAGTGTTGCACTACTTACTCGAGGATTAAATCGGCCTGAGAGAGATATATATATATCATTGTGTAACTTCCGGATGAGAAAACAACGAGTGTTCTTGGAGCCATGCATATTAGGGGGAGAAACACTTCACTGTCTTCTTGATGCAGGAGGAGTCATCCACCTGCAGGGATTGCTGCAGTTTAAGCTTTCTTGCAAGCTTTGCTTCCCCAGAGTATACCGAGTTCAGCTTAATAGCAAGCTCTGGAAAACTCGGAAATCTGAAGCAAGGAAGCCAATCAACAGGTTGAAATGCTGAGCAGTAATAAAAGCGCTGCAAACCAAAGTCACGACGTAGAGTTACAGCCAATCTATCAGTAAAGGACTATTTGGTTCAGGGGCAAATAGCCTAACTGCTGCGTCTTTTAAAAGTAAGAGCGTATGGGGATTCAGAGCCTACGGATGTCGGGTTGTGCCAACCAGCCTTCGCTTGCAGGCTGCGATGGGCGGGAAAAAACGTCAGAGACGAAAACGCTTCTCCTGCATAGCCCCATACATCTCCTCGGCAAAGTACCCGCTTTTGTTGTGGGAAAGTGGGTAGCGTGATCCGGAATTGCGAACGCATGCGAATACCGGAAAACGCGAGGCACTACCACGTTGAGCATGACCTTTTGTGGCTCAAAACAGAGCGGGGAGTCTGGCGCTTGTAAATGGAAATTAGGGTTTCACCGGGAGTTGTGGAAGTGCTAGATTCGACGACTATTGATGGACGAGAAAAATCACAACCAATGTTCTTGTGAACTGGATGACAAACGTCAATCTCACTGGTTGACGAAGGAGCAAGTGCAAGATCCGTTGTCTGCGGCAGTACTTGAGACTCTGGTTAAAGATTCCACTCGACATGGCCGGTACGTTTCATATTCCTCGCTAGTTGTCCTCCCCCAGCGCATGTGCGTGCCTGAAAGAGCTACCTTCATGCATGGATACTGCATCGAGTGCTGTCATTTACTATTGTTAAGGTGTTCTCTAAACTCAGATTTATTCATAGGAACAACAAGCTGTCTCTTTGTTCTGTCTTGTGCTGCATTTGAGCTTTGGAGACTACAATGCTGCATAGCCCAGCCTTTTTGCATGCAACGACTGCTCTGAGGTGCGGAGATACCTCTGAACTAGTGGAAATCTTGGTTTCTTTCACGCATTGTCACTTCTTCTGCGTTCCCAGAGCCAGGGGCTCACAAATTCTAGCGCTCCGACTACAGCGAGTCATCAAGTGGCTGCAGTTGTGTTGGTATGGTCCCTCGTCAGTTGATGGCAAGTGTGGGTGCCTTTCTGCTCTTTTTCTTTTTATCGGTGATTGCAAAATTTGTTTCTCTCATAGGCCGTTTTTGCAGCTTTCCCTGCTTAGGGAGTGGTGAGAAGCCGAAATGCATTCGCGTTTCTACATGCAGTTGGTCTCGTCATGCAAGTAAGGAAGACTGAAAGCGTGTGCTTTAAGAACTAAGGAGTAGATGCAGCGGGCAAAGCTACGCTCGAAAATTTCCTGGTAGACTAGGTTTAGTTATTTAGGAGCTGGTGAAGAAAGGCCTGGTTAGTTTGGCTGATCATACATCGTTTTTGTTAAAAAAGCGTTGGCTCCATAAAGGAGGACAAAGTTGTGTGTGCTTGCACTAGATGCAATGCGAAACTAGCTTTGAATTCTTGGAGTACGTAGAACGTGCAGCTACTTCACGTATCGTAGCTGTGCCTCTCCCCTCATGGTGGAGACTCTGGGGGGCGCGTGCAGGGGAAGAAGGGAGTTATTTTCGAAAGGCTAAATACCCTTTGAAGCGTGTCTAGAGTCTGGACTTGAGTCTCTGCCGATGGGCAGCTTGAGATGGGTTGTTACTTTTACAAAAGTGTTCTAGTACAGAAAGTGTTATGGGGTGGTATCGGGCGCTGCCTTAGCTGTTTTTTTGCGAAAATAGTGCTTACTAACAGAAGCCTGAGTCAGGTTGAGGCTTAATCGACGTTAAATTAACATGGTATTGTCGTAGGAAGTGCCAGCGTGTAGCGTTACGTTCCCCAGTACAACTTCATCTGCGCAGCACACGCGGGCAGCCTTGCTCTGCACCGAATAGTACATACAGCACAACCGCGCGTTCCCTGCTGACCTCTATTTGATTTTAAATATGTTCTGCAGTGGTCGATGCTTGCATCTAGCTCGGTTCGGGGTGCTTAGTCCAGGGAGCCAGCAGGTGCCACGGACGCAGAACTGGGTGTCGCCTCCTGCCTTCGTCCTGCAGGAGGCGACTTCGGTGGGAAACGGCACTGCCTTGGGGGCTTAGAGCCTATTAATTGTTAAAGAGACTCTGGAAAAATGAAGGAGATGCTAAGCATACACCGGGTAGAAGAGTGGCACAGGCGCGCAAGGGCGCAGCAGCCGCAGTGGCTGCTGCTCCTGTGATGACCCCTGCTAGTCCAGTTCCGTCAGTCCGAGGGAGCAATGTCTCACAAGAATGTCGCAGCAATAATCCGCATTTCAGTGGCATAATGACACTGAAAACACGGATTCTTGCTGCTGATCAGACTGCTGCTGCTGCTGTCGTTGGTGGTGCTGCTGGCATGCGGGCCTGCCTTCCTGCTGTCCGATGGTTGCAGGAAACACGCGGCAGTGCAACTCCTCCGCCGGTTGCTGCCACACACACACACGTTTTCTCTCTCCATGAAGAGATGAGCAGCCCTCTGCGGTTCCAGTGAGGAAGCGTATGCCGCCCCATTTCTGTTTTTGTTTTATATTTTGTTGCTCTGCCGCGTTGCTGCACCGCCAGCGCCTGCGCGCAGCTCTGCCGAAGCAGCCATGCGGCGGAAGCGGCCGGGTGCAGCAGCAACTCTTTGCGCATCGTTTTGCCCGCAACACAAGGATTCGATGAGCGTTTCTCAGGTTTAAAGGCCTTCTACGAGAGCGTTGACAGCCCGGGAGGTGGTTCCTGCACTGCAGCGCGGCCTTTTTCTCTCGCTGCTCTTGGCACTGCAGTTGCTCCACGCGTAGAAGCTTTTGCACGTGGTTTTTTGTACAGGCAAGTGGCTGCGTGCCGCTGCCTTTGACCCTCTCTCGTACATGCGCCAAGCGTTGGCGGAAAAGGGCTCTCGTGAGGCAGCAGCAGCTGCTGCTGCGGGATGAAGGGCCAGTGCCTGCTACCTCATCAGAGAGGCGTTGCTGCTGCGTGCGGCAACATCAGTGCCAGCCGCAGTCTGCGCCCAAGCGACAGCAGGGGCTTTCGCCCTGTAGCTGCTTCTCGCCTCGTATTTGAGAGCGCTGCCTCCGCTACGTTGGCTACCAGTGGGAGCCGTGACAGCAACTTCCTCAGCATCCCTGGAGGTAGCAGCCAGAGCAGCAGCAGCAGCAGCAGCTGCAGCGGCGCGATGATTTATCCTCAGCAGCAATATGAGAGAGAGCGGCAATGCAGCAGCAGCGGAGGGTGGCCTGACTTTGTACCGCCTTATCACGCCTCCTTCTCCTACAGCAGCAGCAACGGTTCCAGATGCTATGAGGGCAGCAGCAGCGGGAGCAGCAGCAACAGAGGTTATAAGGGCAGCAGCAGCACGATCAGCAGCAGCACCAGGTGTTATGAGGCCGGCAGCAGGAGCAGCACCAACAGCAGTGGCAGCCACGGATCAGACTGCAGCAAGAAGACTGAGAGGGAAGATTACACCAGCGACAGCTGCGGCTTCAAGCAAAGCGGATATCCAATTCCACCGTATAGCAGCAGCAGCACCAGCAGCGCTGCCTACTATACGATCCCCCCCTTCAAATCGGACTGCTACTATAGTACAAATCAGACGGGCAGAAACAGCAGCTGTTACGCCAGCGGCACGCCTTTACAGCTTTCTTGCGGAAATGCAACGCTGGGGGTGCCTCGCCAGCAACACACTCAGCAGCAGCAGCAGCAACAGTCGCTGCCAAGCGAAGTGCTAGGCGAGGAGGGGCAGCGACAGCGGCTTTTATATCATCAAGGAGAACGGCTGCAGCAGCAGCAGCGTTCCCAGCTGTGGGAGCAGCCGTGCTTGCAGCAGCAGCAGCAACAGCAGCAGCAACAGTTGCGGAAGCCGCCATGTTTCCCCCCACCTCCCCCCCTGCCTCTTGCTGTTACGGATAGTGGAGAGGAGGAGCATTCATCGACTGCTTGTCTTGGTTCAGTAAGACCTTCATGTCAAAAGGCGCTTCAACGCTTCAGCTGCCACCAGCAGACGGAGCAGCTGGACGTGGCAAAGATGCAGCAGCAGCAGCAGCAGCAGCAGCAGCAGCAGCAGCAGCAGCAGCAGCAGCAGCTGCAGCTGCAAGACCATCAGACCGCCAGCTGTCTCGCCGCATGCACCAGCGAGGGGTGGCCCCTGCAGCAGCAGCTGCAGCAGCAGCAGCAGCTGCAGCAGTGGGAGCAGCTACAGCAGCTGCAGCGGCAGCAGGAGGAGAATCAGATGCGTGTACAGCGCATGCTGCAGGAACTGCAAAAGGAGCAGCAGGAGAACCTCCACGAGCAGCAGCAGCAGCAGCAGCACGATCTAGAAGTCTATCTGCGTCGGCAACCCACGAACAGCAACAGCAACAGCAGCAACAGCAACAGCAACAGCAACAGCAGCAACAGCAACAGCGAAAGCAGCAACAAGACAACAGCGATTAGCAGAGACAATGCGCATCGGGGATCATGTGTCTTACCTCTCTTTGGCGAAGAGCAGCCGGAGCAGCAACAGCAGGAGCAACACTTACGCGTCCAAGCTATTGAAGGCAGGAGGGGAGTTTCGACATTCGGATTACAGCACCCATCCCATCCTCAGCAGCAATTGAAGCAGCAGCTGCCTTTACAGCCACAAGGGCAGCACCAGGAGGCGCTGCATCTCCAGCAGAAGCAGCCGAAATACCAGCATCTGCACAAGCAGCAAGAGCAGCAAGAGCAGCAAGAGCAGCCTTTTCGGAAACACAATCAAGAGCAGCACCATCATCAGCAGCAGGAGCAGCAGGAGCAGCAGGAGCAGCAAGAGCAGCAAGAGCAGCAAGAGCAGCAAGGCTTTGTGGATTATTTTGACGGCAGCAGCAGGAGCAGCAGCAGCGTGTTGCAGTGCGTTGCTGGAATATCTCAGTTGGGCACAAGCGTCCAGCAGCAGGCGCAGTCGCAGCAAGCGAAGGATTTCGGGTGTACAGACACTGCCGCTACTGCTGCAGCAGGGGCCTTAGAAGCTGCAGAGGCGACAGAGGCAGTCAGCCGTGCTGCTGCAGACGAAGGCAAGAAAGCGGAAGGGGAGGCATTTGCGCAGGCAGCAGTACCAGACGCTGATGAAGTGTCACTTCCCGATGCAGGGGGATTCGCATCGGCTGCTGCTGCAGCAGCAGCAGCAGCAACAGCAGCAGTTTCGTCAGTGCAATCCGAGAATACATTTCTCTCGACTCTCTCTGCTGCTGCGCAAGAACGTATGCGGCTCCTGCGGCAGCGACGGCAGCAAGCGCAACAAGGATTGCTTTGTCAGCAGCAGCAGCAGCGAGAAAGTGAGGCACCATCAATTCAAGTCCGTCAATCTACGAAGCAGCAGTGGATGTTGCAGGGGGCACATCAGTTTCGTGAGCGCAGGCGAAGGCAGCAACCGCAGCAGCAGCAACAGCTCAAGCAGGAACAAAGCCTTCCGCTGGTGTGGATTGACTCCGACTCGCTGGTTGTAGTCATTGACGATGAGAGAGAGCAGCAGCAGCAGCAGCAGCAGCCCACAGAGGGGCAAACAGTCGAGCAAGCCGCTGCTGCCCTCAACTCCTCTGCAATAAATACAGTGGTTGGTGCTGCAGCAACTGTTGAGGGTGCTACAGCGGCAGTAAATGCTGCAGCAACTGTTGAGGGTGCTACAGCGGCAGTAAATGCTGCAGCAACTGTTGAGGGTGCTACAGCGGCAGTGAATGCTGCAGCAACTGTTGAGCCAGGCGTGAATCACTCGGATAAGGCTGCTGCCGCTAGTAGAACTGCGCGTGGAACGGGCTCCGCTGCAGCAGCAACTGCTGCTGCAACGGAGGCTTTGCCGCATGCTGAAGCACTTCAGACTGCCGATCGAGCAGCAGAGGCTGAGACTGCGACACTTCGGAAGCCTAGTGCTGTTGCTGTCACAGAATTATCACCAGTTGAAACGGATGACACGTCTAACGCAGGTGCAACGCCGTGTTTGACGCAAGTGCAGCAGCGCATGCTTTTGAGGAAGCAGCAGCAACAGCAGCAGCAGCAGCAACAGCAGCAGCAGCAACAGCAACAGCAGCAATCGAAGATCTCGAGTGCAAGTGTTACCGCAGGAGGGAGTCAGCCTCGCAAGCCGACGGAGTGTCGCAGCAGCACAAGCAGCAGCACAAGCAGCAGCAGTGGCAGCCGAGGGGTGTCTTTGAAGGTGGAGCTGCATCAGCTTCACGCAGATGCTGCGCGTCTAGAGACGTTGGACACGTTGCTCCATGCGAGAGCAGCAGGGGTTGCAACGAAGGCTAAAGTTTTACAGAGAGAACTCAATGCGGCAAAAGCCGAACTGGCGCGCCTTCTCGCTCAGCGTGTATGCGTTGGATGCTGCTGCTGAAGTCTGCCCTTTTCAACGCTGAGGCGCTGCTGCTCTGGAGTTTTCTGTGTGTGTGTTTGTGTGTGAGTCTGTATGTGTGTTTGTGTGTGGGTCTGTGTGTGAGTCTGTATGTGTGTTTGTGTGTGAGTCTGTATGTGTGTTTGTGTGTGTATGTGTATGTGTATGTATATGTATGTGTATGTGTATGGGTGTGCATGCGCTGCTGCTGCTGCTTACGCAGGCTGCTGTCACACGACAGCTGCAGCAGGCGAACAAAAAGTTACAGGAGCGACGGCACCAGCTCATTCGGCTGGCAGCGAGACATGCGAATGCAGCAACAGCTGCAACAGCTGCAACAGCCATGCGGGCTGCTGGTAGCGGTGCTGCTGCTGCTGCTGCTGCATCTTCTGCCAAGCGCCTCTCTGCTCAGTCTGCCGCAGCGGCCTGTGCTGCTGCCGCTTTGGCTGCTTCCCCTGCAGGGGCATCTTCTCCTCCTGGCACAGCAGAATCGACTCGCGAGGAGCCTCCTTCTTCATCAGTTCCTTTAGCCAGTGCAGCACCGGCGTCTGCCACGCAAAGGCATGCAGAAAAACGCGCTGTCAGCAATGCGTCAGACTCCATGAAAAAGGCTGAAATTGTTGATTCCGCTGCGCCGCTATCAGCAGCGACGGGCAGCACAACCCTTGCCAAACCAGACGGCGAGGCGCCACCCAGGGAAATGGTGGCAGCAGAAACAGCAGCAACTGAAACAGCAGCAACTGAACCAGCAGCAACTGCAGCACCCGGTGGGGAGACGCTGTGCTTATCTGACAGAAAAAGAAAGCGCAACGGCTACAGCAACAAGGATATGTCTACTGTATTGCTGCCCAAGTGGTTTTGCGTCTCTGCCTCGCAAGAGGGTCAGATGAAGCGGCAGCTGGAGAGCTGTACGTACACCTCAGCTCTGAGCCAGTGGGACCTGAGTGGCTTGACCAATGGGCAGCAGCAGCAGCAGCAGCGGCAGCAGCAACAGCTTGCAGAAGCGCTTGGAGGCGAGAATGCACTTCGCCCTATTTGCTGCTATTCGCTTCTGGGAACTTGCCGCAAGAATTGCACCGATATACATCTCTAGCGCACACCTGCAGGCATGCTTGCATGCACATGTTGTGTGTGTCTCTTGCAGCCTGACAGGCCAGCTGGGAGCCAATGTGGGGGTGACACACACACACACACACATACACATACACATACACAACGTTTTGACAATTCCCACCTTTTATGCGCTTGTTTACCGCCTCCCGCATGCGCGGCGACAGCGAGAGCAATACGGCGGGCAGGGAGGAGAGAAGCCTTGCGTTTCTCCCTCCCTCCTCGCTATATATGTGTGTATGCTTACAGTAGCAGACGGGGAGTATACAGATCGTTTTTCCACGGCGTAGATACACACAGTTCTGCCAACTACCCTGCGTGCTAGCTCGCTGGCTAAACTGCGAAAGCGGATGGCCATAGGAGGGCGCCGTTAGGCCGCAGGAGTAGAAATAGCACCAGCAGACGCAGCGCCTCCTCTCTGCTTTTTCTTATAGGACGGCTGGCGCAAGTTTCCCACGAGGCGTAGCGAGGGTTAAGTCCGTCAAGTTTAGAAAGAGGAAAGGGGAGTGTGTCTGTTAGGGGATGACTTCCTCTGCCAGCACGCTGCCGCTGGGGGGCTCTATTTACTCCCCAGCTCTCTTTACAAAAAATGCGCTTTGTGGCGAGTAGTGTCTTCTTCGAAGGAAGGGTCGGGAAGACGAGTCTGCAAGTAGGCTTCGAGCTGTGAGGGAAGGTGAACGATAGGAATTCGCTTTAAGGGCCTGCGCTGGCTAGCGCCCCTAAAGCCGCCAGCTAGCTGGTTAGCCGCAGGTTAGAGCCTCTCGAGGGCTGCTCTGTGGGAGCACACTGCAGGCGGGATTCTTGTGCAGGGGATTTGCCATTGAGGGGTAGGCTTCGCGTTTCGAGCCAGATTGCGGTGTGGCAGCTGCAGTGGTAAGGCTGCAGAGCCGCGAGGTGGAAGACGGGGGATTTATCGAGGCGTTTGACAGCCGCCAGTCAGCGCCTTCGCCAAGGACTGCCTTAAGCCATGCACGCCTTCCGATCGCAAGAGGGGAAGGGAGGCAGAGAAACCTTGCGGCAACGCACAGCGCGAGGAGGGCTTTAGCTCCGTCTTTCCCCCATCCCTCCCGCCATGCTGCTACACCGAAGAAAACTCTTCCCCTCCCTTTCTCCCCCCAAACCTGTCCTGAAAACGCCGCCAACTCACGCTGCCTGCTGCAGCGCTAACGCCGACAGCGCGACAGCATCCCCAGCGAAATCGATTTTTTCACGGATTCTTTCGAGCTGATCTCGCCTTCTTGGGGGGCCTACTAGTCGTGCTTCCCTGCTGCTGCTGACTGACGTCGCTGCCATCTCCACCCGCCCCTGCTGGTGTGCTCACCACGCCAGTTCGCCGCAGTCGTGATCTGTAAAGGCAGCAGCAGCATGCAAAAATCACGAAACGCTACTCTCCACGAAAATGTGCATGTATTTTTACACGCGAGCGGCGTCAAAATGCACCAACGCAGCTCCAAAAGAAGCTACCCAGCTGCTCTGCTAGCGGCGCCTCGAAAAAGCAATAAATTAGTTGGCCTACTTGGAGGATTGTGGCTGCTGCTGCTGCTGCTGCTGCTGCATCGGAACAACCCCCCCCATGGAGGTAAAGGCGTGAGGGCTCATCCCCGGTTGCAGCATTGGCTGCTGCTGCGCCGAGTGCTGCATCATATGCTGCTGCTGCATCATGTGTTGCTGCTGCATCATGTGTTGCTGCTGCTGCAGCAGCTGCTGTTGCTGCTGCTGCTGCATCTGCAAGTCATGCATGCCAGGAACCATGTAGGGCTGCTGCAGTGGGTGCACGCCTACTGGGGGAGGCTGCTGCTGCTGCTGCTGCTGCTGCATCATTTGCTGTTGCTGCATCTGTTGATGCTGCATGAGCTGCTGCTGCTGCAGCTGCATGTGCCGCTGCTGCATAGGCAGCGCCTGAGGCATCTGCGAGGCCTGGGGTGGCATGTGCTGCATGCCCTTATACACCTGCTGTTGCTGCTGCGGCTGCTGCTGCTGTTGCTGCTGCAGGTGCTGCTGCTGTTGCTGCTGCTGTTGCTGCTGTTGCTGATGCTGCTGTTGCTGCTGCAGATGCTGCTTTTTAATGTGGCTTTGTGAGTGCTGCACCATTTGCTGTTGCTGATCAACCATGTGTATGGGAGGCTGCTGCTTGATTTGCATCTGCTGCTGCTGGTGAGCCTGTGCTGCCGCCTTGTTGCTCTGTGCTGCCCCGTAACCTGTCAAGCAAAGGCAGTCGGAGCGGCAGCAGCAGTAGATGTAGACAAAATGCAAAGCAGCACAAGCAACAAGAGCAGCTCAAGCAACAAGAGCAGCACAAGCAACAGCCTCACTCCTCTTTGATCGAGAACCTGCCCCTGGTTGTGTTCTGCCACTCGTCTGTTTTGTTGCTGGAGCCGCTGCTGCTGCTGAACTGTCATGCGGATGTTGCGCCGCTGCAACAGACTGCTCCCAAAAGTCAAGCTCCTGCACAGTGAACAATATTCACAACGCAAAGCTGCAAAACAGCTGAGTCTGCCGCTGCTGGATCCTTAGACGCTTACTTTGCGAAATCGAATACAAGCAAACCGTCGTAGCACACGCAGTAACTGCATGCAAAAAAGGCAGCTACAGGCAGTTTTTTGCCACTGCACGCACCGCTTTAAGCTTTTCCATGTGCATCTTCAGAGCCACGAGCACAGAAACGTCTCCTCGCAAAGCCCTGAGACAGCCGCAAACAGCCAAGCCGCTTGCAGCACAGATAAGACACCACCGCTGCGGGGAGAGAGACAGAGAGAGAGAGAAAGAGAGAGAGAGAGAAAGAGAGAGAGAGAGAAAGAGAGAGAGAGAGAGAGAGAGAGAGAGAGAGACAGAGAGAGAGAGAGAGAGAGAGAGAGACAGAGAGAGAGAGAGAGAGACAGAGAGAGCAGCAGTAGCAGGAATCGGCGGCAGACTTGGGGTGCACGAACCACTAACACGTCAGAATCAGAAGGAGGAGAAGAAAGAGGGAAAGCAGCAGCAGAAACAAGTGGCAGCAGCAGCAGAAACAAGTGGCAGCAGCAGCAACAAGTGGCAGCAGCAACAAGTGCAACAGGTACACCATCAGCGAAAAACTAGCTGCCACGAAGACTGACGTATAGGCTTCGACAACTGGGAATGAATTGCAGGTTGGTTTGGGGGCGTTAAAAGAATTTAGATGCTTTTCAACAAGCTCCGCCTGCCGCTTTGGCAGCCGCTGCTTCTGTTGCTGCAGCACGCTGCTGAGCATTGTTGCAGTAGGGGCAGTAAAGTGCAGCAACGGCATTGGATCCTGCGACAAACCGCACACCAACCCCACCACCCTTAACACTGCATTCCAGCTCCGTCAGCATCGATGCTACAAGCACGTAGTCTATTGGAGGCAGCAACAGGAGCAGCAGTGCAGGCCGTGCAAGTAATGCCATCTAGCAAAACGAAGAGCTTCTACGAAATCTCCCTTCAGCTAGAGCAAAAGCAGCAAAAGCAGCAAAAGCTAAAGGGGTAGCAAAAGCAGCAAAAACAAAAGTAGCAAAAGCAAAAGCAGCAGCAAAAGCAAATGGCACACTGCTACAATATCTTCGGCAGGAACCTCGAATTTCCTGAGAAGCCTCCGCTGCTCCTCTCGCGTTTTGGTGCACTTCTTTGCTTCGACTTCAACCTGACGAATCCGCTGCTGCAGCAGCTGCTGCTGCTGCTGCAGCTCAGCTGAGACGCGCTGCCGCTGTTCTAAGAGCTGTCGCCGCTGGCGCTCAGCTACGACGCTGCAAAGAAGGCACAACAAGCGACAAAACAGAGCAGCAACAACAACAATCAAGGGAGGTGTAGCAACACGAAGAAGTTATAAGCAACACCAACAATCACGGGAGGTGTAGCAACACGACGAAGTTATAAGCAACAACAACAATCACGGGAGGTGTAGCAACACGAAGAAGTTATGAGCAACAGCAGAAGGACGCACACCAGCACACTTAAAGCAACAGTACACTGTAAGCAACAGCATCAGCTGGAGGAATATTGCCGCACTTATAGGAAAATCTGACGAGGGGATGCCTGCCTCTTTCCTCCTTGAGACGCTGTACCGCGGACGAAGGTGCACCTTCGGCTTGTGCTTTCGCAATTCGTTCATCAAACACCCGGAGAGTCAGTCTGCATCACAGCGAAACACGACAGTCTGCATCCGAGAGGCGAACTTCAGGAGTATGCCTGGTGGAAGCAGCAGCTCTCTCTCTAAGACCACAGAGCAGGCAGCCAATAGGCTTCTTCCGGTAAGCAAGGAAAGCGGAGAGCAGGAGGCATTGCTGCTGTTGTCGTTCGTGCCGTTGTTGGTGCGCAAGAACAACAGCACCAACAAAAACAGCATCAGCAGAAGCAACAAAAACAGCAACAACAACAAAAACAGCATCAACAAAAATAGCATCAATAACAACATAAATAGCATCAAAAACAGCATCAAAAACAGCATCAACAACAGCATCAAAAACAGCAACAGCAACAGAAGCGACAACAACAAAAACAGCAACAACAACAGGTATGCCTCCTGTTTCCCTGACCCTCCCCGTTTAACAGGTGAAGATGCGCACTGCACTTATGGAAAAAGTATACGGCGATGCAGCGCTACTAACGAGCGAAAATTGACGCATGTCTGCTGTCTGCTTACTGCCTCGCAACCGCAAAGTAGCGGCTTTTTAAGTCTTCCATGGACCGATTGCCAGACTGCGAGAAGCGATCCAGAATAACAGCCCATCTTAAATCGAAGCTTTCACACAAATTCCACAATTCGCGAGTCTCTGCGTAGCTCCACGACGCATCCAAACCCTTGAGAACCACACACAGCAAAAAGCACCTCACAAATACGCTTTGCTCGCAAAAAGAGAGAACTCGCAGCCACCATCCCTCCGAAGATGCAAGAACCCTTGGAGAAGGCTTCCATTTAGCAGCACCGTCTTGCATGCAGGTGCAAGAAGCGCATGCATGCACACGTGTGCATGCATGCGCTTCTTGGATAGAGGGGGAGGCATGAGGGCAGCACCGCTACTAGAGAGGTGCACAGACATACAGACAGACAGACAGATAGGCAGACAGACAGACAGGCAGATAGCAGAGACATACAGACATAGAACACAGATAGGCAGACAGACAGATAGGCAGACAACAGAGACATACATACAGCACAGAAAGATAGGAAGACAGACAGATAGGCAGACAGCAGAGACATACGTACAGCACAGACAGAAACACAGAGAGCAGCCGCGCTCCTCAACAGGAGGATGCAAAAAGATGCAAATGCGAAGGAAATGCATCCTGTACAGCGAGCACACAGCGAAGAGCTATACATAGAACGACGGCAGACAGACACCATGGGAGCCATGCAAAGCGTCTCGCGTGGTAGCGTTCGAAAGACAGCAGCCGAAAGTGAGATGCAGTCATCAAGCTCCAAGGGGTGAGAGGTGGGAAGAGGCACTAAAGGCATGCCGAGATGACGGGTAAAAACGCCGCGAGCAGAAATTGCACAACGAGCAAGGAAGGAAGAGAGAAGGCACATGTCACATGTCACGTCATGTGCGCAAGCAGTGTACGGCCCATGGAAGCCTCTGCAAGGCGCAGCTTTTGCTCTCCTGCCAGAAAGACGCCACACGTCGAGGATTCGACCACAAAGCATCAAAGAAGAGGCGCTCGCCCTCCAGTCTTGTCTGCGTTTCAAAGGCTCAAGGCGGTATAAGCTCAAGGAGACTTCTTTGAGAAAAAGACACAACACGTACCTTTATGGCCTCATCGTAGATGGACTGCGTGAGGGGCGGGTGCTGAATCTTGATGTGGAATTTGGCGTAAACAAACTCGGCATCTTCATCGACCTGGAAATACTTGAGGCGATCATTCACCTCCATTTGCTGAAGTCGTTCTTCTCCCTGCAGACGCAGCTCTTCTTGCTGCTTTCGCAGCTGCTGCAGCTGCGCGTCTGTCACACGCTGCCAGCGCACAAGCCGCAGACCTTCAGAGCCTCGAGCCTTGTTTTGAAAGGCACAGAGGCGCCACTTGGAGATGCAGCCTGAGCGGTTGCTTTTTCGCTGCAGAAGCAAGGATATTGCACACCACAGGCGAGCGCAGGACGCCTTCAGCAGCAGAACACAACATTTATTTAATTGTTCTTGAGCAATTCAATAAAAGGCGGGAGGAGGACGTTGCAAAAAGAAGCAACACGATTTCCGCGATGGTGCTGCTGCCGTTCTAATAGCCAGGGCAGCGCATATTATTTCGACGCAGGGACTGTTGTTGAGTATACCGCATGCACTGCTAGAAATGCCATGGGAATACACTGCCTAAGACTGCGAAATCCGGCTAGCAGTAGCAGTGATAGACAGCACTAGAACGGTAGCAATAACAGACAGCAACTAGAACGGCAGCAACAACAGCAACAATCCACACGCACTGCACTGCTTCCTGAGGGAACTCGGAAAGCAACAGGTAAAGAAGGAATGGGAGCCAGCGCGGAAGAAGCTCCATTTTTCTTGCCAGGGTTCTGCGGCATGCGCAGGCACATAGTATACACAGAGGCAAGCGCCGTAGACGAGGCACAAAAAAGCAGCATATACATATATATACACACTCCCGAGCAACCGCTACGGCTGGAATGTTCAGGGGAAACAAACGGAAACCAGAATATCCCGGGATGGGGAAGGAGAGCAAGAAATAAAATTCATTGCGGAATTCACAAGGACTCCTCGAGAGGCGATCTAAACGCACTTAAGACTGGTCGACTCACCAAAGCGCCTAGCCCAATAACAGCAGCGGTTTGCTTCGGCGGAGGGCCGCCACTCATTCCTAACATATTGCACATTAGCTCCATTTTCTGGGGAATGGGGTGAAGGTTGTTGCTGCTTGCTCAGCAGCAACAACAACACCACAGGGGAAGAGGCACAGACGTCGGGGAAGCGGTGGTTCCTCTCAGGCCAGGGAAGATGATCGGCGCCGTAGCACCCACCGCATTCAGCGGATGCTTCGTTCCCACTCTTCTGCACCCCACCCCTACGACGACAAAGAGCTCGGCAGGTGTCTATGTCGAAGTATTCCTGCTATTCGCGTTGCTGCTGCGGATGCGCTGCCGGTCCTAATGTCGATTCGCTCGCTTGCGCCCCTGCTGGAGATGAAAATAGCACCATGGATATATATGTATGTATCGCATAGAGGATGCGCACATAGGCATCACAAAGATTCAAGATGCCGTTCGTAGAACTGCCGCCGCGGTGTATGTACACTCGAGGCCTGCGGCAGCCGTCGTTCAGCTGTGTGTTGGCTCAGCGGTTTGAAGGCGTAGACCTTCCGCATTCATGAAAACACTCGTTTGGCCGCTTCCGGTTCTCAGACGCCTTAAGGCTCCATGTTCTCAGCATCCGCATGCAGCAGATCCAGCCGCAAGCCCCGAAGCCGTGCATGCTGATGGAGCGAGGGCTCCTGGGGTGTGCGCCTATGCCGCTTGTCTTACTTCTTTGCTTTCAAAAAAATTGAATCGCACTCTGTTTCCACCTCCCCGTGATGGGAAAGAGCCCCTAAGGGCACGAACTGACGTAAAATCCTCCTGCCGCCATCCCCCCCTCCGCCTCCCCCCGCCTTGGCTCAGAGTCGCAGGAAACACCTGTAGAATACAATTTTAGCTGGCTCTCTCCTAGAAGGGTGCGTGTGAAAGCTCAGAAAGTGATATCGGCAAAGAGTCCTGCCGATGTGCAACAAGCCCTGTTTACTGTCCGCCAATCTCTGACACACACAAGGTGCTCGCGCCTGCACCGTCTGTACTTGTCCATCATTCATGTGTAATCGCATTTAGCGTCCGCCTTACAGTTCCACGACAGTACGCTGCTCACTTCGTAGTGGGATACCTCCCCTTGGCAAGCAATGCAGTTCGCGCAGCCAGAATCAAGTAGCCCATTGCATCAAAGTTCTCAGGGAAACACGACCTTAGCATTAGAAAGCCCTGAAGCGTAGCTTAGCCCGCTACAGCAAGAGGTGTGCAGCTACACGTGAAAGCTCTTGGGATGCTTTGAGAGCGCACCGTAGCGGCCCCTTCTCCCTCACGCTGGAACCCTGAAGCGTAAGGGAACGAATGGGAGAGAGAAAAAAGCGCTCTTGAGGTAACACCAGAGAAGTCGCTGGAAAGCTTTGCATTCTGCAGCCAGTAGCCTCTGTGCCTTACATGAAGCCCCTCGATGAGGGCCTTTTATGCAGAGCTCCCTCCTCGCTTGCTTTCACAATCGCGTGCGGCGGTTGGTGGCATTGCAACTTGCTTGCGTTCCTGAAAACGTCTGGCTGCGGAGCGTGACGGCGCTCGCAGAACTGCCCTTCTACGTTGTTGCACTAGGCCTGCACTAGAGCCATTGCAAGGTACCCCTGCAGTGGGTGCCTTTGCCTAAAATGGGGGCTCCGGGGAAGGGGCGGCCCTCTACGGATATCAACCGTCGCTCGAGGAGTTTTAGCGCTTCCTGCCGTTTCGGCTGCCGCTGCTGCGCTCCCTTTTTGCGGAGAGGGCTAAGGGCTGCCAAAGCACCTCCTCCTTCAGCAACCTCTGAATAGGGAGCTTTTGCCAGCGCGTTGTAGCGAGAGTAGCCTCTTGCGTTTTCGCTGGTGCACTGGAAGCTCTGCAGTCTGCCACGTCTGCACTGCGCTGCTTCAGCAGCTATGGTGGCGGCTTCGCCGAGGATCAGCAGTGGAAGACGCGCACGCAAGAGGGTGCAGGGAGACAGCGTCACAAGCAACACAAGAAGGCCACCTGGCAATACAGCGCGTCTCTAAGCCGCCTTCTTGCTACTGTATCAAGTCGTGGCTAGGTGGCTAGGAGCTGCAGCCTGTTGCTGCTTGAAGAGGGAGGCGATCCAGGCCTTGACCTCTTCGTCGTCATTCCCGACTACATACGTGAAACATGCACACAAACAAGCGCCGCACACAAAAGGCAAGTCGTTTTCCGGGGAGCCGCAGCAGCAGCGCAGCAGAACGCAGAAAGACACGCCTCCGCGGGATGAGGGCAGCAGCAGCAGCAAGGATTCGAAAAACCACTCCGTCTTTTGCGGACCAACCTGCAGCATCTGATGTGGAAGCCGCAGCGGAAGCAGCGGGGTGCTCTTGGCTGCGACAGTGCCTCTTAGCCTTGGCTTGATGAACTGGCTCTGCTGCAGCCGACAAGAGGCGAACGCAACTCGGTGCTGGAGCCTCGGAGAAGTAGGGGTGGGCGAGAGCTGTAAGCCACATCGCGCAACGCAACTGCAGTGGCAGCAGAAGCATCAATGAACCAGTCATTTGGACGCAAAAAGCCTTCTGCAAGCAACTCAAGAGTCCAGACGCGCTAGCAGAGAGCCGCAACAGACGGAAGCCTCAAGCAGGCTGAACCCCCTGCAGGCTGCGTATACATACACTCCTGCATGCGCTCCTCTTACCCACCGTCTCGGGCAGTTATCCTTTTCGCAGGATCCAGAGCCAAGAGGCGCGAGAGCAAATCGGTGCATGCAGGTGTCTGGCTGCTAAAGACTTTTCTTAGCGCACCGGGCCGCTGCGTGTGCATCCCACGCAGCCGCAAGCCACACACACACATACTCACATGCATACACACATACATACATACACACATACATACATACACAAACACATACATACACATGTACATACACACACATACACATACACATATACATACATACACATATACAAACGTACAAATACATACACACACATACACATATACATACACACATGCATACACAAGCACATACACACACACATACATACACACACACACATATACATACATACAAATACATACATACATACACAGTCGACAGAGACTCCTGCATGCGTGAAAAAGCCCCAAAGGCGCCAATAAGCCGGCAATGAATACTCCACAAACGCCTTCCTCCGATTACTAGCGGGAACCGCAGGCACCGCCGCCGCTAGTCGCATTAAAAGTCTGCTGAGCGAGAGTAGCCCCTTAGGAGCTCTTGGCAGCGCTGCCGTTGCAGCCTTACCTTTTGAGAGAAGTCGAACGCAGAATATCCAGGAAGCTGCTCAAGTCCATTCCACTCCTCGGGAGTCGGGGTACCCAGCATCACACTGATGAGGCGAACCTGAGGAGTGCAGCGCACAAGAGCGGCTGCAAGACAGCGCAAAGAAGTGCATATTGGAACTGGCAGGCAGGCAGCAGCAGGCAGCAGCAGCAGCTTCAGAAGCGAATGGGAGAGTTGCACAACGCCGGGGGGAGGGAGGGGGGAGCTGCAAGACAGCGAGGGGCCAGGAACAAACAGAGACTGACAGCCATCCAAACAAGGACTAACAGCCATCCAAATAACAGACATCCAAACAGAGACTTACAGACATCAAAGCAAAGAAAAATGACAAAAACGACCAGAGGGGCAAGCGGAGAAAGAAGCCGAGGAAAGCGAGAAAGAAGGCACACAGATAAAGACGCGTCTAGAAAAGGAAAAAATCACACTACGAGGGTGCCCCGACTAACTCCACCACTGTGGTCTTTTCGACGCTTTCGAGAAGTTTCTATCCAAACAACAACCTCAAGTTATACTACCAAGCATCCATCTACAGCTGCGGAAACTTTCGCAAAACACGCTTGTGCCCATTGCGCCTTTTGCGCCTCTCCGTCTGTGTCTCAGTGCTCTGGGGGCCTGCGTGTTTTGCTGCTCATAACAACGCATCCCCTTTACTGTCGTAGATCGCACTTGATGCTGCTCGGTTTTGCCTGGTAAAAAGGGTCTGAAGCAGCCACTCACACATCCACAAAAAAGCTGCGCCATTACGATGATGCAATGTCGCGCGGATCTCACGTAGACACCCATTCACGGCTGGCGAGAGGCGCAACGTCCTGCAGTCCACAAAATCGTTCTCTAAGAAAAGCTCTCCTAATGGCGTGAAGAAAGCAGGGGAAGGCAAGGATGTATGTACGTGTATATGCGCGCATATGTGTAGATGTGTATGTGTGTATATATATGTATATTTCTATATGTGTATATACGTGTGTATGTGTACATAGGTATATTTGTATATGTGTATATATGTGTATATTTGTATATGTGTATATATGTGTATGTTTTCTTATGTTTACATACGTATATTTGTATAAATGTATATTTCTATATATGCATATATATATAAATTTTTATATGTGTATATACGTGTATTTGTGTATGTGTAGATTTGTATGTATGTATATTTCTACATGTGTATATACGTACACACGTGTGTATGTGTACATATGTATGTATGTATGTGTGTATATTTGTACATGTGTGCATGTGTACATGCGTGTATATGTGTGCACTGGACCTGTTAGTTAGAAGCCCTGCAAAGATGCATCCAGCTGCCCACATGTCGACGGGTGGGCCGTAGGTGGAGGCTTGCAAGAGCAGCTCAGGTGCTCGATACCAGAGTGTCACGACACCCTCTGTCGAAGGCTCCGGCGGCTCCCGAAAGGGTCTGTAGGTGCGTACACCGGAGCACAGACAAAAAGCACAAGAGAAGCGCAGCACCCAGAGACACCTTAATGCGTAGAGAGAGCGAGATATATACATATATAATACGACCCTAGTCCTATGCTGCCCCACATACATGTGCCTCCGTGAGGCGCGTGCAGACGTCTCCCCCTCCCCTCCTCTTTGCCTGCATCCGCTGGTGGCAGCGGTGACTGCATGCCAGTAGCCCTCTACGATGCGGCTGCAGCCGCAGCTGCCCTGTAGAGCGCTGCCTGCAAGCCGTCGAAAGAAACACAGCCTGTGCAGAGGGAGAAGTACCTCGCCAAACCGAAGTCTGCGAGTTTGATGTGTCCAGCGGCATTCAGAAGGATGTTGGACAGCTTCACATCGCGATGCAGCACTTTGTTTGCGTGCAAGTGGCAGATTGCCAGCAGCAGCTGCCGCATGATGCCTGCGAATTTTCGAATCTCAGAGGCGGCATGGCGCGGCAGACCAATCCTTAAAGCGGGTTCTGGGGCAGTGCAGGTGGCGCGCATGCTGCCCATCACCGTCGCGAGTGATGATGGTGCCCGTCTTGCGGCAGGCTACATGCGCTTACACTTGATTTCTCCTGGTCCGAAAGGCGTCTGGCGATCTTCAATCAAATCCGCGAAGTCACGCTCGCAGTATTCGAACACCTAGCAGCAGCAGAGAGAGAGAGCACATCACCGCACTCCCTATGAGCGCAAGCGCTGCAGAGGCTGAAACGGATTCTCATGCCAGGCGGCCCCTAGCGTGCGGCAGTGAACTTCTGGTTCTGGTTAGCGGGAAAAACAAGCCCTCAGGACGAATTGCGCAACAGGAAATATACGCATGCGAAGCTTTCCCCCCTTCCCCTCCCCGCCTGCAAGGAGGAGGGCACACGTCTGCACGCAAAGCCCGAAATATCCTGAACTCGCAACTGCAAAGACGCATGCCTGCTGCTTACAAGGTAAACAAAACAGTTCCCGCAAAAGAGAGACCCCTCATCCCGCAGCTCCTGAGGCGTGGGGCGGCGTGCGCGCGAGATGTCGGGGCCCACTGCTATTTCAATCAGCTCTGTAAAACAAAAAAAGAACAGCAAAAACAACACCACCACCACCTACCGAAGGCTGCCAATATGCAGCAGCGAGCGTCGTCTGTAGCAGGGTAGGAGGTGCTTATCTGTTTGTTTGTCTATCTGTTTGTTTGTTTGTTTGTTTGTCTATTTGTTTGTTTGTTTGTTTGTCTATCTGTCTGTTTGTTTGTTTGTCTGTTTGTCTGTCTGTTTGTCTGTCTGTCTCTCTGTTTGTCATGCGCTAGCCGTAAGACCGGCGGGCCGCTGCTGCCGGAAGCCTCTGGAGTTTTAACTGTCTCGCCATACCAACGATATTGGGGTGTTGCAATCGTCTCAGGAGAGTAATCTCTCTGAGAGTACCCCTGGGAAGGCCCTCGAGGTGGCTCTGCTTGGGGAGGAGACGCATCTGCTTAAGGGCAACAAAGGCTGAGCGCTTCGTGTCACGCGCCTTCCACACCCGCCCTACACGCGCAGAAAAATCCAAGGAGAAGCCTCTCCGTACAGGGTGGAAAAAGAAAACTCCCAAAAATGCGTGACGTGGAAGCCACGAAGGCCCCGCGAGGAGTACGAGAGGAGAATTGTCAGATGCGTCTTTTGCAGGAGCGCTTGACGCGGATCAGCAGAAGCCACACAGGTGGAACCAGAGCGCAAGCGAAGGGCCTTTCTTCTGTTTGTAACACACATACCGTATGTGCCTTCCCCGATGCATGCAAGCAGCTCGAAATCCTCGACGGATCGGCAAGAACCAAAGTGACCTCCCCCAATCGCTGGTCGAGCTGCAGCCCTCCAGCCTTGCACCGGAGCTTCCTGGCCTCGAAAGGCGCCGCTGCCGCGAAACGCCGCCATGCTGCAGTTCGCTGCAGGAGAGCCCCCCAGCTTTCCCTACGCAGGTGGCGTGTATGGACGAACGAGGGGGGGGGGGTCAAAGAGCTGCGCGCGCTCCCCCGGAGAGGCACGCACGACGGAAGTATAGGCAAGAAGGCGGAGGCGTTACCGCATGAACAAATATTGCCCCGGGAAGACAGACAGCGCAGCAAAGCATCTTCTCCGAGCGGCGGGGGGCCCCTTGCGGGCTAAGGCCCGGCTCACGAGAAGACTGGCGCTTTAGGGGGGTTGTATTGAGGCGGTGCCTCTCGAGAATATCCATTAACCAGATTTAAGATCCGAAAAGCAAGGAAAGCCAAGGGGCACCACAGAGATGCCGAAGGGGCCCTCCGCAGGGAATAGCGGGGGGCCCTTCCGCAGTCCCCATGGAGGAGCGCACTTGCATGCCCAATGCTCCACAGGCCGAAGTACACTGTATTTCCAGTTTTCACCTCCGCCTTCTAAGCAGTGAGGCACATGGATTCTTCCTAATTCTACGTTTGCTACGCTTTTGGCGCCGTTGGATCATGCACGGGGTAGAGCGCGGCTGTTGGGGGATCGCGCTACAAAAGCCGCTTCGAATAGGGAACGCAGAGCCTCGTTCAAATTTGGAGGTCTGCTGCTACCCACTGAGCGCAGTCCATCGTATGTGCTCTGTCCTGCTGGAATGTGCACCGTGTGCGCGCATGGCGGGCGTTCTCCAACTTTTGTGACACTTGTACGCATGCACTCTGCGCTTTGTATTGCCCCCAATGGGGCTGCATGAAGACACCGTACATGAACACGCAAAAGGAGCTTCACTGAAGCATTAACACAGGCCAGACAGCGCACAGACAGCCACTGCGCGTGGCCCTTGGCCGTTTCTTCAGTTGGCTTCGGCCATAGCCGCAACGCAGTTCTCAGTATGCCTCTTTGACTTCTTGCATGCGGACTCCCCTGTTGCTGTAACGCGCAGACTTGCGAAGGATCGAGGAAGGACTTTCCTTTGAGTTTTATTGTTGCTTTTTCCCGCAGCCTCCCGACCTTTAGCTGCGTTTTTCCTGCGTTTGGAACTGCCTTGCACCACCGCCCTTGAGCGTCGCTGAGGGAAGGCGCGGGCAGCCCTTTTCTGCGTTGCGGCTGCTTCTGTTTCTGATAGCTCATGTGCTGCTGCTGTGCTGTCCACGTGAGTGCCTGCGAGTTCGCTCCAGTTATGCTCAAAGACGCTACTTGTAGCGGTCGTGCCTCCCCCTACGTGCTCTCTGCATGGGCGCCGCCCCTTTGCGGGCAAGGAGCCGTCGGGGAAGGCGAATTTTTCCATCCCTCTCCCACTGTCTTGACTGCCGCTCTCCGCGGAGTGCGCATAAAACGTGGCACTTGCATTGCTGGCGGAGGCCGCCGGGGTACAGCCTTCTGCAGCAGGCACGAAAACACGTGGATAGCATCTTGAATCTGTAGGCACAGACGTCCAAAGATGCAGTGTTTCCGACGTAGGAGCCTGCTGTGTGCATCTGTTTCCGCCGCTCTCGCGCATCCCGCTAGGCGTGCTGAGGACGGGCGAGCAGGTGGTGGCCAAAGGTGCCTCTTCTGCACATGAAACGGTTCGCTGCTTCGGGCAAATACTCTTGAGCGACTCAGACGACGGCGGCGAGGCCGCTACAGGTCTGTAAGGACGTGCAGCAGGCTGTGAAGAGGCCTGCACATCCTGCACAAGCACCTCCTCCTTGACGTCCAACCCCACGAATTCCGGGCAGATCTGGCACAGAGGGAGCACTGAAGCAGAGCAAGGGAGAGAGAACAGCAACGGCGGTAGCACCCACCACTCGACACACTATGCGTCGTGCATTATTTATGCGAAAGAACAGCTCGAGTTGGCTGTTGAGTCTAGGGGGCATCAGACGCCGGACGAACTGAATTTCCCCCTTCTCCGAATAGCAAACGATCTGGTAGCAGATTTCTGGCGCTTCAAAGGCACCGCACACTCCCTCTTGGCCTTTCCTGAAAAGGCTCAACGCGTAAGGAGCTCGTGCAGGAAACATGAAGTATAGACCCACCGCAAATTGAAGGATAAAAGGCTGATCTTCGCAAGGTCCCCCCTGCTATGCAAGGCCACAATGAAGCGCGGCAGAGCGGCACAAAGCCTCTGCAAACTCTGAAAGTGCGCCGCCTCAGTTACAAGCAAATCGAGGGCAACTCGACTAGGCCTATGGTTTTTGGCGCCGCACCAACAAGCAGTTCAACTTCATGTTTCTTTGGCAACACTCCGCGAGGATGTTTGGATCTGCCACCGCGAAATCGTCCAAACTGGCAATACCCTTATCTCTGAGCCGACATGAGACGCTTTCTTCCATCCCTGAGCCCGCAAATGCCAATTTAGTCCTGGTAGTAGAGCGCATGAGGCATTGGCCGTGCCTGGAAGCTGCGTGAGCTGCTCTGGCGTTTCCCAGGCAATTCGTTTCCTGAGGCTTCTTGCAAGCGTTTGTACACTAGAATAGAAGACGAGGACGCACAAGCAGATGCATGCGATTTTCATGAGCCCTTGACCGGGAACTTGCAACTTAGATACAAAACTCACCAGCAATAGGTGCGACCAAGGTTCCTCGCCAATGCGCACTCTTGCAAACACACTGCTACTCTTTCTGATGGGGAATGTGGGCTCCTGTGTTCGCCTGCGCTACAAGGGCTTTCCACTTCACCTCCAATGCCAGCAATTGCAAATTTCTGCGTTTCGAGCTCAAGCTAGATAGAGGGAGTAAGCATGAGTGGTCAAACACGCGTTTGGTGGCGTCAACAACAAGGAGCGAAGACTCACTTGGTCGATGCGAATTCCGAATATGGCAGCCTGCATGAGCACGAAGGCCTTTTCCTTTGCGTTAATGGCACAATGCTTAAGACGCCATTTCATTCGGGGATGGTTGCTGGACTCGCGCAGGGGCTTTTTGTGCTCCTGAAAACACAGCCGCGGGTGTCGCTGTGAGGGAGGGCCTCCTGGTTGTTTTCCGTGTGCACCGGCGTACGCGTCTCGGTGCGAAGTCTTCAAACTCGTATGCAGACGCCACGAGCTGCATTAGTGAGCGAAGCAGGTCATCCACAGGTAGTTTTTCAAACGCTTCTAGGTCTAGAAATCTCTCATATTTGGCGCGGCACCCCAAAGTAGCAGGGTTGTTTGGCATTGCCACTTCAAGAGGAATACCTTACCTGCAGCCAAAAACATCAGAACAGTCTGCAGCTGCGTGCCGGTACGAGCCATTGCAGTTCCGACTGCTGTGCTGCGCACTTGCCCAGAAGAGGCCCTTTCAATGAGCCCTGAACAGACTGGTGGGCAAAATTACAATGTCAGTGTACAAGCGTCAACTCAGACATAGAAAAGCATGCGGACTCAGTTTATCCAGTTGGAAAGTTATGAAATCCCGCGCAGCCTGGATGCTCTCGAAGGGCACTTGCACGCCCCAAAATGTTGCGTCGAGCCACGCGGAGGCGTCGGCTGAATTTTGTACCGTGCCGAGGGCCACTTCGGTAGCTAAATGCTCCGCGAACTCCTCCGGCAGCTTTGAACAGATACGCTGATGGCCAGAAGTCAGCTCATTCCATTTTGCGTAACTGTCATGGGGTGACATGATGACTGCCACCCCGCATGTGTCAATGTTAGCGCGCCCCGCCCTTCCTAGCGGTAGCATTTCGATTAAAGCAGGCAGCGTGCATTTGCGTGATGGCCAAACGACTTGGAAGGGACAGCCCCACTTACTTATCATCTGCAGCATCTCGATTTCGTCGTACTCACTATATTTTCCTTCTTTGTATGCAATCGTGCTTTTGACCACGCAGAGTCTGGCGGAAATGCGAAGCATTCAGTAGACTCCTGCTGAATGCTGCATGACTCTAAGCTGCTAATTACCTCGCAGGAAGGCTTATGCCCTGGGCAGAAGTACTGGTAGTGCACAAAACCTTAATGTTCTCCTGCGGTCAGGCACAAGTGGGGCCGGCTGCCAGCTCCAGACTTATGCAACGCAGTAGAATGACAAACCTCCAAGAAATTCCTCTCCATAGCTGTTCTCTGCTTTGTATTGAGGGCAGCATGAAGAAAACAGATGCCTCGAAGCAAGAACCTTGCGTGCTTTGAATCCACCAACTTGGCCAAAGTTTCGAGCTCTCTGGTAATGCTCTCTGTTATAATCTACAAAGGGCACTACAAATGCAAACCCGAAATGTACCTTTGCTGGTTTTCATTTGTAACAAGCTGAAGATTGGAGGCCAACAGCGCTTCACAAGCACTCTCACACCCTTTCCTTGTTACGCAAAAGATGAGGGCAGGTCGGTTGCCGCTGTGGAGCTTTATGACTTCGGGAAGATGTTTGTCTAAACTTTGTTCAAACTGAGGCAGGAAATGTGACTGTATAAAATCAACAACATCATCTTGTCTTGCACACCAGAAAGCCATTCATGTTTCCCTTGTAGTAATTCAGCACGTGCGGAATCAAAGGCACTGGGCGATAACTGCCGTCAAACGTTCGACAACTACCAAGTATCCACTCGGATAGGTCGCAAGTATTTGCCGCCATTGCTGAGACTGCAATGAAACGAGCAGGAGAAGAAAACCGTCTGTGTGTCATCTTCAGCCTGGCAACAACTGCCTCCTTGAAATTTCTATTGGTACAAAGAGGGAAGCATGGCTTTAAAATAGATTGGCATACGAGTACGGGCCCGCGGTGTCGCTGGTTCAGCATCTGGACCTCGTCAATGCACATCAAACCCACGGAAGACAATAGGATTTTCTGATATCCCAGCAAACGTGTGGCCATGTCCAGATTCTCGGCTGCATGCAGCTCTGCATACTCTGCCCACCCGATGATGGATTGCACTGGTAACGCTCACGAGTAGTGACGAGGATGTCAGTGGCTGCAATGACGGTTGGGAGGGTTAAGCTTGTTTCGAATGTGTCGCAAGCCAGCCTGAGTTGCTCTATTGCTCTTATAGGTGTCAAAAGGAAAATACAATGAAGACGCACAGAGAACAGCGCAAACCCAAAAGCGACATTCTCTCGGTCCAGTCTCGTACCCTAAGGAAAAATTGTACGACACTCAGCACGTGAAGGAAGTGCTGCGTACCTTTCTGAGCAAAGAGCCTTAGTAGGACACACGCAAAGGACCGTGTGTTGCTCAGGCAAAACTCGAGATGCACTTTGTTCCAGCAAACGCAAAATAGCCAATTCAAGCAAGACCTATGGGGAGTTGTTTATTCACACAGCTTCATGTGCAGGCCTGAACGCCACTGCTCACTGTTTTCCCTGAGCCAGAAGGGGCAGAAATGACCAGATTCTGGTCCGAGTTGTAGACTTCGTCAAAGCATAGACTTTGCACAGCATTGAACCTCTCAAAGCGAAAGAGCTTTCGGTGGTCCGGATCCCGAACCATATCACATGATACAGCCATAATTTCTGGTGATCAGGTGGACAGCAGCAACGAAAAACAGGAAAGCCTGTTCAGAATGCACATTAGATGCAATTTAGCCTCTGCTTCCGCTGCAATGCGACCAGATCGCGGGTTTGTATTTTTGAGAACTGCGCGTACACCTCGTACAGAGCCACACGCGTCTTAGACTTTTGGGGAGTAAGGACAGAATCTGCCTTTTGTAATTCTTCTTTAACCAAAATCGCATCGGACTGTACTAGAATGTGTCTTGACGTTTTATGCCGAATGATACACCTTTCTATGGCGAGCCTCGGTATGTTGTACGTTTCTGAATTTATTCGAGCTTAGGATTCTGCAAGACTATGAGCATACAGCGGGGCACCTGTTCCTCTTTCAAGGTGGTGCAGCTACAATCAGTAGAAAAGTCACTGTGCTTTTGGCAGAGGAAGGAAACAAAACATGTTGTGGGGCGAATGAGCTTTGTAGGTCATAAAATGAGCAGTTGTTTGTTGAGTTATCTTAATTATGACATTCTTCGTCGGTTTCCGTCATAGTGCTGGCAGCAAGGGCGCTGAGCAACACTTGTAATGTGTGGTGCTCGGGCAGGGCCCGTGTCGGCTGCCACTGCAGCACATATGCACACTTTTTCAGACACCCTGTTGTAACCCTGACCCACTTATCCTGAATGCGAAGTTCCACGTGCCGAGCCCTCAGACGGACGCTTTACTCGGAGATTTCGCGTCTCGTTGACTTGGCAGGAGTGGGAGCCATCGCCCTGCTCCTGTGGTATTATAAAGGCTGGACGTTGTCGTCGCGTGCGTTTCCGCGAGTTGCTGCTCTACTAAAGGCTTTGGCAGTACAATCCAATAGCTGACTCACAAGTCTTTGCAGGCTCTAGGGAGTGCTTATGTCTGCACGCCGTCTGGCACCCAGCGATTGGGGGCCCGTCTAACACTCGACTCTAACTGAAAGGCAGCGAGCCACTGTTTTTCTTTACCGAGAAAGTGGAGCTGAATTTGTTTTTCTTCTCTACGAGTCATAAAGACGCTGTTTATCCCGTCTTTAAGACAGGCGAAATTCAACACAGTGGGGCCCCTTCCCGGTTCGGCTTCTTTAGTGGAGCATCCTGTCTTTACAGCATCTGAAGCACGAAATACCAGTTTCTGATGAAGGATATGGAGGATCCAGCCGAGGCAATGCCACCTCCATCAGAGAGTGAGGCCAAGGTGGAGCCTTTCTGCACTGGCCGATGCTCAACCACCTGTGTCTTCCTTTGCTTTATCTACGCTGCGTTCGTTTACATGTTCTCCTATCTCGCTGTCAGAGCCCCCACTTTTGCGCTGCCCTTCTTTTCTGCGGTGCCTAACATTGTGGCTCTCCTCATCTTCTGGAAGGTGGGTACACACGAATTGCTCGTTGGCGGCAGCACCTTTCGTCGTCGGAAACCAACTAAAAGCTACAGACATACACAGCCATAAAGTCGAATAAGGGCAAGTATTGGATGGTGCACGTTAACATGCAAGCCTTATACGGCAGCACGAACAGTAAAAGTCGCAGGGATTTCTGTGATCATGTTCTGCACCTCAGGTCTTCGGAGAGCGCGTTTCATACAAACAGGTATTTTCCTGGGGGATGCTTATTTGCTGGCTGCGCTCCAACCATTTGCCAGCATCGAAATTCATGGGTCATGTCAGTCTTGCTCTTTATCCATAGGTATTTGTTCCGGTTTCAAATCTGACGTATTTCTTGAACGCTCTAGCTAGCATGCCTTAAATAGATGCGTGTCCCTAATATTGATTTATGTCAATCCTGATAGTAGACTGTGCCAAACTTAAGGTTTCTTGTTACATCTCCTTGCGGGAGAGGTGCATTCGCATGGCTACAGGTGGGGTTGAAATATGTATTCCTAGCCACCGAACCACTTGGGATTCTTCAACTGCAAGGGCTCATGCATTTGGTTCAGTGCGTTGCGAATGTGTATCTGTCAGGGTGTTTTTGTCTTCCTCTCTACTCTTGCCCTCTCTCTGCCTCTCCTTTTCTGCCTGCCTCTGTTGCGGCACGGGTGGATGATGGTGGTTGGTCTATTGGATGTGGCCGCCACCGCTGCGAATGTGTTTTCGCTGCTTCGGCCTGGCTTCTTGCTCTGGGCCCTTCTCGACGCCTTTCTGCTACGCGCATGCATCCAGGAGGCCCTCAAATATGGCATTTGTTTCCAGCTGAGGGAGCAGCAGAAGGTGTTCAATATCAGGAACCTCGTGTTTTATGCAGTACTCGCGGCTACAACCTTCTCCCTCGTTAGTCGAATGAATTAACGCAAGAATGCAAACACGCTGCACACAGCTTTGTGTACAATTACATTGGCCATATTACAAAATGTCGATATTTGCACATGTATACATCTGTGTATGTGTATCTTGATACCAAAATGTGCATTTCGGGATTAAAGGGTTGGCATGTAAGTCTGTAAGAATGTAATACTTATATATATATATATCTAGTTTCATGAGTCCATCGATTTGCAAATAAATGCGAACTGTTTTTTAGGAGTATGCTTGGAATCGCAGTAATCTATCAAACAGTCATTGTTTGCCTGTCAACTTAAATAGCTAGTCGCACGTGTAAACATGGTTTGATGGTACAGTCCCCATCGTGCTGGATACACTTGTTCAGAGCCGTGTGTCTCTGTGTCTCAAGGTTCTCTCGTTTTTCATTGCATCAGTTGCTGGCTTTTGTTGGCTTTCCTTTGCTCTTCTATCTTAGGTAACCACGACAAGTGACTCCGTCCGTCTGGCCTTTCACACGACCCGCGGTGCTGGTATGGCACCTGAGCAGCAGCGTGTGGGGGTTCTTTGGACCTTTGCTGTATTTCATGGTGCGTTTGAGCTACCAATTCAAATCCTTACTGCTTTCCTTATTGCATGCAACATAACCATCTCATCAACAGATCCGGGAAGCTCTTTCTTGCAGGTATACAGACATTCACACCCTTACTTACACTTGATTCATGTCGAAGATTCAAAGGCGAGCAACTAGCCGTGGGGTCAGCTTGGAGCTTGAAATCATTACAAGCAGCTGTCTGCATGCAGTTAGCCTCCGTTTACACATTCTATATGCCTGCAAATAGATGTGCAGGCGTATTTGTATTTAGATTGACATGTACCGTCCCATCGATGTCTGTATTGCCCCGTAGACAAGGATGCAACGACACTTACAGGCGTGCAGTCTCATGAATGTATACCCCTATGGAATTTGCGCCTAAGGTTCTTCGCGGGCCCATTTTACTACATGGAATCCCAGCGTTTTGCACGCAAGTCTCTAGACGTACGGCCCACACTATAGGGACCCTCTGGAAAATAAGGCAGCACTTGTATGTGCAGCTATTCGCGTTGGCCGTGTCTGGTGAAACTGTTTTATCACAAGTTTCTAAAGTCTTTTAACACGGGGCTTTTGTTTTTGTATTTGTAGATGTGGCTCAAAGCGTCGCCATCAAGTTAATGTGGGGCCGCCAGGTGGAAGTCATTCCCCAGGAGGCTTTACGCGCAGTTGCCGCGACGACTGCACTCTGTCACTTCGTCTCCACAATTGTAATGATGGGGAGCCTCCTTATAGCCGTTATTGCATGCAGGTGAGCGTGAGATGCTAAGCGCATAGCTATTGCTTGGTTCTTTGGAGCGGTAGCCGTCATGCCCGATCGGTGAAACCAGGGAATGCACCGTTCAAAGTGATCAGTAAATGCTAGAAGAGCCCTCTCAAGCTTTTTGTTCATTCGGACAACCAACACTGGGAAATCGGGAGCCAGAGCTGGAGAACTATGGAACATGAACTGTGAAACGGAATCACAAAAGGGAATGATGTTTGTTGGGTGCAGGCGCGCTTATCTTGGGGCAGTTGCTGTGAATAGATGCGCACCTTACGGCGTTGAACAGCCTCCGCGATTCTTGTTTTCAATTAAGGATTTTCTCCAGAAGGATTCAGAAGGTCAGGGCCAGCTTCGTACGAACACCATTTATGACCAATCGTGCACTGGGCTTCATGATGAAATGAAAATACAAGTATCCTCCTGTGCATGTTCATATTTATTTACAGAGGGAGAGGCTACGGCTCATCTTTTGGCGAAGGAAGTGGAAGACCAGGCGTAATGGCGTGTTGGGGTGTATACGCAGCTGGACTGACCTGGGTGTCGCACATGTTGGGGTTTGCTGCCATAGATGGATACCGTTTCTTTCATAGTATCGGAATGAAGCGAAAGCTGGCATTTCTCTTTCTTTTTGGAGTGCTGCATTGCTGGCAGCCGGCCATCGGGGGACCGCTGCCATTCGCCTGTGGGTTAGATTATTTCGCGTCTTTGCTGAATTGAATCTTCATAGAATTTTTCAACCCGCGAAGTCTTGCGGGAACTCGAAACGCGACTCAGCAAGCAATATGGCGGTAACGCATACGGTTTATTTTTTCTTTTTCCACTTGTACCCATTCTGACTCATTTTCGCTAACAGCTCCAGCAGTGTCGACCCTAAGGTAAATAGTTTAACAATGCAGGAGCACGCAAAATCAAATTGCGACGTCCGTTTTTTTACGCCGTCCGCTTGCTAGGAGGATGTTGAAAGAGTTCGGCTCCACGTAAGGCCGCAAATACGAAATTCGCAAAGTTCAAATGCAAGGCAGAAAGTTTGCACACATACAGCCCGGCAAACCTGACGGAAGATGAGGAAGCCACCATAAGGGTAAAATGCCAAAATTTGATGACTAGAATACAAGGAGCATGCAAGTTCAGTAAATATTTTGCAACAGGATGTTCTCACCGAACACTTTGGGCCTTCGTTTTATTCGCAATATCAACACTTGGGGCAGCAGGTCCGCATGCACGAGTCATAAACAACACTTGTCTGTGGCTCAAAGTCATCAAACAACTTTTGAAAAATTACAAATTGCCAACAGGCAGCAATGGATGACGACACGCGGCTCGTGCAGAACGTTGTAAAGCTCATGAAACAGCAATTCCACAAGGTGAGACGAGCCAGCCAGATTGCGGAAACTGAGGAGGACCCAGCATTTCATGTGATTGTGTGTCCGCATCTGCGTGCTTAACCCTGCACAAAATCTTGATCTAACACACTAAAGCTTCCCACCATGTAGATACCAGCGTCTTTCAAAGCACTGATACTGCGTGTGTATGAATGCAATGATGATGTATGCAGCTGCATTGTTGCTATATACACAATTCTCCCCCAGTAGCTGCTCTCATGCTTAGTCTCTGTGAACTGTATTTGCTTACAGCTCAGGCAAGTATTCAATGTGGAGGTCAAACCACATTGGTCGCATTTTCTAGCGGTGGCGGCCCTGGAGAAGGATATGAAGGTAAGATCTGTGCATAACTTTGCGCCTTCTGACTTCCTACGTGGCTATCGATATTCTCTTATTGCAGACAGGAAAAGGTAGGCCAGACGGAGCCTGTCTCCCTTTACAGTGAATATTTGGCCGTGTGTTTGATGCCTTGCGTGAATGTGGTTGTTTCGGGTTGCTTAGTGTAAAATGTATTTATGCGTGAAGATGCCCCCAGTTGTGCATAATGCCTATATCTTAGTTCTTTGCCTTGCAATCTGCATGCGAATATGCCGCTATACGTGTGTTGAATCTGGGTTCACATGTGCTCAGGGTAGTCTTGTAGGCTCCTTTCAAATGTATTGTTGCACATATATTCGCATCCACCCACCTATGTACACAGCGAGATACACTTGTTCACCTAAGGGTGCAGACCTTCACACTGTCCACCTGTGTATCTGTTCGTTTGTGTATTTCATGCGCATCCGTTTACCTCTGGGCAGTGCACTATATGTGCATTCCTGTTTGTGGGTTGTTGTCTTCCGCCGTCTGTCTTTAAAACCACATCTCCCATTCGAGTTCCTTTGATTCAGATGTTCCCTGCAGAGATGCGGCCTCATGCAAGAAGCTCGAGGTGAGATCCAGCGCCTTCATGCTGATGCATAGCTGGGTGGAAAAGTTAGCGATAAAAATCAAAAGCTAGCCATTCACACATTAGACCGCATTTAAAAGAACTAGAGAATGAACCTTTCACTTTTCTTTCCTTGCCTTTATTGTTCCTGTTTTCAGCACCTCGTCAACCGATGCAACTACATCAGGTCAGCAACAGGCGGCAGTACTCTCTCGATTCCATGCGTGCCGCTGGCTGTGATGCCTATGCCTCCCTGGTTTTACTTTTTGTGCTGCTAATCAAAAACCCGTCTGCTTCATCATTTCTTCCCCCTTGCCCTCCCTCGCCTCTGACTGCCAGTCCCATCTTACCGCCGTTCACCCATTGCTTTGCTGCACAGAAAAGGCGCAATGGTTGCCAGCAACCTATTCAACGCGGTTACGCATGTCCTCAACGGAGTAATGTCGGTCCTGTGCGGCTGTCTCTTTGTGGGGCCTGTCCACCTCTGCGTACTCAAAAACTTTCCTGTAAGCCCGTCATAACCGCTGAAACAAACCCTCCTTGACGGCTCTTCCAACGTCATTTCAGTACACGTGCAAGTTGCCCTTCCCTGTCTACGGATCCTTGTACATGGGAACAGCCCAAGGTAGGCCACACCTACGCGTTCCTAGAGAAGCCTCAACATTCAATGGTGCTGCAGTCTGGGAAGTTGTAAAAGCGACTAGCAACATGTGCAGGTCTGTCCTCGCAAAATCCCTAAAAAACCTTAATTTCAAGCCTCAATCCTCGGCTTCCAGGATGTACGGCGATCCCGGACTCGGGAGCATCGTGAAGTAGCTGCGATACCAGCAGCTAGCCAGCTTCGGCTAGCTACGCAAAAAGAAGCAGCTTGTGAATGTTGTCGTCTGGAAGCCCTATTCAGTGCAGCTGGCTGTCACGCGCCGGGCTGCAGAAATGTGTTGTGGCGAGGCCCCTGTAGGGGGAACGGCAGGTGGAAGAAGCCGTGATGCAGGCAGCGTCGGGAAGATGAAAGGCGGAGAAATGTCGCCTTCACTCCGCAAATGCTTCGACTGCGCTGTTTAGACTTACTTCCCAAACGCGAAAGTCATCTCTGCGACTTCGACTGCCAGCTGTCCATCCACGAAACCCCGACCTGCAAACTTTGCAATGCCGAACTTTTCCTTCCACGTTAGCAGCTCCGCTTCCATTACCAGGGTGTCACCTGCGCGCATACACCCCCCACAACAACGCAAGAAGGGACCTGCAGGCCGGTAGAGCGGAAGCGGAAACTGCTGGTTTAGAGCAGGCGGTGTAGAGGTGTTAAAGTCAGAAAGAGGAAGACACGCGTCTGGTATATAGCGGAAGCAAAGGCATCAGCAGCGAGACGCACAGAGGGGAAGGAGCGGTCTTTAACAGATCCTGAAAAAATCATACTACACCCCGGTGTGGAGCGACGGCTGGGCACGCAGAGGAGACACCTGCGTCATGAATTCAGACCTTAGATCACGATACGTTGAGGAAAGCTACCTGGAAGGACGGGCTTTTTCCATTTGATGCCGTTTGCTCCTGCAAAAAAGAAGAGCCCCTTTCCGTCGGAAAGGGGCGGCTGGAGCGCCACGATTCCCGCCAGCTGAGCGAGTGCCTCAACCTGCAGGCGCACAGCACAGCACCCCCCCCGCAAGCGAATTCATGACTTGTTGCCTCTAGAATTCAGGGAGACACAATGGCACGTGTACGAAGATGGAGATAGAGGCAAAGCGCCGCAGTATTCCCAACAAAGGGGGCGGTGCCCCCATGCGCACTTCAACCCGCTGCCGTCCTTGTCGCAAGTGCGAAAAAGGCTTCTCGAGGTGCTAGCAGCAGCATTTTCAAAGTGCTCTGGAACACATTTGAGCCTTTCGAGTGCTGTCCGTAGAGTAGGAGAGTATAGCCAGGCGCTTCTTACATGAACCAACACGTACACCCCAGATTACAGGAGCCCACAACTGGCCCTCGGCCACTAGCGTAGAGCTTTATCAAATATCTGAAACATATATACATATATATGTGTACGCATGCATCCATAGAGCCCAGCGCATTCTTTTTTGTCCAACATACTTGCAAAACCCCTGGCATCACTGCTCTTTCAGGGAAATGGCCGTTGAATGGGTCCTCATTGTTGGATACTTGCTTGACTCCGACTGCGCGCTTCCCTGCCTCGAACTGCAGCACCTTATCTACCAGCAGAAAGGGAAAGCGGTGCGGAAGAATCTGCTTGATTTGCTCTGCTGTGAAGACTGGCAGTGCAACGCTCTGCGTTAGGGACGAGACGGACTGGGCGCCGGTGTACGGGACCTCCGCGGCGGCTGATGGCGGTATTGCTGCTGCTGCTGAAGCGCTTGACAAAGGGGCGGAGGAAGGCACTTGAGCAGACAGCGGTCCTCCTGCCGGCGGTGTTACTCGGTCTGGCGCTGGATTCGCGAAGGCAGCGGCGCCTGGAGGTAGAGAGGGGGGATTCCTGAGGGAGAAGGCCGCAGAAGAAGCCGCGAAACAGCACACACACAATGCCAGCCAGCGGAAGAACCACCCTGAAGAAGCCCTCATCTTGGCTGCTGTGCTGCTGCTGCTGCTGCTGTGCTGCTGCTGCTGTGCTGCTGCTGCGACCTGGCTTAGGGCCTTGCTAAATGCGCGTTGTTGGGTCCAAAGAGTCAAAGAATGCAACAATAGGTGTTAAGAGGAACAGAGAGATAGAGTCATCTTCGTGTGCGCGCATCGTGGCGAAAGAGACAAGAGACATACACACAGGAGACAGGGGAACCGCGTCGGCACCTCCCCGTGGAGGGGCTGACTCGGAGGGCTTGGGGCTTTGCTGCCGTTTGCATGCGACCAGTGGCTGCGAAGCTAGAGCTGCAGAGGAGTAAGCAGCGGCCACCTGCTTTGTCAAAAACAAAGGCAAAACTGTAGGTTTGTAGAGCTCTCAAATACCTCGTAGCTATACATAAGGGCTGGAAATCCCAAGGCGCATGCAGCAGCTGCTCGTCAAGCAGGGGCGCTCTGCACCGACGCCATGCTGCCCTGTTGCATATATGCCTAGTTCGTAGACTCCATTGGTTTTAGGAGTTTGACAGTTTATGGGCAAAACTCAGCTGCCCCTTCCGCCTTTCGCCGCGAGCCAAAAGCCGAGCCATACGCCTTGCATTACACCCCAAGCCTGGCAGCTCCTTCGTGCGCGCTCATAGCACGGACTGCCAAGATGTGGAACCAAGGGGGCGGCCACCCCCAACAGTACATGCAGCACCAGCAGCAGCAAATGCAGCAGTACATGCAGCAGCACATGGCTGGCTACCCTGCTGCTGGGTATGACGCGGCGCAGCAGCATCAGATGCATCAGATGATGCTGCAACAGCAGCAGCAGTATATGCAGCAGCAGCAGCAGTATATGCAGCAGCATCACATGCAGCAGCAGCAGCAGCACACGCCTGGTGGGTATGCATATACGCAGCAGCAACAACAAATGTATCAGCAGGGGTACGCGTTTGCATCTCCCTCGACAGCTTCTGCCTACGGGTCGCCTGCTGCTTCTGGTACATCCAGTAGTGCGGGTACAGCCGCAGCGGCGGCGGCGGCAGCAGCAGCAGCCGCAGCAGCAGCAGCAGCAGCAGCCACTCCGTATGCGCATGCGGGGTCGCACTTATCGCCGTACGGCGCTGCCTTCGCTCCCCGACAGGGAGCAATAGCTCCTCCGGCAGATGCTGAGCTGGCGAAGAGGATTCGCACCATGGCAGGCAAGCGAATTCGGGGGGTTGCTGTAGAGGGAGGGGGGTTGTTGTAGCCAGTGTGTCTGGCGCGTCTTCAGCCTTGAGGCATTGCGGCTAACAGACACACGTCGCACATAGTGGGAAGCTCCACAGACGCAGGTGTGTCCGTGTATGGGGGCTGTGCTCAGAGTATTGTGCGAGAAATCCAGAGATGGAGAGGATGGTGCGACAGCGAGACGGCTCAGATCCCCGCTTCTCCTTCCTCTCCGGAGGGGAAGGCTATGAGTATTTCAGGTGAGCTGTTTAGAAAGAGCAGCCATCCTTGCGGCGGAACCACACTAAGCCTCTGCCTGCGGAGGCTTCCGCGCTGACAACTGACTGCTCGTGAGTGCTGCCTCGGTCCAATGCCTCAGATATCTGCTGTCGTGTTTCGAGAAAGGCATTTCTCCCGAGCAGGAGATGCCACCTCCGCCTCCCCCACCACCTCCCCAGAGTGAGCAGCAGCAGCAGCAGCAGCAGCAACAGCAGCAGCAGCAACAGCAACAGGAGGCACCGTGGGAGTACGACGTGGAGTCGCTACTGCTGTTGTATCGGCTGAAGCGCATTCCAAAGGAGGACGCGCTGAATCCGAGCCGCGATCGAGAGCTGCAGGAAGTTTTGCAGACACTGGAAAAAGAAGCAACTGCAGAGCACATTCGAGCTGCCCGGCACTGGGCAGAGATGTACTGCAGCAGCAGCAGCAGCTGCAGCAACAACAGCAGCAACAACAGCATCAGTGGCGGGGGTACTGCAGAGGCAGATGCTGCTGCATGCTGTGCATTGGCTGCTGCTCTGTACAAAGAACAAACGGCGTTGAAGACTCCAACGCACAAGCTGCACGCCCTCTACTTGGCGCACGACATTGTTCAAGTATATATTTTTCCTATTTTCCCTCTGCATGCATTCGCTCCCCCTCAAAGTGCTGTTGTACAGAGAAAAAAAAATTTTGACCACGTCCATTTCCCGTGCTTGGAAACATCCGCCTTCCCGCTGTTTCTTTGAGCCCTTAGTGCCTTGGAGAGGATGTTTGTGTGTCTTTTGTGTGTGTATCTTTGTGAGTCTATGGTGTTTTACGTGCTTCTGTGTTCATGTGTGTCTTTTTGTGCGTTTATGTGTGAAAGTTTGTATGTTTGTGTGTGAATGTTTGTATGTTTATGTGTGAATGTTTGTATGTTTATGTGTGAATGTTTGTATGTTTATGTGTGAATGTTCGTATGTTTGTGTGTTTGTAGTATGTCTGTGTTTAAATGTTCATGTGTGTGTGTGTGTTTGATTGTGTGCGTTTATGTTTGTTCTTGTGTGTCTGTGCGTTTGCTTTGCAGAATGAGGCTGTTTCCAAGCAGTCGAGTGTGCTGCTCAGAGCATTTAAGGTGTGGCTGCCATGGATGGCAAGGGAGGCCTTTCAGGCTGCAAGTGGAAGCTCAGAAGGCGAACAAAAAGTGGGTGCTCTTTGTGTTTGGTAAAGGGCTTGAGGCACCATACACAGCCAGCGCTTCTGTGGCGCGTTGCGAGGCTGTCTCGCTGCTTTGTCCGTGTCGTGCGTCTCCCCGCTTTTGATCATTCGAGGATTCGTAGAATAAGTGTGTGTATGTGTGCATCTGTGTGTGTATGTGTATCTGTGTGTTTGTATATGTATGTGTATGTGTCTGTGTGTATGTGCATGTATATGTATGTGTATGTCTTTATTTGTATGTGTATATGTATCTATGTGTATGTGTATGTGTATCTATGTGTATGTGTATGTGTATCTATATGTATGTGTATATGTATCTAGATGCATGTATGTGTATCTATATGTATGTGTATATGTATCTATATGTATGTGTATATGTCTCTAGATGTATGTGTATGTATCTGTGTATCTCTGTATGTGTATGTGTGTGTATATGTATCTGTTTATGTGTATTTGTGTGTAAATGTATGTGTGTAATATGTGTATCTGTATCTATATATATATATATATATATGTAATATGTGTATCTGTATATATATATATATGTAATATGTGTATCTGTGTATATCTGTGTGTGTGTATGTGTGCCCTTGTTTTGTGATGAAGGTTGATAGAGTGCTGTCTCTATGGGTGGAACGCGGCGTTCTAAGTGCAGACGAGCGGCACGAAGTTGCCTTTTTCTGCCGCATTTCTCAGCAGCAGTTTCAGCAGGCTTTAAATGCTGGAAGGTCGGAGGCAGAGGTGTGGCGTAAATCAGTTTGCTGGTTGTTGTTGTTATGTGCGTATCCCTTGATTTCCCCTTCTTGATTGCGCTTGTTCCCCCCTCTTTCTCCTCCTCCCGAAATGTGGTCGGTTGGTAGGTGGAAGCCTCTCGCTGGAGTTGTTGCGCACCGCTGCTGAAAAGATTCGCCACTCTCCGTATAGCGAAGAGCTGCTGCTGCTGCATGCAACAAGGGGCTTTTGATATTGTTGTTCTGCCGCTGTATGTACAGGACGCTCTCTTGTGCTCGTTGTGTTTACTGTGCCTCGCTGCAGCGCCGAACGGGAGGCAGCAGCACTTTGGATAGCGGAGGTCTTCCCACCTCACCAGGTACACTTCGTCGGAGTCGTTACGAGTAACTTCCAAATGCGGAAATCCTCAAGGGGAGGCGGGGGTTCTACAATGCCTGGAGAAGGGGCATGTGCATGCATTTGTGTCTGTTTCTGTGCGTGTACATGTGTGTGTATATGTGTATGTGTTTGTGTGTATATGTGTGTGTGTTTGTGTGTATATGTATGTGTATATGTGTACATGTATGTGTATATGTGTACATGTGTGTTCATATGTGCATATGTGTATATGCATTTTCATATGTGTGTATGCATTTTCATATGTATATGTGTACATGCATGTGCATACGTGTATATGTATGTGCATATGTGTATATGTATGTGCATATGTGTACATATGTGTGCATATGTGTATGTGCATGCACACATCTGTATGTGTCAATATGCATAGATATGTAAATGTGTTTCTGGCTACAGAGCCTTCTCGGGGGTTTGATATGCGCCCTGAAGAGCTTGGGCTGACTCCCGAGACGGTGTCGGTGGGAATCATGGCGACGATGTGTCGCAGTATTATAAAACGGGTAGGCGTAGAATCAAATTGTTTTTGACTCCTTGCATGCGCACGTGTGCTGCAATTTTTCCGCTCAATTTGCGGAAAGTGCATAGTCAGGCATTCCGGGTGCAGGCAGTAAGGCTACTACTGTCTGCCGTGACGTTGGGCTTACTTAAAGGCTTCGAGTTGCGTGCAAAATGAATGTGCAATACGTGTTTTCTTCAGACGCGCCATATGCATGCAGCCTTCGTGCCCTATCGGCCACTGGACCCTCTTGCGACCCCTCAGACAACCCCGCGTTAGTTGTTGCTGCTGCTGCTTTATGGTGCCTGGTGCTGCTGCTTTATGGTGCTCTGGTGCTGCTGCTTTATGGTGCTCTGGTGCTGCTGCTTTATGGTGCTCAAGCATTCTTCTGAGTGTATTGGCTCTCCCCCGCTGGTGCCTTTTGGTGTGGGCGTTGATGGGGGGAGGCAGCAGGAGAGGCGGGGTGCTTGTGTTGCTGCTGCAGCTGTAGAGCCGCCGTCAGATTACTTGTCGGATCGGCTTCAAGACTTTTACGAAGACCTCGACCATATTGAGGAGAACTTTAGACGCAAGCTGTGGGTTTTTTTTTCCGGCCGTGTGCCTTTTTTTGTGAAAATAGCTGGATCGTATCGTAGAATCGCGTCCAGACAGCGCTGTTGTTTTTGCGCCAGCCGTGCTTGGAGCGCACTAACATACGCTTTGGCCTGCCGCGCCTCTCAGGAAGAATTTGCAGGTTGTTTCTTCAGATCCGCGTTTGAGTGGAGGCGTCTGTCTGGCGTTGATAACTTCTGCGGTATGCGGCTCAGGGAGAAGGACGGCCGTAGGAGTTCGCTGTCTCCATCTCCGGAAAGAGACGGCAGTTTGAGTAGCGACAGTCTTTATTCGAGAAGCAGATCGAGCAGCGCCAGCCTGGAACGGAAGCTTGAGGCCAGGTGTGTATGAGCGTTTTTGCAAGTGGAGGCCTTTTCTTCTGCCCTTCGCACTGCCGCTTATTGCCGCCTGAGACATCTGTTTAAGGTGGCAACAAGCGGCTTTCTATGCTCGAGAGGGGGAGGGGAAGGCGTGTTTGCCACCTGTATGTATGTAGGTATGTATGTGTGTATATGCCCTTCCACTTGCTGTTTCAGGGAAAAGGAGCGACGCTTAGAAGCTCCTGAGGGGCCTCCCCCGAAGCCAGGCGGCCTGCGCAGCAGCAGCAATTGGATTGCTGCGGAGATGGGTTTGGCAGATGATGGCACTTTTGCGGGTAGGTGCAGAGGGAAACTGCAAAGACTTGTGCAGAACCTGTGTGTGAGGGAGATGCGTGTCTGTGGGTAAGCTATATATATATATGTGTGTGTGTGTCTGTGGCTGTGGGTAAGTATGTGTGTGTGTGTGTGTGTCTGTGGCTGTGGGTAAGTATGTGTGTGTGTGTATGTGTGTGTATGTGTGTGTGTGTGTATGTGTGTGTCTGTGGGTAAGATGTGTGTGTGTGTGTGTGTGTGTGTGTGTGTGTGTGTGTGTGTGTGGGTAAGTTGTGTGTGTGTGAGATTTGTGGGTAAGATGTGTCTGTGTCTATGGGTAAGTATATATATATATATATGTGTCTATGGGTAAGTATGTGTGCGTGTCTGTGTCTATGGGTAAGTATGTGTGTGTGAGATTTGTGGGTAAGATGTGCTTTTTGCTGCTACCGCTAGCTGATGATGGCGAGTTTGTGTCCATGTTGCAATGCGAATGCTGTGTGTGTTGGGGTGGGGTGGGGTCGTTGTGTTTGCTGCAGGGCCTCGAGGAGGCGCGCGCCTCGGGTTGGGCGCTACAGCGGATCCCCCAAAGCCGGTGCAGCCAGTGGATCTCTCAGATCCTTTCGAGCGATTTAGACATCAACGCGCTGGAAGATACCATGAGGTTATGGCTGCGCAGTGAGCTGAGGCGTATCTAGAGTTTGTGTAAGACCTAGAAGGGTGGCTTTGGCCTTTGCTAGGACCGTTAGTTCTGCAGGCTTGCTTGCTGCGTGTGTGTGCATCGGTGTGCGGCGCGAGAATGATGCATGCGTCTGGCGGGGCAGTGCAGAGTTTGGTGAGTGCGTTGTACTGCTTTGCAGCAAAGCGGATCGCAAAGACATGACGCGGCAAGAGAGGAACTGCTACCTTTGTGGGAAGGTGGGTTGCGTTGCATGCTGAATGCTGATGTGTCTGTACGAAGGCGGGGGGGAGGGGGGCTTGGGAGAGGGCGACTCATGGCTTAGTGCGGCTAGGGGTCTAAGGGGTGGTGATGCGCGTATGCGTTTTTCAATTATGCAGTTAGGACATCTGGCAAGAGACTGCACGAGTAAGTCTCGGCCGTGAGGCAGCAGCCTTTTTTGACGAGTCGCTTTAAAGAGCAGCGCATCAAGCCGAGCACGGCAGGATCGCCAAGAGGCAGCGTTCTCGGCGGCACGAGAGGCTGCTGGAAAAAATCGTTTTCCGCATTCGCCTTACTGTGGGGCTACACTACGGAGCTACGATCACCTCGGTGCGGGTTCTCCGTGTGCGCAAGTTTACGCCTCCGCGCCGAAGACTGGTGGCTGCTCTACCGGATAGCGAGCGACTGCGCAGTTAACGACGCTTGCAACGCTCGACGCCCCGAAAAGGCGTCACAAACACTGTGAAACTGGACGAAGTCGTATAGAAACGGCAACTCGGCGTGAAAGATACACTTAGGGGGTCGTCGCTCTCAGCTCCTGAATGAACTCTTGCGAGCGGCAGTTGAGCCTAAAATAGCAACTTTCCCTCAGAATCCCTGCTAGTGCCTAAAAAGCGCGCCTTATAAGGACGAGGCATTTTCGTAGTTTCATTGTAGGGGACAAACCCTTTGTACTTGACTCACAGGGAGGCGGGCCCTATGGTTGAACCACGACTTTATATGACGCGTTGGAGTGCGTAGTCCGGCTAAAAAGAATGAGGGCATTGAATTCAGGTGGCCATTAAGCCTGCGAATGTGTTTAGCGAAACCCTTCTCGCGAGGACGTAGCGTGAGACTTTCTCCGGAAGGGGTGAAGGCCGAGAAGGCGATCAGAGCTCAACGCAGTGCGAAACTTCCCCACGTTGATACCCAGACACGCCAGATAACACTGATATTCTTGCGAGCTTGAACATTTTCGGTAATATCGAGGCATCTTTATGCACAAAAAGAATGTGAATCGCCCACACAAGTGGCCAGCCGCCGTGCCAGACTGGCTGTAACACCGTGGACCCCAGGAACGGTGATTCTTCGTGGCGTTGGGCTGCTTTCCCCCTTATTAGTGATCTTATGAGTTTTACTGGTCATTCGTTTAGGCAGACAGTGCTGACTAATGACGCAAAAAGCCCTGCGGCTGCGGCAACGGCGGCAGCTGCAGCGGCTCGGCGTCTGAGCGCCTACCGAGGCTGCTGCCATTGCAACATGGGTGGGAGAGAGGCCTGGAAATGCCTTCTCCAGGAGTGGAGTGTTGACAACGCGGTCACCGCCCTCTGCTTTGGCTGGAAGCGGCTGCGGCAACGGCGGCTCCAGCTAGCGCATTCTGCATGGGCCGGCCGTGCGGATACACCCGGGAAACCGTATGTTCGACATTGAATGCGCCGACGCGGCTCATGCGAACAGCCCTTTCCTGCAACAGAGAGTCTGGGGGTACCTTGAGGGGCGTTGTGCAAGGGGCTTTCTGTCGCTTTCCCTCGGGAGAAGTTCCCCTTCAGTCAGAGGAAGCACACGCGAGCTGGCCTCTCTCTCAGGATTGCCCGGTCTGCCTGCCTGACCCCATGCACTGCGGCTGCACCGGCAGCTTCAGCAGTTCGTGCTTTCTCGTGGTGGTGCCTCTGCTGTGGCTAGCGTGTTCGTCGTCGGAAAATGTCGGGGAAGGCGGTGCTTGCTGCCCTCTCGGGTGTATGCGGAGGTCGTGTCCGCTACTTTTGCGCATGCCGCTTGACGTATTTGGGGCGCCAGAAGCGTCTCTTTCTTTGTGTTGGGGCTGAGGCCCTCTTTTTCTTGAAGCGCGATCTCTCGAGACTTATCTCAGGAGGCGAGCTCATGCTGTGTTTCATCCGCTATATCGTGTCAGACACCTCTTCAGACACGCGTCTGCTCGTATACATGGATGAAGAAGAGGTGCACCGGGCCAACAACAAGGTCTGGGGAGGCACAGGGGGCTCTAAGGGGGGGCCTCTCATCGTCGAAACGGCAGATCGAGACGTTCTAGAGAAGTGGATCGAAACCGTGTGGTGTGCTGACTTTGCCCTGAGGAGGGGGCGTCTGGGCAGGTATCCCAGGATTCTCCTAGATGTGACTGCAGATGACGGAGAGAGGCTGTCTGTGGTGCAAACAGTGCCGCAGATTAAGCCCTTCCTTGGCACGCAGCAGGTAGGCGTCCATGACTGCACCGCCACACACTGTTGATGAGGCTGTTTGCTTTTTTATGCGGGGAGCAGATCCTAGCACCTGCCGAATGATATACCCTATTCCAGTGTTGTGCAGAGGTTAGCGTCCTCTGCAAAGCAGGGGCATGTTCCTGTACGTTTAGCCACCATTTGCCCGGTGAGCAGACCATGAGGCGTTATTGCATGTGGAGTCGGGGAAGATTGCGGGTTGTGTGTCGATGTTGTGGTGCTCCTGGCTGTTTTTTTCGCCAGATATCATACGATGGGTACTCCTTCTTCCTGCCCAAAGACTTTGAAGACCGCGCGGGGGTAACCTTTTGTTGCTCTTGTTGTTGTTGCTCTTGTTGTTGTTGCTCTTGTCGTTGTTGCTCTTGTTGTTGCTGTTCTTCTTGTTGCTGCTTGCGGGGACGGCAGATCTGCGTGGGGTGCAACTCTGCTGCTGCAAGACACTCTGGGGGTTGGCGAACCTGTTGAGGTGCCTTATTTTTAACGTTCCTGTTGCGCGCTTGTCGTCGGCGCAGGTTACAGCAGCACTGCAGACAGGCTGCTACTTGGACTCCAGGGGTGTGGAGGTGCAGCTTTTGCTGCTACAGCAAATGTGTGTGACAGACCTTCCAGCTATGGGGAGAGGGGATGTCCGCTACGTTGCTGCAGGTGGGCTGCTGGTGATGGCGCTGTAATGCCATTCGCCTTCTCTTTCTGGCAGTTCGCTTGTCGTTTAGAAGGCCCCTTCCTTCCTTCCTTCCCCCCTCCCGCTATGCCTTCTGAAGAAAGAACCAGGCTTACCGTGTGCTGGGAAAGGCGGCATTTCTCGCATGCGTTTTGTAAGCGCTGCGGCTCATGCAGGGTTCCGTCGAGCGCTGCTAGAGGCCTCACCCTTTGCATATCTGGTGAGGAGCGTTGCGTATGTGAAGAAGATGAATCTTACGGATGACCCTTCCCAATGGACGGGGTGGCAAGTATGTCTATATATATATATATATCTAAATAAATCTCTATTTAAATACAGATATAAACTTTCATAAACCACGCAATCCTGCGATATGCGACCGATTGGGGAGGTCACTGCTGGGTTTAGCTAGCGATCGTGTCTCGTCACGATTAAAATATCCGCTAGGGCGGATGTATGTACACCCGTATGTACGCCTACATATTTATGTGTGGCGCCATGCACAAGCATGTCTAGGATGTGCAGTTTTGTGAAACCTGGGGTTTAGCGCATGCTTCTATTTTAGCGCTTGGGATTCGGATTGGGTGATGCATGCGCAGCTGTGGGTAAAGAACGAAGAAGCGAACATCATAACATTCGTCTTTAGGCGCATGTGTGAGGCCTCACGTAGCTGTAGGGGTGGTGTCGGAGTGCTGTTGCTGTGGGAGTTGTTGTGGGAGTTGTTGTGGGGTTGTTGGGCTTGCAGTTTTGCAGTGCACGTAGGCGTGCGAATTTCGACTGTACACACAGACACCCCCCCAATCATGGACATGTGTCAGGATATGATTCTAACGTACAAAGTGTGTCATGATGACCAAAAGGGTGCGTCTTTGTTTCTAATAAAATCCCAGCCGTAGACGCGGGAAGCTTTTTGCAATCTCCTGGGGTGTCTCTGGCATGTGATCCTGGAGTGCATCTCTCTTTCACTAGATCTGCGTCAGCGATCGACTGAGCCTTTGTGGGTTAGCCGCGCTCCCCGCCGCGCAGGAGACGCTTGGCTAGCTAATTAGCCAGCTACAACCTAGCAAGCTACTTGACTGGCTGGCGCATCGCGTGTCGTTGGAGCGCGTCAGAAGGCGTCCTTGCATGTGTGGGAGTTGGTTTCGTTTCGCATGGGGCAGCGCTTTTTGCCAGATTTTTGGCAGCGTTTTTTTTTGGCTCTCTGTCTTTTTCATCAGAGTCAAAGTTGTCAGACTGGGACTTGTTGCGCGAGGCAGAGCTCGTAGCTGACTCCATCTCGCCGGAGGCAGCCAAGAGCAGCTGCATCAAGGAAGTGCTGCAGGCGAAGCTCGACGCCCTTATTCTGAATGACGAGCATTACACGTGGCTGTACATGAACTTGAGGATGACGGTTAGTCCTGCCTTTTCGCAGACTGAGCTCTGCAGCTAGCGTTGTTGTTCTTGTGCTGCTGAGCTGAGTGCGCATAACCGCATAAACAACGCGTAAACGCTGCCGTCTAGAGGGAGCGTGAAGCCTTTGTCGCTTGCTTGCTGCAGGCTGTCGAGTGAGTGTGCTTAAGGAAGGGGAGGGGGGAAAGGGGGGAATGGCTGCCGTGTGGAGCACTGAATGCGCTTTCTTCCATTCGACGCGCATGCAAAACGTTCTGAGCGAGCCTTTGCCTTTTCGCGCAGCCCAAGTGGATTGCCCCTGCCAAGGTTTTTCTGAAGTCACTCCTCGTGATTCTGCAGAGAGAAGGCATTCTTGCGGATGACGGTGCGCGTCATTTTTTGATTCTTGGGAAAATTCTGAGCAGCAGCGGCCAGGGGGTTAGAGGGCAGACTGGGGAGGTACCAGCAGCAGCACTTTGGCGCTGAGGTTCATGTCAAGATCTCGTCTTCTGCTGAACTACGCCCTCCTTAAAATCCATTCAACTTGCGCTTGTCTAGATGCTCGAGCTTCTTCTGTGCACTTGCAGACTTGCTCGACGCCGTAGGTTCTGCAGTTGCCGTGGTAGAAGACCCCATGCTTGTCGCGCTCGATATGGTTCGATCAGGAGAAGGCGAGCACATGTCTCATTCACACTTTCTCAATTGCGCTTTGTAGCCTTCAGGGCGAAGCGAAGGGAACAGGGGAGAAGGAGGGGGGGAAAACGGTAATGTGAGGGGGGTGTAGAGTTGGCGCAGTGGGGAGTTGAAAGAGCGATCTGGCAATCCTCATATTATTTCGGCTGCTGCAAATCTCTCGCCAAGCCCCTGTCGTGTCGATGTAATTTCTTTCTCTTTATTTCTTTTTTTCTCTCTTGCTCTATTTCTCTCTCTCTCTCTTTTTCTCTCTTATTTCTCTTTCTCCCTCTCTCTCTTGCTCTGTCTATTTTTCTCTCTTCTCTTTCACTCTTGCTCTCTCTCTCTCTCTCTCTCTCTCTCTATTTCTCTATTTCTCTATTTCTCTATTTCTCTCTTTTATGTCTCTCTCTTTTCTCTCCCTCTCTCTCTTTTCTCTCTCTCTATTTCTCTATTTCTCTCTCTCTTTTCCCTCTCTTCCTCTGTTGGCGCCTAGCCAAAACAGTCCTTGTTTCGCACTTTTATGAATTCTGGTTGTGAGGAGGCGTGCTGCGGCTTCTTGCCGCAGGCGTGGACCCCAGTGTTGATGGACTTGCAATAGCTGCAGCGGTTGAAGTTGCCGAGGCATCAGAGTCTTCCGCGAAAATTCAAAAGTCTCAGCACACAGCTGCCTTGGCCCTGCATCGTTGGGCTATGCGAGTTGCCTCGTATTTGGCATATTGCGTTAATGGCGGTATTTTAGGCCCGCGATTTTCGCTTGCTGACTTGGCAGAGGCTGTCGGACTAGTAGGCGCAAACGCAGACCAGGTGTGGATTCTGTAGACATTCAAGTCTGTATATATATGTTATGTAGCGAGAGAAAAGAAAGCAAGCAAGAGATCTTTTCAAATTTACATGGATATACACTCAAAAACTGCATTCGTTGTTCATAGATACACTTACTTCATCATGCATAGATATACATACATGTATATATATATGTATATGTATGTAAGGTATGTACATACACATACGCATGTACTTATATGTACATCCATTTACACATATGCACATACATATAGAGATATGCATCCTTATGGCGTTAGAGAGAGAGAGGATCTACGGAGTAAAGTAGCGAGGCACGTGGCAGAGGTCTCTAAATGAGTGGCAAGTAGAAGATGAACAAGATGCGATGCGTCTCTTTTTTTGCTAAGGCGACGTTCGAGGCTGCCTTTTGAAATGTGACGGCTCTTTTGTCATGGTGGCCGCATGTGTGTGTTTTGTATGTATATGTTCTTGAGCGCTTGTTTTTCCTCTCTTTTGCGACACCCCTGCTTTGATGTTGCCCAAGCATTAGCAGCGCAAATGCTGTCGCTTCTTCGGTTGACTCTCGCAGCTTGTTCGAGCCGCTATCTCGTTCATGCTGCATCTGCGGCCAAAGGATTTTCTACTGCCGTGGAACCCAGATACAATGAAAACGGCACGCATGTCTCTTCGACGGCGAGATTTTGTCTTCAATCACAAACCCTTCATGGTGTGTCGTGTCATTCGTTGCCTGTTGACTTTACACCACTCTTCCGCCCTGCTGCTTCTGCTGGAGGCGGCTGCGCCGTAGAGTCTGCATCTCTGTCTACCTCTCTCTTTCTGTCTCTCTTTTTTCTCCGTGTTTCTTTCTCTGCACCTCAGGTCTTTCTTTCTCTCTCTGTGTGTTTCTTTATCTATCTTTCTGTCTTTCTTTGTCATTCTTTTTCTCTATCTATCTCTCTCTCTCCCTATCTATATATTCATATCTCTATCTATTTCTCTCTCTTTCTATCTACATGTTCGTATCTCTATCTACTCCTCTCTCTATCTATTTCTCTGTATCTATCTCTATCTATTTCTCTCCCTCTCTATCTATCTCTCTCTCTATCTCTCTCTCTACTGCTCTGAGGCTGCAAAGTATGGCACCTCTGCGTCAAAATTATTTGGCTTTTGCTTTGCGCAGATTCTTCTGGAGTGCGGCTATATCGCCAAGTTGTTTCCCAGAAAGTAGGGCTGCCTGTCCTTTGGCTTTGAGGGTTTTTACGAGTTGCATTCGTTTTGTTGTCTTCCTTTGATGGACAGGTGCTGCCCTTTGCTCTCCTCCCGCATGCATACAGGAGATGCATACATGTAAACGTTCATGCTTCTTTCGCTACGCATGTTCCGCGCAGTGTATATACACTGTGCACCGCATGTTTGCTCAGAGAAGAGGCCGCCTACATCGAGATGCTGAGAGCTTTGTTACACGGAGCACGCACCGTGGACTTCAAGACAGCCATATGCAAACAAATTCTGAAAGCAACGGGAGATAAGCAGAAGAAGGCGGTAGATTTGCTTTTTTCCATCGTGCCCGCTTTAGTTCAAACCATAAGGGCCAAGGATGCCACGAGATCTGTAGGCTTTGTCCCTCGTAGCATGGCTTTGTTACAGAGAGAGAGAGAAAAGAGAGGTTTCTGCAATTCTTAGGATATGTTCTATAAATGCACGCGTATGCCAGTTCAGCGACAGGATTTGTGAGGGGCCGAAGGGGGAAGGGGGTGTGTGTGTGTGTGTTGGCACGCCTGTTGCGCTGATGGCATGCATGTATCTGCTCATCAAAGCATCATGTAGTCACGGCTGCCGCACGCTGCATACATGCATACATGCATGCATGCAGCGAGAATCATGATTATTCGCGCTGCCGCTCTTGTGGCTGTTTTATTTTTGTCCTGTAGGGGAATAACATGCCGCTGCTGCACTTATGTGCCGCTTCCTTGGTCAACTTGAGCGCCGGCGATCCACGAACAAAGGAAATCTTACTTGAAGGGGGGATTCACTCAGCATGTCTCACTCTCCTCAAAACGAAGGTCGGGGGCGTGTCTCTGCATGCATGCACATGCATACATACACATGCATGCATGCATGTATGCATGTGTATGTATGCAGAGACTTCTTTTCTGTTGCGTGCTCCTCCTTTTGTCCAATCTAGACCGGTGGTAGCTTGGCGTGTGTATGTGCTGCTCTTCCTCTTTTTTCAGGAAGCCAGCGTAATTCAAGCTGCAGTGCTACTGCTTCTCAATCTTACAAAGATGGCAGCCCACAGGCAAAAATTCCTTGCTGCAGGCGGCTTGTATGCAACAGTCGATCTTCTCATGGTATCGAAAAATTCACAGGGTCGAATCACAACGCGCATGCCGAGGCTTTTTTTGCGGCACTGTCTGGAGATTCTTGGGCTGCTCCTGTTGCTGTTGTTGCTCCTGGTGCTGTTGCTGCTCCTGTTGCTGTTGCTGCTCCTGTTGCTGTTGTTGCTCCTGTTGCTGTTGTTGCTCCTGTTGCTGTTGTTGCTCCTGTTGCTGTTGTTGCTCCTGTTGCTGTTGTTGCTCCTGTTGCTGTTGTTTCTCCTGTTGCTGTTGTTTCTCCTGTTGCTGTTGTTTCTCCTGTTGCTGTTGTTGCTCCTGTTGCTGTTGCTGCTCCTGTTGCTGTTGTTGCTCCTGTTGCTGTTGTTGCTCCTGTTGCTGTTGCTGCTCCTGTTGCTGTTGCTGCTCCTGTTGCTGTTGCTGCTCCTGTTGCTGTTGTTGCTCCTGGTGCTGTTGTTGCTCCTGTTGCTGTTGTTGCTCCTGTTGCTGCACATGCCCCTGCTGCTGCACATGTTCCTGTTGTTTCTACTGTTGTTTTTGTCGCTGCTTCTGCCTCTCCTGCGCGTAGCACAACTATGCCTCCGATCTGCCTTCACGCCATAGACTTCTCTGCGGTCTCATGGGGGTTATTGGGCAACTTGCAAATGACGAAGACGCCAGGAGAGACCTTGTAGAGCGGTATAAAGCTGGTTACGCCTCTCTCTGAGTGCATGTGTTGTTGCCTGCTGCTCTCCAGTGGCTAGTGAAGCAGCTTACTGCCTCGCCACGTCTCTAGAGGGTGCTCGCTTGCCTAGCCATCCATGTATTCGCTGGCTTCCTGCACGCCGCAGGCAGGAGAGCCGTTTTGCGAGTTTGTATCTGTGAAGCTGCCGGGCAGCCAGCGCGAGTTGCAGCTAGCCAACAGCTAGCCGAGTGAAAGAAATGAGCGGAGCACGCGGTGTTATTTGCGTAGGAGAGCTCCGGCTGCACCCATGCCTGGCCACAGCAGCTCGCTAGGGGATGCATCAACTGCGAATGTTTGCAGCTTTTTACCGGCTAACTTTCAAAGGCCTTTCTGTTATTTGGCTGTCTTTGCCAAAGCCTCATGCAGTTCTTCGGCTCTGTGCGCCTCTTGCGCAGCTTTCCTGTCGTTGACTTTGTGCTATACGCCTTCCACAACTCCGCTGATAACGTCGAATACAAAACAAAAGTAGGCAGAAGGAGGGCCGCTTCCACGCGTCCTACCTGCATGCACATTTTTATGAGAACTCGCGTTTCTTCTTGCTTCCTTCTTCTGCTTAATTTCCCATCCCGTCCAGGACGAGCCTTTTGAATTGATTGTCTTACACCGAGTCTGAATCTACGCCACCTCTAGAGAGCCGACTTTTTGTCTCGACTTCGCTCTGTCGATATATGTGTATATATATGTATATATATCGCTGATGCCTACCAGACTCTCCGAGAAGTGTCATGCAGCCCTTCTCTCGCCCTGATGAACTCTCTCTGCTATCGCCTGCATGCGCATTTTCCCTCTCTGCTCTCTCCCCTGGAGTGCCAGTCATGTTGATGCACATCATTGCCCCCTATGGGCTCCTAAATAAATATCTCCTTAATATCACACTATCCTCGGGTGTCTTTTGTCTACCGTTTCTTTTGTATTTGTGTATATGTACATATATATATATATATATATAGTGGCAACGCCATATGTATGGTTATTTTTTGTACCACCACCACTACTGTACGTTTCCACACATCTGTGTTCATACAGGCACACCACACAGCCCATGCCTGCCTGTGTGCAGTGGTGTGTGTCTCCTTCTGTGTGGGCATCCAGATCATTTTTGCTCTTCGCCAGCTCAGTGTAGGACGATGGCAAGTCCAGCAAAGGGTCTCTAAACATGTCACACGGAGCATTACCGCCGATTTGGCCCAAGTCGAATCAACAGAATTCGCAAGTGTAGCGCTCTCTCTGTTGCAAGTGCGTGAGCAGAGCCAGCACCCTTTCATTCAGCATGAGAGCGGAGGGAGGGGTTGTTTTATGAAGCGAAACAGAGCGAAACTCTTTCCTCTTCCTCAGGTTTATATATATATATATATATATATATATATATATATGTATCTGTCTGTCTCTCTCTATCTCTCTCGCGTCCTCGATAGGTGGTGCTGCACGTGCTGGCTAGCAAAGAGACACAGATATCTTCTGACTTCGCATGCGTCTATAGAGGAGGCAGCCATTGCAAAAACTCACCCTCTTTCTGCCGCCGCCACGCAGTAGTAGTAGGGGGGCCATGAAGAACGCACAGATCAAGCGTTCCTCTTTGCGCTTTTCCCGCGTGGTTTAAAGGGGTATTTCGTGTGGCCGTTCCAACACAGCGGGTGGCACGAGAGCGAGCTGCCTTCAACGAAAGTCGGGGAGGGAAAAAAGGAAGAAACGTGTTTTACGCGTCAAAATGTTGACTTCCCAGTAGCATGCGCGGCAAGGTTTCCCATATAGAGGATCCTCTGCGCTGAGTGCTTGTTCTGTGTCTTCGGTCATGAATTGCGCAGCTGTGTGACGCCGCTGTTTCTACGAGGCATTCCTTCCTTTTCCATGCACCTATCCCGCTGTTGGTTGGATCTTCCATAGCTGGAGATCTTCTGCAGACGTTTGTCGCTTGCGTGCTTGCGTTCATGTTGCTGCCACTCGTGCTTGTTGTGCTGCTCTGCCTTCTCACAGACTTTGGCAAGCTACAAGCCGAATTGTTTCGACATGAAGGCCGCTGGAATTCAGGCAAGCCCTCGCCGTGATGCACTTCCCTCGTTTTCAGCTTGCGTTATTGATGGTGGCGATGCTCGAATAGCGTGCTGTTGTTGCTGTTCTTTCGCTATGGCCGCGTGGAAGTCCGTTGATTTATTGCGCATAATGCTTGTGCATTTCGCTGCTTCCCACACCTACGAACGAACGCTGCGCAACGCTTCAATCTGGAATTCAGGAAGCTCTATCCATCATGCTGCGGCGCACTAAATTAGATCTTCTGTACCACCGTGTGGCCAACCTCCAGGAGAGGATCAATACCCAGACCAGGTATGATTACTTCTCTATTTGACCGCACTCAGAGGGCTCTAGCGTGGGAGCGAGTTGCAGCGTCTCACTGATCAAAAAGCGGCCCTTTTTTTCTCGCGGAGTCGTCTCGCTAGTCGAGGCGGCTCTCCAGGGGCAGCGCACGGGCAGCACCCCACACTGGCCAGCTGCTTGCATTCGCGTCTAAGGGGCTGGCTACCTAGCTAGCTAGCTAGCTAGCCAGAGGGGCACCTGGCTAGCCCGACGGCGGCACTAGGTGGGCGGGAGCCGCGCAAAAAATTCGCAAGAACGCGTGGTGATGCGTGTGGTCGCTTCGCAACAAAGAGCATCTCAGAGCTGCAGTTTTTTTTTGTCTGCGGGAAGAGAATGCAGGAGGGGCACTGGGTGATTACTAGGAAGAACGCTTTTATTAAGAAGTTTAAGACCTGAGCTGTAGAAACGCGACAAGCGGAACTGGCACGAACGTAGGCGTGCGCCGAGCTGTAGAGATCGTACTACAAGGAGCAGCCATCATCATCGTGCTCCTAAAAACGCTGCAACAAGCTGCTGCTGCTGCTGCAGAAGCTTTTGGCGTGATGGTTCGCTTTGGAAGAGCGATACAATTTGCTGCTGCAGCTGCGTGATCAGCTGTACAGACGCCTCTTCACTGCACCGCTGCAGCACTGCTGCAGCGGACCGCACTTGCCCAGCAGTGAGTAGGCTGGTAGTGGCTGCACTGCTGTTGCCGAGGAGGACAGAGAGAGCTTCTGCTGCCGCTGGATCCTGTCGAATCATGTTGTTTTCGAAGTTGAAGCACCGCCCTACGAGCAGCTGCCAAAACTCGGCAGCGGCATGCCGCTTCAAGGGGAGGTGTATATCCACCTCAGGTCGGAGCAGCAGGAGCCGCTGCTGATGCTGGTGCATGGCCTTGTTTTCGTCGTGATGCGGGGGAGTTGAAGACTCCACGGAGTGCTGCTTTTGTCGAAGTGGCCAGCGCCTGCCCAGCAGGAGATTTCCTGCGGCATGCGCGATGGCTCGGAGATCAATGCCATGCAGCACCCAGTTGTTTCTTGAATCTGCATGCAACGCGATGCAATGCAAAAAGGGACTGCCGTTCAGCCGCATTAGCGCTAGGCTGAAGGAGCCAATGCATGCACAGGGAGGAAGCCTGATAAGCCTCATGAGCCCGACGCTGACTAAGGGTGTGTGGGTGGCTAGGGGTGAGAGTAGCCGCTGCAGCCGATTCCACAGAAGCGAGGCATGTCGCGATTCGAGCGCTAGCAGCGCAGCTGGAGGCACATTCAAGAAAAGCAGTTGCTCGCAGCATGACGTGGAGTGCACATGTCATACCGTGTTGGCAGGCGTCTGTGAAACGATCGTCAATCGGGCAGAAACTGCTGCAAAGCCCACGCATGTCAAGCCCACACCCCAGCTCCCCGCCGTACAGCACAATTGCACTGGCTGCGCCTTCTGGCAGCAGGGGATGCTTTTTCAGCGTCATCTGCGAGTGAGCGAACTGCCGTTGCTGCGGGAGCCGTTCTTCAGCAACCGCAGAGGCAGCGGGAGCCACTGTGAAGCTGCTCAGACTGATATCGCAGTGCAGCAGTCCAACCTGGAGAGACGGCGAGCGCTCAGCACAACGCAGCGCTTGCGGTTGCTCCCGCAGTAAGGGGAGTCGCAACGGCAACAAAGGCTAAACGATGAACGCGCATCAACGCAATCACGGACTGCATGCAGAGGCCTACCTGATGCAGCTGCTTCAGCAGCTCCAGCTGCTCGTGCACCAAAAATAAGCACAGCTCCTCGGGAGGCAATACACCCCTGCAAAAACAGCGCACCGTCGAAAATCCGCGAAATTCAGCAGGGGGAGAAGCAGCAGCTGCTGCTGCTGCTGCTGCACCACGCCTTACCTCCATATCAGAGGAGGAAAAGGCAGCAGGCAGCCGTTCACAGAGGGTTACAATTCTTCAAACAGCAGCAGCCTTAGAAGCATCCAAAACGCACATATTCAGATAAACCTTATTTACAATATTCAGCAGCGTTGCCGATTGGCGAACTGCAGGCACAAGGAGCAGGGTAACATTTTTGTTGTTGCTCTCGTTGCTGTTGCTCTTGTTGCTCTTGTTGCTGTTGCTCTTGTTGCTTTTGTTGCTGTTGCTGTCGTTGGTGTTGCTGTTGCTCTTGTTGCTTTTGTTGCTCTTGCTCTTGCTGCTGTTGTTGTTGCTCTTGTTGTTGGCGGTGGTGTGAGGCAACTGCTGGTCTTGTACTGGTGCGTTCGAGCGGCTGTACTTTTGAGTATTCACGTAATTCTGCATGCGGGGGTGTTGCTCATGCTGGTAGTCGGGATATGGCTGCTGCAGCAGCTGCAGGAAGTCCACATGTCGTTGCAGCAGCTGCTGCAGCATCGCTCCCCCCAAGGCGTCTGCAGCAGCAAGCGATGACTGAGTGCAGAAGTGACTTTCGACTGGCAGCAGCCACTGCGCATTCGATGCAGCTGGACCGCTGGGGGTGACGAAAACGTCTATCACTGGCGATAATGTCAGTGGAGTCGCTGAGCAGACTCCTACGGCAGGTGCCATACTGCTACTACTGCTAGCGGCAGTGCTGCAGTTGCTAGTCGAGTTGCTGCTTCGAGCTGCTGCAGCGAATTTGTCGTGAGTCGTGCTGCTGCTGCTGCTGCTGCTGCCGTTCCTGTTGGAGTTGTCGGGGATGCAGGGGGAGTCGCCAAGTCTATACATATCGAGCGACATGATGAGGCTGCTGTTCGTGCTGCTGATGCCAGTGCTGCTGCTGCTTGCGCTGCTGTTGCTGATACTGATACTGCTGCTGGTGCTGCTGGCAGCCGCAGCAGCAGCTCTCCTCCTTGGGCGCTGCTGCTGCTGCTGCTGCCGCCGCTGCTGCTGCTGCTGCTGCCGCTGCTGCTGCTGCTGTGGTGGCAGCCGACTGCAGCTGGTGATGTTTGTAACGCTGCTGTTGCGGCTTGTCTGGAGCTCGCAGAGCGGCGCAAGCGCCTTCCGAAGCTGCGGCTTAGGCTGCCGTGCAGCAGCACAGTCAGCAGCAGCACAGTCAGCAGCAGCGTTGTTGGAGCTGCTCTTTTTACAGCAGCGAAGGGCGAGTCTTCGAACGTAGAAGGTTTTTGCCAAGTGCAATTCGCGGAAAGCAGCGCAGCCTGCATTGAACTGCAGCAGCACCAGGAGAGAGAGCAGCGAAACGCAGAGTCTATCCAAAAGGGTCTAACCGCACCCGCCGTCGGAGGGGGCAGGCAGGAATGCTCTTTCAAAGAGCCGACAAGAGGCGAATTTCAGATGCTACCAGTCCTAACAAAGACGCTTACAAACACTTTGACGAAGACTGGCAGGGGTGGCACCGCTAAGCGCCTGGCAGCAGCAGCTGGGGGGAGCAGCAGCCCTTGAAAAACGCGAAATGCTGCTGCTGCTGCTGCACTTGGTGGCGACTCGGTGGTGCTGGATGGAGCTGCATGCGAAGCAGCAAAGGCTTCGTCTTGAACTTCTTTCAAGAGCAGCAATCGACGAGGAGGTCTGCCAGCTTCCTGCCCTTGCAGCAGCAGCGCTGGCGTGTGGACGTTCGTCGTTGCTGCCAATTCTGCTGCTGCTGCCGATTCTGCTGCTGCTGCCGATTCTGTGGCTGCTGCCGATTCTGCTGCTGCTGCTGATTCTGCGGTGACGGCTGCCGATTCTGCGGTGACGGCTGCCGATTCTGCGGTGACGGCTGCAGCAGCAGCAGCAGCAGCAGCAGCACGTGAGGCTTTGAGCGTTGCACCTGCTGCCGCTGCTGCTGCTGCGAGTTCAACATAGTCTTTGAAGTCCAGAGGAAGCGTAAATAGGTTCATCTCTGCTCTGTCGGATGCTGCATCAGTGCCAGATGCAGGAGTTGCACTGCTCTTTTGCCTGTGCAACCTGCTGCTGCTGCTGCTGCTGCTGCTGCTGGAGTAGCTGTACACCCCGAAAGAAGGGGCTGCAGGAGGAACGAGCGGCGGCGTCCTCCCCAAGAAGCTGTTGCTGCTGCAAAGGCTTGTACTTGGACGAAGGCTTTGCTGCTGCTCCAGCCGCTGAAGCTCCTGTAAGACGTGTTGCTGCAGCAGCTGCCGATGGGTAGGGGGGGCAGCAGAGACTGCACCAGTGGCACTGCTGCTGCTACTGGCGCAGCAGCAGCTGCTCAGCACAGCGGCTAGGGGAGGCAGAAGAAGCATGGTGGTCGCTGCCTCGTCTTGCTGCTGCTGCCACTCTGCATCGCACAGAGCTACAAGCCTGCGGCAACAGCAGCAACAGAGTACGGCTCCTTCTCGGGGAAGGGGAGGAAAGGGGGCTTAAGGCTTAGCAGACTTCCAGAAACCAGCAAAAGTTCGAATCACCTGTTTTTGCTGCCAAGAAGGTCGTAGTCAATGGCTGTTGCTGCTGCTGCCGCGTCTTCAGGCAACAGAAGCTGCTGCAGCAGGTACAGCAGGAGCTGGTACTCCTCATCTTTAGCGACTGTGTCTGCACGGCATGCGGCAGCTTGACTCCGAAATTTGCGCCGTAATGACGAGCACGGCAACAACAATTGGTGGTAGTGGTGTTGCTGCTGCTGCTGTAGCACTCGAGAGACGCGGGCACAAAGCAACCCGCGTCTAAGGTGACTCCTGCAGAGGTTCTCGAAAAGCTGCTTCTCACGCTGCAGCACCCAACTCCCCTTCTTCTGCTGGTGCTGTTTCTGCTGCACTGCAATATCGAGCTGTTGCTGCTGCGGCTCCTTTGCGTCCAGAATATTCGCATTCTCCTGACTGGGCAGTCTCAAACTACAGGCAGGCTGTGGATGCTGCTTCTGCGCCGTCTTAGAAATGTCTCGCACATCGTTAGCAGCCGCAGCAATGGCTGCTGCTTCAGTTGCTTCTCCTGATTCTCGTCCTCCAGCTTCTGCTGCTACTACTGCCGGCTTTTCCTGGATTGGCACCGTGGGGGCAGGAGGAGCAGCAGCGCGAACTGCAGCTGCCCTAGCCACTCGCGCTGCATCGGCTGCAGCAGCAGAGGGAACAAGGAGGCAGCTTTT